TGACCACTGAATAACATGACCTTAAGATGGTGAAAACCAAAAAATCATAAGTTGATTACAAGTTTTTTAAAAAAATTTTAAAGTTAAAAGACACAAGAGTAAAAATACGAAAAAACTGATTTTTTGTTATTCTACAAATTAAAATAACGAAGACGATAATTTTTTATTATTTAGAAAAGTTGACAGTTTCTTTGACAATCGTCAACAGTTAAAATTCAAATTTGATATCATATTCGTAATCAGTGACCTCGAAAACCTTATTACTGTCTTTTTTACAAAAAACCATCACTTTTTAGAGAAGTTGACAGCTGTCAACTGTCAAATTGTCAATTTAACATCATATTCGTAATCAGCGGCCTCGAAAACCCTTCACAGAGAAAAGCGAGTGTTGTTTTTGATGCGGGTAAATTTTGGTAGGGTAATTTTAGTGAGGATAAATTTTCTATAATAGAAAATTTACCTTATTTTCAGTGTTAAAATAACACTTCCGAGCTAAAGTTTGATGCAGACACTTTTAACACCGAATTCAGTGTTAAAATAACACTCACTTTTTTCTGTGTTACAAACATGTGTCACTTATTTATACTTATTGTTGCTATTTAGAAAACTTTGATTATTTTTTCTATGTTTGGGGAGTTTGTTATTAATTTATATCAACAATTATTAAAAAAAAAATTCATTACTTGTATGTTTTTTATTTTGATACTGTGATCGACGGTGAAGAAAATAAGCCTAACTTGATTAAAAAATATTAATATTTAAAAAAGTTACAAGGGTTTTTCTAAGTTAAACTTTAACTGCTGTTTTCTCGAAAACTTGTTTTCGCACGTAAGGTCCCTTTTCACTGTCCAGGTCACATATTTTAATGTTAATGATTGAATGTTAATGCAAATGGTTTCGTGTACAGTTTCAATAGTACATCATTATTTACAGTGAAATGCAGTAAGAATATTTTGTTCTGGTGAATTTATTTTAATTTTAAATAAATTTTTCATTTTCGACTGCAGTTTACAAATATTTTTTGACTAAATGCAAATGAAAGAAAATAATAATAAGGAGAGAAGCAGTAGGTTCACTAGTTTACAAAACTGACTTGATAGAGGTGCGAAAATTAAGCATAATTTTCCAATTTCTCACTTCTCATAATAATACTTTATGTCTATAAGAACAACAATCTTTCAATGCGTTTTGGAAATTATGAAATTAAAATTAACTTCTTTTGCTGATGTACACGGAAAAAAATACTAGGCTAAAAACACATGAGCGTCTGTTGTGTATATTGCACGCACACTACCATGCGTGATTAGCTTGGAATCCATCCTATTTTCGCATGGTGCTGTGGCAAAAGTCACAAAAGCCATGCATTTTTAGTAAACTCCTGTGTGATATTTGCAAAATGGGCTCATGTAAAAATCGAACCAATAGACTCCATGCATTATTAGGCTGATTTTTTTTTCCGTGTAGGTAAAAAAAATAATTTGTTTATGCTTAATTCATGATATTCCGAACTTTTAGGATCCCTCGGATTTATTATTGAAATTTATAGATTTTTGACAATTTTATAAATAGATGCATAAAGTTCTCTTCATTTTACCAGTTTTAAATTGTATACATAGAAGGAACAAAATTGTTATTTCTTTTTGACATTTAAATTTTGTTCAAGTGATAAAAATTATTCTGTTACTCTTATTAGGATAATTTAAAAAACGTGTCGAAGGATTGTGCGAATAAGCGAATTACACAAATAAGACTTACAACAAACAATGTTTCCGTTCTAATCCTATGTGTTGTTTTCGTTGAATGTCAAATAAATAAATAAATAATCCAAATAAGGATAACATAACTGTGTTAAACGATCTTGTTAAAGATACGATCTTGTTATTATTGAATCGCTTTTGCATGCGGCCCGAAGGATTCGATCTTAAATCAGGTTTACGACTACATGTGAGAGTCTGCGAACAGACTGCCAAGAGCATTAACATTATTATTACTATTATTATTTATGTTTTAACAAATATTTGTCTCTTGAAAGAAAGAATTATTTTATTCAAATACTACCTCGCGTAGCAATCTGTACTGATTTCATACTATACCAATTTACGATTATAGATTACTGCATAAAAATCATAAAAATAATAGGTGTAAATGGCGTGTTGAACCAAGTTTCATTGTACGATTTTCGCAGAGAGTGCTCGTGTACATTAAATTAAGATTACTGATTTTAATAGACGAACCATCTTCCTTAATGATGAATTTTTCTTTTCATAATTAGTCTGTATATTATTTCACTAATTATAATGTATGTAAGACAACGATTTCTTTTGCTATTTTTCAAAGTAAATGCGTCCTGATTTTCAGTCTTTCTCTTTTCGTTTTATTTGTGGAGTTCTTTCAAGTATAGGATCTTATATAACTCAAACGCTTTGATTTTTATTAAATTTCGTATTTATGAAGCATAGAGTCAACTACCAGAATTACTCAGTTGTTCCACGATTTTTTAACTTGAAAGTAGCGAATGACGTCAACAATCAATATTATCATCAGTGACGTGATCTAAAGAGGATCTAAAGAGCCTCATCAGGAGGTTAATATTTAGGGGCTTTTCTTTCATTTTATTTCAAACTAAATGAAATAATGACAATTTGCTTCAAGTCCGTAAAAATCAGTTTTTTTTAAAAAAGGTCCGTAATTTGATTGAGAAAAGACGAAAAGTTTGTAAATTGGAGGATATAATTTGAAGAATTTTAGAGAAATTACGAGGATCAAATGATTGCGGAAATTCAATTATTTTCAAAAGTATAATCAAATTCTTCACAGAAATTCAATTATGTTCAAAACTTGTTAAAAATTCTCGTCAAAATTTCAATTATCTTTAAAAATAATTAAATTCTTCTCCGAAATTCAATCATTTTCAAAAATTTTAATATAATTCTTGGCAAAATTTCAATTATTTTCAAAAATTTTCCAAAAGAATTCAATTCTTTTGTATTTAAATATAATTGAATTCTAGCAGAATTTTCTAATAAAAATTGATTTTAAAATGGATTTCAGTTAAAATTTTAGATAATTTAATATTAAAAGCATTGGAGCGTGAATTTTTAAAAATAATTGAATTTTGAAAATGTTTCAAATTAAAATCTTTGAAAATCTGAATTTTTCATATTTTTAAGTTCTAACAATTCTGTGGAATTATTTTTTTGAGAAAGTTTCATTGCGGTTTTTTTTAAATTCCTTAAACTTTTTATTTTCTAATATATATATATTTAATTGAAAAATTTATAAATAATTGAAATTTTTTGTAAAATTAAATTGTAAACAAATAAATTTAAAAATTCTCAAACAACTTTTTCAAAAATTATTAAAATAATGCATTTAAGAATTTTAATTAAAAACATGAAAAAAAAATTTAATTTTGGTAAAGTTACAAATTATTACAGAAATTTAATTATTTTCAAGAGTAATAATATTCTTTGCAAAAATTAAATATATATTGTTCAAAAATAATAAAACTCTTCTTAGAAATTCAATTATTTTTAATACCTACAATTTTAATCAAATTTCTCGAAAAATGTTATTATTAAAAATTTTTTTTTTAAATTCGTTGAAAGAATTATTTAAAAATTTTTTGGTAAACAATTCTCGTAGAATTTTTTAATAAAAATTAACTTCAATTAAAATTTTAGATAATAATTGAATATTAGAATCAATATAGCGTGCATTTTTAGAAATAATTGAATTTTGAAATCAATTTTTTTGAAAAAGTTTAATTGAATTTTTTTTAATTGGTCAGTAATTTTTTATTTATTGTCCGTAAAGTTAAAAATTCAACGGATTCGCTATTTAAATCTGAACTGTTCTGAGAGTTGACTGTACCTGCAAAAAGTTTATTAAAAATTGAAATCGATTGAGTTGTTTATTGGTAATAAGATAAAACGAGATTTTTTCAAAGACCATTAACGCGACAATAAATAAAGATTTTCAGATTTGTAAAATATAGAAACTGAAGAATTTCTTTTGTGTAGATTTAATTAATATGCAAGTAAAAAGTTTTGAGTGATTTAAGTAATTAATTTCTTGGTCCGCTACTTTTAACGTTTTAACACACAAGTTATTGAAAACATGTGCCTTGGACAGTTAAAAGAGGCCTCACGTTAGAAAATAATTTTTTTGAGGAAACGATCGTCAAAATCAAAAAGGGGATTTTTCGAAAAGTTCATTTAATAAGCTCAAGACTCATTTCATTGAGTTTTCGAAGTCGTTGATTATAAATTCGATACCTATATCAGTTTTTAAAAATAGAAAAAGCTAATCTTATATAGGGTGGTTAGTAATTCAATTTTGAAATATTCATTTGTGAAATAATTAATCAACCTAAAGATCTTCTGTTTTTTTAAGAAAAATTAAACCGTCATTTTATAAGAATCAATAAATAAGTGAAAATAAATTTTTTCAAACGATAGGTCCTCTTAACTTTCCAAGACAAACATAACGTTTCGTTCTTATTAATATACTAATCTTAATATTTGCAATTTTGCATAATTTGATATTTTTTTCAAAAAGTTGAATTTAACTTTTTAGTCGATAATTCGAAAAGATATTTTGCACCAATTGCTTTAGCGAATTTTTGTTTTCTATACTCTGCTTGTGGCGCGGTCTTTTATTTCTTTTTACCTGCTACTCACATTAATTTTCTAAACTCTTTCTTCTTATTTTCTTTTCCTTTTTTTCGGGAAAATTTTGTTTCTTTATAAATTATGTGTATTTTAAGTTAAACAATTCTACATTCAGAAAAAATTTTGTAAACTACAAATGAAAAAATTTCTTTTTAGTTGGAATAATGTTAATTTTATTTTAATTCTACAAATGAGTAATATTTAAATTAAAATTTAGTTTCTTTTTCGAAAACATTTAGCAATTTAGGAAATTTGTAGAATTGTTTTCATTTTTTTGTGTAGTGAATTGTTTTTTTTACAATATGTGTATGTCTTATTTCTTCACAGACACAAGTATGGAGTACCAGAAAAGAAAGTGTATAAATAAAAAAGCTGGCTTTTGTTTTTTCTGTGAATCGGAATATTATACTTCGTGTTTTAGTGTTTGTCTACAATAATTATATTTATACAAGAGTGACACCCTTTTAAGTTGTATATTTCACTATTTTATCATGAGAAAATTACCTGCGTATTTTGTAAACGTTTTTTTTTTTTTTGTTGCTTGCTTGCTTTTTCTTTGAACAAATCAAATGATATACATGATATAAACGAATTTTTTTTAGAGAAAAAGATGATGCATGATTATTAATATATATTTTTTCAGAATATCGTTAGTTTTCACTTTTTTTTAAATGTACAGCATTTAATTAATTTAGTTTCGTGTCAAGCAAGCAGACTTAATCAGGTAGATGGATCAGTATTAAAAAAATCCAAGTATAATTACGATGATACGATATGTATAAATATTTTGGAGCAAAGATTTTATTAGTTTTAGTGGAAAATTTAAATTTCTATTAATATTTAGTTTAATGCATTGTTTTCTTGTTTTGTTTGTAAATGCAGGTTGATTTGAAAATCATTTTTTCGAATAGTTATAGAGTTCAGTATAATAATTAGTAATTACTACTTCTGTAAATTAGTTTCTTGTTGTAAAATTTATTCTCGTGAAAAGGAGGAGTAAAAGATTTAAAAGAAAAAAATAAGGATATGAACAAAAGAGTTATTTTTATAAACTTTCTTTACATTACATTAAGTTTCTTGCCTAAAATATAAATTTAATATTACATATGTAGCTTTAGATGTTGTAGCAATAAAATAAAAATATTATTACTACTTTTCAAAGTCTTTTCAAAGTCTTTTCAAAGTAGCCTGCATAATAATTTTGAGAAAATTTATGTTCTTCAATTATTATTTTTAGAAGATATTTTCGTTCTAAACTATATATTTGTATATAAATTATTAATGAAATTAAAGTAGGTTCTTGATATATTTAATATAATTCATATGGAACAGCTGGAAACTGTGACAGGAGAAGTTGGTCTGGGACCACTGCAACTGCATACACGCGTCGTCCTGCCAGGTTTCATTGGCAGACACTTATAATTATCATTATTATTATTATTAATAATCGTCTTTCAACAAAAAGTATATTTATTCATTGTATAAGCATTTTTAACTTTCTTTCAAAACTAATTTAGTACAGTACCGTCCGAAATTGTCAGTCCACTCATTTTTAAAGGAATGACAAAATTTTTTAACATAAAATTCATGAAAACTCAAATTTCTTTTGGTTTATATTTTGAAAGAAGATAAAATTTTGAAAAGAATAAGACCTTACAGAAGTCATTTGGTCAAAATTTGTAGAAGATATTCTTAAAAATCGTTATTTTCAATGTTTTACAAAAATTTGAATAACTTGTAAAATAATGAACGCTTTTTAATAATCTTAGGCTTATTTTAAAGGTAATTTTCTACGGAATAAGAATTACTTACAGGCATTAACCTGTAATTTTTTACTTGGAATAAGCATGACGTCAAAGTTGGACAAAAAAATTCAAAAAATTTGAAATAATATATTATTGAAAGAAAAATAATTTTTGAAATTCAAACATATTTTTTTATTAAATTTTCTTGAAAAATCTACACCATATCATGTTTTATATATGTTCTAGAATAGTTGTTAGTACAAAAAATTTATTTCAAATATTTCTAATTTTTTTGTCCAACTTTGACGTCATGCTTATTCCAAGAAAAAAATTACAGGTTAATGCCTATAAGTAATTCTTATTCCGTAGAAAATGGCGTTTAAAATAAGCTTAAGATTATTAAAAAGCATTTATTATTTTTAGAAGTTATTCAAATTTTTGTAAAACATTGAAAATGACGATTTTTTAAGAATATTTTGAAAAAATATTTGCCAAATAACTTCTGTGAGGTCTTATTTTTTTCAAAATTTTATTGTCTTTCAAAATATAAACAAAAAAAAAATTTGAGTTTTCATAAATTTTATATGTTAAAAAATTTTTTTCATTCCTTCAAAAATGGGTGGACTGACAATTTTGGCCGGTACTGTAATTTTAGAATACCAGATACCTATATATGTATATTGTACATGTTGCTTTTTCATTTTTATTTCGTAATATTCAATAAATTGCTTATTTATCTTCAGATCTTGTGAGATACGAATGATACGATTTTTAACAATTTTTAAGCTTGAAAAATAATTGAAAAAAATATTTACACAGTGTATATTCTATATATGAAAAAGGTTGAAAGTAAAGCCATAAAACCGCGACAGTACAACTTAATAGCAAATATTTTTCAGAAACTCTTTAACCTGTATAAAATATACAAATTTAATCTGCGGAATTTTTTTCTTATTTGAAATAAAAAGTGCAGACAAATTATTATTCAACAATTTATTCTACCATCAATCGGAGTTATTTTGGACCCAAAACACACTTTTTTCGATAAAAATTCAGAATTACATAACAAAGAATAAATAATGAACAAGTTTAAGCCGAAACATGTAGCAAACTAATGATTATACTTTGGACAAATAAACTTGTGGCTCTTGTCGGAATTCCATTTTTTAATTCATAGTTTCTTTCACAGGAACAATTCTCGAAGAAGCAAAAAATAATTCGTTGTCGTAAGATCGAGAAGTCGTTTCCCGTAATAGTAAAAGTCAAATTAAAGCCTAAACCCTGTATTATTCATGAAAAGAATAATTGAATTCTTGCCAAGACTTTTATAAAAATGTTTTTAAATAATTGAATTCTGTCTGAATATTTTTTGAAAATAATTTAATCGTTTTAAAGATTTTGATTATAATTTTTGAGAATAGTTTTTTTATTTCTAGTACATATTAGCGAATTTAAAGTAGTGGAAATTCTGAAAAATTAAAAATTATTACAAGTTTAGATATTTTTTCCCGATTTCATAAAATATTAAAATAACTCCGTTTGATGGTATTAAATAATTTTAAAGAACTTTTCTTTCTTGACAATCAGATTGAATGAATTTGTATATATTTGCAACCTTGCAATTGTTGCTTTTCACATTTCACAACAACTATTGTTTGCAAATATGTAATTGGTTTTGTCTTTGACACTTTTTTAAAAAATCACTTATTACGAGTTTTGCAAAAAGTACTTTAATCTCAACTATCATCAAATTTGTCTACTAGAAGTTGTGTGTCATTCAGTGTCGATGCGAGAAGAACATCACAAACTTAAAACTTGAATAAAAAAGAAAATGTGCTTCTCGCATTTTATATTTACTTCCTTGAAAAATCAGTATCAAGTCCACTTTCTGTTTGCCGTAAATTAAAATTTTGGCTGTGATTGTCTTATGAAACTGTTTGTCTCCGAATATGCGACATTTACGTCAGTGTCGTCAGTGTCGTCAGTGTCGTCAGTGTTGAGTATATTCGATCATAATGATTATAATGATTTTAATTATCAAACCATTAAGAAAGGAATTTTTATGAATGACAGTAAAAAGAAAAGATTTGTTGTAAAATACATAATATATAAATTAATAGTTTTATTTATAAAGGAGTTTGCACTCCTTTCAGCGAATGTTTTTGCCACAGATATACATGTACTAATAATTATATACAAATTATGTAATCATATAAATTAACAATAATATTGTGATACACGATAATCGATGCAGTGTTTAATAAAAATCTTTGTAAATATATCTGCATTCCTCATTACGTATATTAATTATAAAATTTAAGTATCATTCGTAAGTATTCTACCCTTTGTGCAATTCAGTCCAATAAAAGGACTGAAGTTTGAATTCGATATCGATATATAAAAAATAAAGACATTTGTTCCTTATTATTAATATTCATATTATGTACATGTCTCACACACCTGGATATTCGACTAGTTTTTTCATTGCTTCCGTCACACGAAACATTGGACCGTGCCCAGGAACAATAAAGTCCGACGTATTTATTATTAACCAACGCATTTTTGCCTGCAGGTTCTGGAGATATTCTGAAGCACATTGCTCTTTCCAAATCGAAGGATCTGCAATATCTTCTTCTTTCTCAAATAAATCGCCTGCAAATTTTTTATTACATTTTTTTATTCAAAAAATTATTTTTTAACTCTAAAAAAATTAAGAAAGTGTATCTATATAATTTAAAAACCTGTTATTGCAACGCGTCCGTTGTTCTTTGTATTGACTAACACCGTAACGTCCTCGCCGGTGTGACCAGGAGTCGCTGTAATTTTCACTCCTTCACAAGGATGATAATCTTCTGTTAAAAGGAACAACACATTACTGGTAATACAATGATGCACTAATTTCTATGTGAGGTATTGAAATTTATTTATAAATTACAGGTCTCGGATAGTTCGACTTTCTTTTCAAATATTGCAACAAAATAACACTTTTTTAAAAAAATGCAAATTTTATTTTATTTAATTTGTAAAATTTTATTGAAAATAATTGGTTTTTTAAAGTATTTCATTAAAATTTTTTTAAACGAATTTTGAAAAATTTTATTTTGCAAAAATCAAATGAAAAATTAGCTTCAAAAAAAGTATATTAAGAAATTATTTAAATTTTAAAATAATTTTAAAATTAATTCTTATAGAATTTTTTTTATTATAAAATTTGGAAAAATTATGTATTTTCAGATTTGCAATTAAAATTTTTCAAAAACTTGATCATTTTTTAATACTTTTTAAAAATTCTTTTTAAAAATTGAATTATTGTTATCATTAATATATTTGTTTTGGATCCCAGTTGATTCTTTTTATCAATTTTGAATTTTGAAAGTAAATTTAAAAAATTTATTACCATTCAACAATATTCAAAAATATTTTTAAAAACTAATTTTAAGAATTTTTAATAATAATTTTTTAAAATTTAATCATTTTCAATGTCTCGGTTTTTGAATAATTTACATTAAAAACTATTTTTAAAAGAACATACCTAAGGAGTTACATAGTTACAATTATTATAAAAAATTGAATTTTCCTATTTAAATAAATCCGAGACCTGAAATTAAAAATTTTCAAAACATGGTTTTCAAGTATTTGTGTATTAATTAAAGTCTTATTTAAATAAATCAATTATTTAATAATTTTAATCGAATTATGTACAATAATTATAATCTTTGATCATTACTTTAATTTTTTTAGAAAAGTATTGATTAGAAGGAAATCATTTTAAGGTTATGTTTGTGATATTGTTATCTTAATTTAAAGTTTCTGTTTAATTGTGTAAAACTAAAATCAGTTTTTATCAATTATTTCAGATGAAATGAAGACTTAAATGTCAGTGATTTCTATTGAGAGTTGATCATTTCAACTAAAAATCATTCAAAAAATTACAAACATAACCTACGATTTCTTGCTTCTTAGGCTTCTTAGATACCTTTCTTCAGAACGCGTCAAAAAAAAATTATTTTAAATCTATTTTCAGGTACGTATATCTTTTTTTAGAACTTGGAATTCTTTATTTCAGTATCTCTATAAAATATATAATCATAACATTTATGTTCCTTTGATAAATTCTGACAAATTCTGATAAATTAATAAAAATTAATTGACTCGAGCAATCTGCTCAAAATGATTTGACATTTCTACATACTAATTAAGGTAATCTCAATGCACAGATCAGAAAAAAAATGTAATTTCCTGTATTGAAAAGTTAAAAATTCTATTAATATTCATCCTAATATAATTACCTTTACTAAGATCTTTATAAAACTTTGTCCGCCGATGAACGGAACAACCAACAATATGTTCTGCATTCGTGAATAAATTGTTGTTTCCAATATGATCAGCGTGACCATGAGTGCAAACAACGCAGTCTATATCATCTGGCCGAACGCCATTTTGTGCTAAAGCTAAAAAACAAAAACAACGGTTTAATTAAATTAAATGTTTAATAGAATTAATTAATAAAACTTTTTAAAAATCTCGACAAATTCTAAATTACTTGGAATTTTTTTTTAAATTCAATTTTATAAATTAATAATTTACTAGAGGTGTAAGGTTATAGTTTCTTGTCAAGTCAATTATTACACCTCTAGTAAATATATTTAGCCACAAGTCGAAACTACAACTACATCTAATTATAATTATAAATTAATATTATTATAATATAATAGACGATATTATTTTAATTAAATATTAAATATGGCGAAAAAAATAATAAAAGATCAATAAAAAATATTAATTTGATCAACTCTTGAAAAAATCTGTTTTTAGTTAATTTGCAGGCTTCGCACTCATCTACCAAAACTTACTGTTTACTATTTTTTTTTCTATGGTATGCTACTATTTCGATACTTTCTATTAGTTTCGTGCCACTAAAAGTTCTTTTGTTCGGAATTTGCAACATGCAGTTGCAAATTAATTGACGCCTTGACGGTGTTGAAAAATTAAATTTGGCGTATTAAAAAATTTTTGAAAAAAAGTGCTAAAAATATTAGGTAAAACAAATTAACTTGTAAATTAATTAATGTATTGTAATTTTAATCAAATGTAGCTTTTTCATCAACACTTAAAGCTTTAATAGTTTAAAATATGGATCGAAGCATATTTTATTAGATCAGATTAATTTGTATCAATAAAGTTAAATTTAGTAACAAAATGTGTGAATTAGTATCTACTTCCTGAATTTATGATTTTTATTCGACAAATTTAATTATTCGTTAGCTCCTTTTTCGCATGCTACTTTCAAAACCTTAAAAAGCTACTTTCTTTCAACTTTTTACTTACAAACAATAAATTGCGAAGCCTCTAATCTGTGTAAAATAATAAATTTTTTTGAATACCTGAAAAATAGAACATTATGTTCTTTAATTATTGGTTACGAAAAGAAAAATTTTAGGTATAAATATACCTTGAATTAATCGGTCTTTATCCCAGGCAGTCATTGTATCGACGATTATTGTTTTTGGTCCTTTAATTAAAGTACAACTGCAATTTGCTTCCATTACATCATCCTCGTCTTTATTAGAATATCCATCGAACAACACGATTACTTCACACATTGTTGAATCTTAACGAAGATAATCAATGGACCTGACAATAATAAGTACATATCTAGTGTAAATTACTCCTAAACGAAATATAATTATAAATTATCACAAATACTTTCAACCTTCTATTATTTTATTTTTTTCTTTCAATTACTGTATTTTTTATACTCATTATTACTATTATTTTCAACTTTTCATAAACAAATTTGTAAATAACTTTTTTTATTTTCTTTTGTTGTAATTATCAATTATTGTATTGTTTTTCAGTTTATTATTATTATAATTATTAACTTTCGTAAATAAATTTAGTAACTGTCTTTTATTTTATTTTAGCTTATTATTATTCACGATTGCCGCAAAAATTTAATTTTGTTTTGCCCTTATTTCCAAAAAAATTTTTACTTTTCCCCTGACCCTAAAGAATATTCTGATTCACTCTAAAAATTATTAAATGCCCAAAAAAATGTTCTATTACATTTATTTACGAATTTCTTTAGTTCTTTTTTCTTTGTTCAAAATTATTTTCATCATTTCAATTCAATTATTATTTTATTATTATTATTATTATTATTATTATTATTTTATTATTATTTGTTATTCATTTTTAAATCAATTTTTATTAGAAAATTCTACGATAATTTGTAAATAATTGAAATTTTGTGAAATTTTTATTATAATATGAAAATAATTAAATATTTGCGTATAATTTTATCAAAATTTTTTTTTAACTAATTAAATTCTTTTGGAAAATTTTATTAAAATAGTAGATATTGAAAATCATTGAATTGAGGAAAATTTTTGAAAATAATTGAATTTCAGAGAAGAATTTTATTATTTATAAAGATAAAAATAATTGAAATTTTGAAGAGAATTTTAAAAATTTGTGAATATAATTGAATTTCTGCGAAGAAATTTATTAATTTTAAAGATAATTAAATTTCTGCAATTATTTGTAACTTCTCCAAAATTCAATTTTTTTAGTGCTTTTAACTAAAATTCTTGTATTAAAAAATTTAACTAATTTTAGAAGAATTTGAATTATTAAAATGTTTCAAAAATCTAAGTTCCTTAAAATTTCTTATTAAATTCATTAAAAATTGAAACTTTTTGAAGTTCATCTATTTATGAAAATTATAAACGCAACTCTTTTATAATTTAATTAATTTTGAAATACTTAAGTAAAATTGTTCATTAAATAATTTATAAATAATATTTTTTGATAGTTATTCAAGATTGAAGATATTTAAAAAAAATTATTGTCGGAAATAGAAAAAATTAAAGGTTTTCTATTAGAATTCGTTGTAATTTCATAGTTTATGAGACAAACAAAAAAGGCACCAAAAATTCAGAATTTTCTTATGAGAATTCTAAAAATTTTAATTTTCCCACTACTTTTAATAAAAAGTCCCTGTCTTTTTATTTATGTACATACTTATCACAGTTATGATTATTTTTCTTATTATTTTATTATTGTTGTTATTAATATTATTATTACTAAATTAATTTTTACAAATATATACTTAGAAATTACAAATAATGAAAATAAAAGAAAGAAGGAAATTAATAATAATTTAAAAAATGACTTTAAGACAACGAATAAAATTACTTATTGTAGTAATTATAATTTAATATAATTAAAAATGACATATTTTGTAAAATTACAAGAAAGCGGTTATTGACACGAGGATAAAATATTCAATTTAAAAACAATTAGTCATCAACATTAAAAATTAATTACGAATTCAGTATAATAAGTAAGTAATCTAAATCACTGTCACGTGATTGTTAATAAAAGACTTTTAACTTTTTTACTGTGAATCACTTGGAAAAAACAAAATAGATGAGATCACTTCTAGAAGTGTGGGTATTTTTTTTTATCTTTTTACATAACTCAAAGTACACAAGAAAAATTAAATTTAACATCTGCAAGTGTATCAGATCTTTTTTTTCTTTGAATAATAAACAAATTATTCATTAAAGAGATTATAAATATTCTCTTGATAAGAAAAATTTACAAATAAAATAAATTTTTTTTAATTCAAAGAAAAAGAAATAAAAATGTAATTTTCAATTTTTATTGCAAATATCCTGTGAATTTTTAATTTATTTAAATATTTTAATAGAACGTACCTAGTTGATGAAAATTATTAAAGGAATTTTTCTTAATTTACCGATTAAAATAAATTTGTCACAATTCAGTTTTTTTTAATAAAAAAAAATCCAATACGAAATAAATTCTAATAATCAATTCTAATAATAATCGTAAAAATAGTATTCGGAAATCCCTACATTTATTATTAGGGAAAATAAACAATTGGAATTATTAATTCATACCTTAACATGTATGTTATTTTCTCTATTTTGTTGTGATGAACAATATTTGTGATGTACTTGTTCCGGTAAGCGATGAGGAATAAAAGATTTTATGACAGCTGCGAGACGACTATATTGTACGACTAACGACAGTACGAGGTTAAGTTCGAAATGCAACATTTTTCATATCAAACGCCATTTTTAGTATTATTTCTTGAACCGGAAGTCAAGTGGTTAACTAACAACGAGAATAGAACTGCAATTATTAAAAAAAAGATAAAAAATTCAATCACTTTTAGAGAGAATTTAATAAGCGAATCAGGTATTTGTCGAGGGGGAAATAAATTTGAGTAACGAAAAATACAAGTAAAATTGAACAGTCCCTCGCTTGACTAGTGTAATCCCCAAGCGAAAAAATATACCCTGAAAAGGAAAATATCCTCCCACGTGGGGGCCTGTTTAATTGCAAGTTTTGTTGTTTAAATATGTGTTTGTTGCCTTAATTTTTGTTTCAGAATAATGGTGCAAGTGAGTACAATCATTTAAATATATTAATAATGTCATTATCGTTGATTGTGACCTAAACGGTGGGATTTTTTCGCGAGTTCAATCGGGCAACTTTTGGATTGTTTTTTTTTTCGCTGTCATCCATTAGTAAATAGGAAAGATGGCAGCAGATTATTGCGCTTTTTTCCCTGAGAGTTTGGAGGCGGACATTTTTCTAAAAAGTTATAAACTTGTTTGTTAATTTCCCCCATTGTGTTTAATTGAATTTCGAATCAAAATCTACTTTTACGAACAAATTTTCATTCTATTTACGAATTTAACAATGAGAAATTGACTTTTAATTGAAAAGTTTATAAACCTCGAAAAATGATATATGCACCCCTATAGATTTTTCTCCCCTCAAAGGCTTTCACTCCTATTCGCATTTTTCGCCCTCGAAACGATAAGTTCCGATAATAAAAGTTTAACTTGCATTATTTTCATCAAAGTTTCTCGTGACTATTTTGTATCAAGTGAACCACGTTGCGGCACTTTTCGTATTGTTTACAATGAAAATTCACATTGAAAACTTTTCGAGAAAACTTTTAATCGGCGAAAAAATTTAATGTGCGGCTATGGTATTGGGAAAAGAGGACATTTTTTATTACGTCAAAAATTTCAACAAGTGTTGAAGTTAATAATTTTTTAACAAAAGAAAATGGTATTTCTAACGGAAGAGGTTAGAATTTATTATCAAAACAATAGAACATATTTTCTATTCCCTATTTTTCGGTCAAAATAAAATAATAAATATTTTTATATGATAAAATTATAAAAAAAATAAAGAATTAATTATTCCCGATGAAAAATATTTTCGTTACAAAAAATACTATTTTTCTCTTTTATTCATCAAAATTCAAAGTTAAAAAAAAATTCTTTCCATTCATCTGTTTTTGTGAAAACTTTAGAATCAAGTTGAGTGATAAAAAAAATGTTTGTCCTATTGGTAAAAAATAAAAATAAAATCCTCGAATTTAATGTTTTCAAAATCAAAGTTTGTTGATTTATAAAATAGAGTAAAAAAATTTTTTTTCTTCTGTTGATGTCAAATTAATTTTTGTCGATATTCTAAAGTAGACTTTAAAAAAGGTAAAAAAATCTCTTTGTATTGGAATTGTTCAACAGACTCGAAACTAAAAACTCCCAATATGTTGACTTATTAATTCTAAAAATATTGATTCATTAAAAATGAAATATTTTTTTCATTTATATTTTAACTTCAAACCGTCTACTAAAAAATATTTTAGAGAAAATTTGTAAAATTATTCAAAATTATAAATTATTAATTCTGGAAATATTGTTCAACTTTTTGAATTTTAACACAATGTTCAGTTTAGAAATGACAATTTGCTAAGAAAATAAAATTAACATATTTTTTGTTCAATAATTCAATTGAGTACGTAAACATATATTTTTTAAATCTAATTTTAGAAGAATAAATTTTAAACTTAATTAATAGAAAAACAAAAATTAATTAAAATTACTTTTATTGAAGTTAAATGTTTCTTTAATAATAATTACATATTTCTAATTGTTTAACACGAAGTAAAAAAAAGTTATAAATTTTCTATTATATGTTGTAATCCTTAAAATGTTTAAATTTTAAAGAAAAATTCTACGAAAGAAATATTTGAACGAATTACTTTAAAATTTCAAAAGTATTTATTATTATTATTAAATTATTAAAAAAAGATCAGTTTTAGTAGTAAACATTTGATTTAAAACTTTAAGGTTTTATTTCAAATAAAACTTTTCAGAACTTCAAATTTAAAAAAAAATGTTTAATTTAAATCTTTTTAAAATTAACTCATTAGATTAAAAATCCTCAAAGATTTGTCTTTTTTAAAAATTTATAACGAATTTCTGTATCAAATTTAATTATTATTTTCAACTCAATTTCACAAAGTTTCTATTAATTTGATAATTGTTTAATAAAATTGTTTTAAAAATTGAATTAAAATTTCTCAGAAACCTAATTTTTTCAGAATTTCAAATACAATAACTATTTTTAAAAAATTTAGTTTAAAACCTTCTGCAATTCATTTATTTCTGAAAATTGAAACAGTTTTTAACCAAATTTTTTTCTATGATAATTAAATAAATCATAACTTTAAAAAAATTATTCTAAAATTTAATTATTTAATTTATAAACTTTGAAATTACCATGAATTATAATAAAAACTTTAAATTTGTTTCTATATAATTAAAGTTTACAAAATATGCAAATAAATAAATTTTAAATATTTCAATTCTTGAAAAACTATCATCCAATTTTTGCCTATAAATTAATTACCGAATAATTTTACTCAAAAAGTACAAAAATTTTTGAATGTTTGAAGAGTGGACTATACAATTAAAAATTATATAAATTACATTTTTGAAAATTTTTTGTCAACTTCTTTTGAAATTATTTGAATTTTTGAATATTTATATTTACTTGAATAATTTTTGAATAATTGAATTGTAAACAAGTGAATTTCAAAAATAATTTATGTGAACTTTTTTTAACTTTGAATAATGAAAATTCTCAAGAAACTTTTTTAAAATTATTAAATATAATGGATTTTTAGAGAAGAATTTTAGTTAAAAATTCTTGAAAATAATTTATTTGAATGCTTAAAAGTAATTTTGAAGAAGTGATAATAGCAATTTTGATTCTTGAATTTTAAATGGTTTGAAGTTTGAAATTTTAAAAAAAATATTAATTCCAATGGAAGAATAATGATTAAAGATTTAACTAAACAAACTATTCAATTTTTCAAATATTTTTACGATATTATTAAAGATATTCACATATAAATGTATTACAAGCAAATTTTTTCTGTATAAAATCATTTTTATGTCTGGAAATGAGGAAAAAGGAAATGAAACTTTTGTGATAACCCTGATGAAGTGAAATTTATTATTATGAAGAAAATAAATATTAAAGTTTCGATTTCAACGATTAGCGAGTTGAAAGTAGTAAAAATTTCGAAGAATTGAAAAAAGTATCATTTAGTGAAAAAAAAAAAAACTAAAAAAAAAATGATTCAAATAGTATGAAAAAGTAAAAAAAAAGGTAATAAATAGCAGCTTTTTGGAAATCAGTGCGAAGCCTGTAATAATTTTAGTGAATTAAAAAACATTTTTTATATCACTATAACTCTGAGATTTTTGTCAGATAAAATTTCCAAGTAAAATCACAAACACAAATTTTCCTTGTTTAGGATTTTTTGCTTTCTGCCAAATAAATATGTTGGAATAATATTAAAAGGATAAATATTTGTTGTTATTTATTTAATAAAGGAAATTTATTTGGCAGGCAGTAGACGAGATGGAGCAGAGGGATTTGCCGCAGGCATTTCGCCTCTTGGGGGAGATGAATGCAAGCGTCCTGCTGGTGAATCAAGTCGTCGACAACATGCTGGACCGCGTGAAGAAGGGAGAAATTTCAACGGACAAGGGTCTTAGTTTCTTAGAGATGAAGTACTACTCGCTGCTTTCCTATCTTATCAATTTAACTTATGTTGTTCTGAGAAAGTGTTCAGGTGAAAAGATCGAGGAGGATCCATCAATAGATCGTTTGATTGAAATTCGAACAGTTTTGGAGAGAATCAGGCCGATTAATCACAAATTGAAATATCAGATAGACAAACTGGTCAAGACTGCAGTCACTGGAACCTCAAGCAGCAGCGATCCAAGTAATTTCAAAGCAAATCCCGACGCTCTCGTTGGAAAAATTGACGGAAGTTCAGAAGACTCGGACAGTGAGCCCGATGAAGACGTTTCCAAGCCGAAAAAATCTGGAGTCTATGTGCCACCAAAATTAGCTGCCGTCCCTTACGGTTGATTATTATTATTATTTTTAACTTGCTAATTTGCTATAAACAGAAATTTTCAATCAATTATTGAATATTTATTTTTTATTTTCCTTTTAGATGGAGATGAGACAGCTGCGGAAAAAGTGCGTAAAGCGGGAGAAAGAGCACGCAGGCGTGCGTTTTCCGGAGCGGTACTTCAGGAATTGAAAGAGGAATATTTGGGCGCTCCGGCCGAGGACATGCACGACATCAGTGAAAAGCAGGTGATAATGGGTCGGGAGAACAAGAGAAAGATCGAGTACGAGGAGAACTACATGACCCGTTTGCCGATTACTAAGGAGGAGAAACATCGCCGTCGTCAACTTACAACTATTGGAACTTTGGGAACAGACATCACCAACTTCGGAGGAACATCTTCTCTTTTGTCCAAAAAAAGAAAAGATCCCAAAGGAAAGGCAAAAAAGAGTAGGTTCTTTTTCTCTTAAAACCTCACTTTTTCACCTGTTTTCATCATTTCATTCATTCTTGGAATATTATATATTTCAAAAATAGTTAAATGCTAAACAAAATTCTTCACCTTAAAATCTTGTTTTCAACATTCCTGAGTTAAAAAGAATTTAAGAATCACAAAAACATAGATTTTCACTTTTTTAATATTTATTAATATTTAAAAAAATTCAATTGATCCAAGTTTCAATTCATCAAAATTTTTCATTTAAGTAAAATTTGAAAATTACTTAGTCCAAATGAATCTTCATTTTAAATATATGATCAATTTTTGAATGATTACAGATTTAATATTTAAAGAATTCACTTTTTAATGTACATAATATTAAATATTCTTTATTTTTATATGAATTGTAAAATCCTCCGCGCGCAAGCAAGAATTCAATTATTTTCATAAATAATAAAATTTTTTCGAAAGAATACTATTTAAATATTTAAAAATATTATTTAAATTCAATTCATTTCAACAGTTTTAATAAAAATTCATTTTTTTTTCAACAATTCTGATATAAAATTCTTCGGAACAATTCAATAATTATTTTAATAAATTGTAAAATTCTTGGTAAAAATTCAATTTCTTTTTGTAAATAAAAAAATTCTTCTGAGAAATTCAATTATTTTCAATACAATTTTAGTAAAATTTCTATAGGAAAAGAAGGAATGCAATTATATTCAAGATAATTTTAATAAAATTTCTCTAACAGGTTCAATTATTTTTTAAAATTGTAATACAATTTTTCTAAACAATTTAATTCTTCGCAAAAGTTTTTAATAAAATTCTTTGTAAATTTCAATTATTTTTAAAATTTTCAATTAACATTATTTAAAAAAATTACATTATTTTTAGGAAATTTAAAAAAAATTCTAATAAAATTGTTTAAAACAATTTAATTTTCTATGAATAATTTTAATATAATTTAATAGAGAAATTATTAATTGCAATTAATAATAAACACGATAATTTAAAAAATTTTAAAGAAATTCTTCATAAAGTTCACTTACTTTCAAAATTTTCAATAAAAATTATTTTTAAAAACACTACATATTTAAGAATATTGAAATAAATTCGTCAAAACAATTTAATTGTTTTAAAGAATTTTAATATATAAAAATCTTGCCAAGAATTAAATTTTATTCAATAGAATTTTAATTACATTTTCTCGAAAGAATTCAATTATTGAAGAAAATGTTGATAAAATTATTGAAATGATCAAGGGAAAGGACACCGCACTAAATACACTAAAAATGGCTTTCGGTTAAAATTCTTAATATTTTCAAAATTTTTAGTTAAAGGTTTTCTGTTTAAAAAAATAATTAAGCGAAGGTCAAGAAATAAATAACCGAAAGCCATTTTCAGTGTGTTTAGTGCGGGGTCCTTTGATTAGATTAATTTGGATCAAACAAAATATTTATACATATTTACATACATAATTATATTAATGAAATGAGTAATTTAGTCCACTATTTTGAATTTTGAAATTTCAACATTATTTTTGCATTTAATGACCTTAAAATACTTAAATAGAAATGTGGTTTCATTACGACATATTTTACTAAGACATAAAATAATGTGCGACATTTTTGAAAATATATAATAATGATGTTATGCTTTAGGTTTCAGAAAGAAACGACGCCATTAATCAACTCGTCCGAAAGAGCATGAGTAAAAGCAGGTAAAGCGCTAAAAAAACTTACTTCATCTCCTCTTGGCAGTCCCAATGCCAATAATACTCTCGTTACTAAGTTACGCTAATTAATTAACGATTAAAGTTTAACGATAAGCAAAAGAAATCGATGAAAAAAAACGTGAAACACCGCAATGGTAATTTATAATGATATAAGACATCGTAATGGTCGCATACTTGATAATTATAGTTACTAATGGTTTTAATCTTTAACTGTTGTCGGACAACATTTTTAAACTCTGGAGCCGTCTATAATTCATCGGGAATTTTCCCAAAAAGGACACAAAGAATTTACTTTATACTTATCAAAATATTTATGCGTAAACTAAACAACATACTCTGGTTCCATATTAAAAGAAAATTGTAAAACGTATGTCCAAGTCCGAGACAGAAGGAACAATATTCTGCTTCGGAATAATTTTCGAATATAGAAAGAAAAACAAACAGGAGCAATGATACTAAATTAATTGTTATAAGAGCGTTAAAATCTCAAGATATGTGTGTAAGCAAAATTTGCCGATTATTCACGCAGTTTAACGGGGGTTCAATTGCCTGACATAAACTGAAAAAGGGGATTTTCAACACTAAATTTATACATACATAATTAGGGAATTCAAATTTATTTCTACACAAATTTCCGAAAGATCCAAGGAAACAATTTTACGGAAATTCATTTTCAGCTAATAATTCTATGAAAATTATTATTTTTAATTGAATACCAAGTTTGGTATTTTTTACTACTTTGGGAGTAAATTTAACTATTTCGGAAGTAAATTTAAAAGAAAATTCACTACATAGGTGGAATTTACTCCGGAGGTAATGAAAACTTGGTAGAAATGCACAAAAATTCAAAACATTTGGGTTTTACAATGAAAATTGTAAATTTTTATATAAGTTTCATAAATATAAATTTTATACTTTTGTCAAAATATTCCTGAGAAGTGACAAGAAAGACATGTAAATTTTTTTAAATTGTTCAACTTGATCTTTCGAAATTTTACGAAATCAATTTTAATTGTTTGTTACTCTTAAAACCATTTAAGAGTAATACTAATAAGAAGAAGAAGAAGAAGAAGAAGAAGAAGAAGAAGAAAGTGAAGAAACTTAAGGGTGTGTCAAAGTCATTGAAATTTTTTTATTCAAGTTTCATATAAAAATCAAAACGACTTTGATCTGTCTTTAAAGAAAAATCTGATGGACAGTGAAAACAATAGTTATTTCAACTTCAAATTTTTGAATTAAAACACAAATTCAGCTGGAAGAATCCGACAAACAATCTGAATAAAAGTTCCTCTGGTGGAAGAGTAATGAATTTAATTTTAAACAATTAAAAGTTGCATTTGAATAAAAATTACAATTTTTTGTCAATAACTTATAAATTGCAAGTTTTTGTAAATTTAGGTAACATAACCTAAAATCTAACAAACGTTTCTTAGTGGCAAAAAGTTAAAATTTTTATTTAAATGCAAAGTTCAATTATTGTTTAAAGTGTTGAAAATTTAAATATTTACCCTTCCAACAGAACGAATTTAAAATTCTGTTTTTATTTTAAAATAGGAAATTATTGGTTTAACATTTATTTTGTTTGTCCTTCTTCCTTAAAAGCAATTTTATAGATTGGTGGATAATTTAATTTTCCGAATTTAAAACGAAATTTTTATTTTTATATTTAAATGACAATTTATTTAACAATTGATAAATTCCATACATGACAAAATTAACAATTACAATTTTCTGTCAATAGTTTGTATTTTAAGGTAATGTTATCTAAAATTTACAACAATTAAATTCTTTATTCTTCTTTATTAAAAGAGAAAGAGAAAAAAGCGTTTACATTTCTAATTGACTTTAATTCAAAAGCTGAAAGTAAAGAGTTGAAGTTGAACTAATTTTTGTTTTGATTGTTTATTGAATTTTTCGAACATGCAAAATAATTTAACAAAATGAAAGATATTTGTGTTTGTATTCAAATTGTATGAAAATGATAAAATGAATACAATCAGACAAGTGGTTTTTAAGAAAATAAAACTGCTCCAACGTTTCGAAGTCTAAATGATTAACTCACCAAGAAGTCTTTCAAAAATAATACAATGAACAAGAATAAAGGAAAAAGTGTGTTACAATTATAATGAACAACAATAAAAGAAGAACAAAAAATCTAATAAATTGAAGACAGTAAATGTGACACGTTCTTAAGAAAGGCTCCTTTGATGCAAAAATTGTTAGGTTATGTTTGTAATTTTTCGAATGAAAATACACAAAGCAGACCAAATTTTAATATAAACCAGTGATATTTAAGCCTTCTTTGCATCTGAAATAACTATGTAATAAAAATTTATTTCAATTTTAAATTAAGCACAGAAGGTTTTAATTCAAGTAAAAATAATACAAAAATAACCTTAAAATGGTTTGCTTCTAGCTTTCTTCAGTGTGTATCACAAATTAGGAACTAAAAATAATAAAAATAAATTCAAGTTGAAAATAACAAAACACAAAATTACAGTAAATTAAGAATTAAAAGGTAATAGAAAATATAATTAACTTGATAGAAAAATAAATATTTTAACAGAAAAATAAAAATGTCTCAGACTCCCTAATGAGGAAATCATTTAGAATTTAAAACTCTGGAGCAAAGTTTTATCAGACATGGTGAAATCGTAAAAGTACAAACATGAGTATTTCAGTTTTTTGTTAAAGAAATAAATAAAAAAAAATGTTTTTTTATTTATTTTTAAATTGTATTTTATTTGGTGTTTTAAAAACCATTTTATTTTTTGAGCTTATGTCATTGGATCGATTCGCCTTAAAAATAAAAAAAGTTTTGGCACAAAGGCATACTTAAAATTTCTAAAGCAAGAGAGAAAGCTGTTGACAAATTTCGGAGTTCTCGCGACATGTCTTTGGATTTTCTCGCTATATTTTAGGATAGGAAAACGTAGTTACTAGTTCGATCATTACGTGTATGTTTTGTTCGTGTTTTCCCCCTGGTAAAATGTTGAGGCTATTAGATTTCACTGTGGTTCCGTTGGAACTCGTGTTAAGTTTCTTTTTTTTGTTTTTAATATTTGTGCAGTGTGTTGATTATTGTTTGGAATTTTCAGTTTAATCGTGGAAAAAAGCTTATATTCATAGTAACTAAAAACGAATAACATGAATGTGTCAAAATTCAAAATTGATGTGAAGATTTTCTCAAATTCTTTCTTTATTCACTGACTTTGAGTTCTTAAAAAAAAATAAAAAAAAAGGATAAAGAGAGAGGGAGCATGTAACGTAAGAGTACAAATTTAATAGGGGCAAAAAATTATAAAGCGATTGTCATTCCCGATGCTTTTGTTGGTGAATATTCTCGGTAATTTTTAAAAATACTTTTTCGGACCACTTTTGGAATTGCAGGCAAAATAATAAAACAAGATTCAGTTTTTATATCACTCCGGATATTTATCGAAAACATCTCTTCATTTTTACGAGCATTTATTTCGTTTGATGACATTTTTTTATAATTATAATTATACGTTTATTATATAATATTTATTTAAAAAATGTTTGAAATTGGTTTCATAGATTAATAATATTAAACTTTATTTATTTATTTATCAAAATTTGTTCTATTAAATACATTAGAGCTTTTATTAGTGTTTTTCTTTTAGTTTAGAATATTTTTAATCTACGACAGTCTCTTGAAGTTTGGTGCTAAACTTGATCTTTCTTCTATTAAAACTAATCTTAAGGTACTTGGGCATCACAATCTATATTATAATTCTCCGGATTATTGGCAAATGGTATCAAATTCGTTTTTATTTTCCCTGTTAGTTTCATCTAAATTGATTTTGTAAAATTTCAATTTTGAATGAAAATGAATTTCATTAGAAATCTTGAAGAACGTAGATTTTTGAAAAATGTTAATAATTCAAATTCTTTTAAAATTAGTTAAATTTTGTTATATATATTTAATTGATTAAAATAATGAATTTATAGAAGAGTTTTAGTTAAAAAAATAAAGAAGAATTTTAGTTAAAAATTCTAGAAAATAAAAGTAGAAAATAATGATCTTAGCAGGGAAAAAATCAAAGTTTTGTCTGGAAATAAGGGAAAACTTTTTATAGTTTATCTAAATGTAATCTATAATTTTCTTTTACTATAGTCAAGGTCCCTATCACAGGAAAGCGTCAAGAAAAAGTTTCTCGAATTTTTGTAGCACTTTTTAAAACATCTTGAGACTATGATTAAAACTAACTTAAAAGTTTGAAATTGAAAATTTCACTTTTTGTTTAAATTATAATGAAATAAAAAATTGATTATTTACTTAAAGTATAATGATCAGATTATATATATGATAGATATATATTATTGCTTTGCGTGTGTTTTTTTGAAATACTTTAATATTTGTCGTTTTCAAATACGTTAAAACTTAGGAAATGCTATTTGTTTGATATTTGTCATTAGTATCTTTATAGGGAATTCTTTTGGTAAAAATGAAGAGTTTTGTTTTTTAGTGGAGATTCGGAAAAAGGAAATTGTCATGAAATTGAATTTAGACGAAATTTCGTGGGGAGTGATTCGCAAAATAGCTTCAGTGAGACGTTTGTTATTTGCCGACTGGTGGCTCGATCATCCATAGTTATATTTTTTACATAAGGCATTTCGTCGTTTGAGCCAGACGGTTTTGGCATCACGTTACATGAGTCCCTTTCTTGCTGATCTGTGACAAAGATTAAAAAAATGTGATAAATTATTCTTGAAGTAATAGTTAAAAGAAAAAAAAATTTTACAAAATAGCACAATTGCTGGGCATTATTTGTAAAGTGCTGGCAAGACTATCATCATCAGCAGTTGAATCAATCGAGACTGGGGTGTCAATCAAGTCGAAACGGCAGAGAAAATTTGGCAAAGAATGGATGTTGTTTTTGTTTAAAAACACAAAAGTTGCTTGCCGACGCAAATGATTAGAGTCACTGATGATATAGAATGATAGGGAAATGTTAGTTTATTAATAAATAGTTACTATTAATGATAAGTATTATTAGTTAGTTGAATTAAACAGATTTAATGAGATGATGAGTGAGAGAGAGAGAGAAAGGGGTGCCAAACTTTCTCCCGGTTGTTGGACATTTTCGCCTCACTCTTCGATGACAAAAAAACACACCTGACAATGAGATCACTGAGTCCAAATTAAAATTTCTAATGGACAGGGTTCCAAAATTAAATAAAAAGAAAAAAAAATGTATGGAAGTGAAAATATTTTATGCAATAAGAAAGAAAACAATCGATTATTTAAAAAAGGGAAAGGAAAGATGATGATGATGATGATGATGATGATGATGATGATGAAAGATGCGTTTAAAAAATATCGAGTAGATTGTTGCTCATATTCGTAATGCGTATTGCAACTAATACGTATGTCGATTTCGATGGTTTTATTTCTTTGTCGATAAATTTTTAACTTTTTGGACTTGTGGCAAAGGGTTCAGGAGTGAATTATTCAACCAGACACATATCCGCACACAATATATAGCAGGAAGGGAAAAAATAGGATTACATTAAAGTACACTACCTCAAAACAATAGAATACGGATTTATTGTAATAAAAAAAAGTAATAAAAGCCAATATGATTATGTTTACACTGTTTGAATGAATTGAAAATAGTTGAAAATAGTTGAAAATAGTAAAATATACAAGTTTGCTCACAACTTTTTATAATATAATATATTTACATCGAAGTACAATTTTTACCAGATGGTTTTCAGTTTTTCAACACTTGTATATTTATTAAATAATAACATAACATAACATAACATATATATAAAGATGATCCGTGTAACAATACATCTCTGCCTTAGGTTGTTATAGTAATTTTGCCAGTTGGGCAAAATAAATGAACTGTAGGTACAACAATTTATTGATAATGAAAAAAGAAATGAAGAAATGAAACTATTAATGACGCGACGGTGTAAACATAATCCCGAAAGAAAATAAAAAAATAGTTCTACAAAACTCAGTTAATTCTGCTGTAAGATGAGATCTTTGCAGCAAGACAAATAGGAATAATTTATTGACTACATTCATAGTCTAACGAGTGTATCGTACTTGGTTGATTGGTGAGTTTTTAATCGTTTATACAGTACGATAAGTCGACGAATGAAAGAGTTTACCCGCATGATGCAAATGGTTATACTGAATGCGATTATTATTGCCATTATTGTAATTATCTATTCTTATCTATTATTATTACATTCTTATCATTATTGTGTAGAATGCTTCTTACTGACTGAATAAAAATGTTTTAATGTGCTTCCAATTCTTTTTAATAATAGTCACATCTATATTAATAATAATAAATTGGGTGACGATACAGAAATAAATTCTGTTCCTCAGTATACTATCCTTCTCACTTGTCCTGTCACATTACATCGTTTCATAAATTTTTAATTTAGTCCGTGTGAAGGCCAATAAAGCAGAATGTCTTATGAGATAGTTAAAAGTGTAGTCCAAGTCTCCCCTTAAAAAGTTTCGAAAAACTTCAATATTTATATAACTTTTAAGCCTGTATGGTAAAATTTGTAAAAATTACTATCCCCACAGCACCGAAAATTTCCTAAAAATTTTTTTAAATATTTAATTTTGCAATGTTTGAAATATTTAAATGTAAAGTTTAGAAAAACGGCGAAAGTTTCACACTAAACATTTATTTAATCGGGATATTTAAATCTTTACACAATTTTTACTAAAATTTGCATTACCTAAAGTCCTAAATATTCCGAACATTGCAAGTAAATATTTAATAAATTTTCAGAAAATTTTCGGTGCTTTGGGGGTAATTATGGTATTATTATTATCTGTTACTTGACTGTTTTTTGTTGAAACCGACTGTTTTTCTGTAATCAAAAGGCCTAAATACACATATTTATACTCATTTTTATTAGAAAAAAATAATTATATTTGTTATTATTAATTTCTCTTATTTATTTATTTATTTAATGCAGAAAAAATTTGTAAAAGCAATTTCGGTTACTTTCGGGTAAATTAACTGTAATCAGTATGCGATAATAATGAAGCACGAAGAAAGGTGAAAGAATGAAAATTAGTAAATTATAAAATTTAATACAATTTATTGATGTTATTTGCCTTTTGTTTGCTTTCTAGTTGCATTGTACAAATCATTATAATCTTGAAAAGTAACTTTAATTAGTCGGAAAAGATATAGATATACAATATACTTATTCGAAATTTATAAAAAAAAACAAAAATTGAACGAAAAGTGTGACATTTAGGAAATTGTTCGAGTTAACTTCCCGCGCTTCCCACCAACGACCAACCTGGATCTAGTAACTTTCTTTTCACAATGGTGACTGTCCGTCTAGTGTTATTCGCCGTCGGTCAAAGCGAGGACCAATCAGCGGTCAGAATTGATGATTTCATTTTCAGCAAAATACTTGTTTCTGCATTGCCCTTTATGTTGCCGTGTTCGTTATTCGTTATCGTGAGCCGAGTAACGAGTTAGCTTTGAGTGGGCCTGCGAGTGAGAGCTGAGTCGCTGGTCGCTGCTGAGTGTTGAGAACAACATCGAAAGGTGCTTTATTATTCTCTTCAATTCAAATTTATTATTTTGTGCATTCAATTTGTGTTGTGTGACAAGTGCAATCATTGTTGGAAAGGCGTCAACTACGCCTTCAATAATCGCTTGAAAAGTGGCAATCACATTTAAATAGTTTTCGTCAATTCCTAATATCATGTGCAAATTTAGTGGGAATTTCATATTTTTCTTTTTATCCCCCCCAGTATCATTACAACTAAATTGAAGGTTTGATTTCTAAAGTTTTCACTCTTTTCCTCTTTCTAACAGTTTTGCGGGTTTTGCGAAAGAATTCGTAGTTTGTAATTAGTGTCGCTCGTTTTCTATTCCATAATACATACACATGCAGTTTGCACAAACACTAACACACTAACAGCGAAAAACTTGCAAGAGATCTAACTTCCTTTTATTTTTCGCACTCTTTTGGAATCCAACTTTCTCTCTTGGTCTCAAATCAATTGTTCCATTTTGCATTTTATTCTCCTTGTTATAATCTGTAACAATGCTATTTTTCTTTTTCGCTTACTATTCAGTATTTATAGCGGAATTTTAATATTTTCAAGAATACTATATATAATTTTTTTGTGTTATAATGTTGGTCATTGACCGTTAAAATGACAGTGATTAACAAAACTTTCAAAAGCAATTCGCATTTCGCCGAGTTGAATTTTAAATATAAATTTTCCAAAATGAAATTCAATGATCGAAGGTCAGTGTTATTTGTCATAAAAAAGGGCGCCACTCTTTCTTTTCGCTGGTTATTTTTAAGCTCCCACTACGTAGTTTGCTTCAAATTTACTACTCTTTTATTAAAATTAGCAAATATACAAAAATAATTCACATTCAATTCGGAATTCATTCTTGTCTTGACTGTGCAGTGCAACATCAATAGTTTCTTTGTTCAACAATTTTTTTTTAAATATTTTTTGGACTCTTTCCCAAAAGTAACACGTGTGCTTTTGTTTTATTTCCCCTTTCAGGGTTTCTTAAAACAAAATACGAAATTTCTTTTTCATTTCTGGAATTATGATCTCATGGAACGTTTAAATTTTTAATTTCGTTCAATTTTTTCGTTTTTCTTTTTTGTATTTTTTATGCAATTTTCTCAATGTTATTGGCTTTGAAATTTAAGTTAATGCAAAATGCCAAGAAAGTAATGGAATTTAAAAAAAAATTTTCTCCATTTTAGTGCAAACATTTTTTTTAAGATTGCCAGACGAAATTTACAAAAGGTACTTTCAAAAAAAGAGGACAAAAGTACGTGTGATTATAAAAAAAGAGTACGAAAGTAAAACATTAAAAATTTAAATTTTATTATATACTGTAAACATAATAAAATTTATTATCAATATTGTTAAATAATAATATTATTGTGTTTCATTAAAAGTATAACACTTTTTGGCAATTGAAAGTAAAATTCTTCAAGGAATATGTTAATAATTTACAATAGTATTTTGTCTTGACAACTAAAATTTAACATTTGTAATATTTTTCTAATTAGTATTCAATAGTTTAAAAAATAAAATTAAAAATGTTGAAGGTTTAAACATCATACTTAGATTTTTAAAGGTAATATTTTATTGCATTTAAAATAAATTACATCACTTATTAAACGATAATTTATACAGAGAAAAAAAACAATTTGATTTAAATAACCGATTATTTGACTTATGGAACATTACATTACCGCATATACCTTGTCAGGTTTTTATTCAATTTCAGGTTGTATTATTTATTTTTACTAATAAAATATTATATTATACATCTATGTATTGGAATGTAATAATAACTAATTTTAACCAATTTATGTAATCAATAATAATAATAATAATAATAATAATAATAATAATAATAATATTTTCTAATGCTTTCGAATCGATTACTAATTATTTATAATTACTTTAAGATTCTTAATTTATGTTGCATCCTTTTTCAAAGATTATAATACTAAATAGTGTGTCCTATTTTTTAATGTTGTTATTTATATTAAATAATATATACAAAGTAACCTAAAATTAATATGAATTAAATATAAATAATTTACAATTTTATCTTATTTAATTTTCTCAAAATTATTTATTTATACTATATAAATACAGAACTTTGTCACCTCACAAAGCGAGCTCTTTATATTCCACAATATTACGACTTTTATATTAAATTAACGATAAACAAATTTTTTAATTTTATAAAAATTTTCTTTTATTCCAATTTTTGTTCAACTAAATTTTTACTTGACGTAATTTTTAATCCGCAATTGATTTTCATTGAAATAATTTACATTTTATCAAATATTCATTTTTACAAAATTTGCGTCAGACGGAATTTTTATTTAACCAAATTGTTGTAAAATAAAATTTGCATTTTGTTTTTAATTTAATCGAATTGTTATTTTATCACATACCGGCTTTTGCTATACATTATCAAATTTTGTAAAAATTCTTTTCTTCATACCAAAAAATTTATAAGTATAGTTACGTTTTATAGAATAAAAAATATTTATTCCAAAGTTTACTTACATGCAGTAAATATATATTTTTATTGCTTTCTCCTTCTAAAGGTGATGTAAAATATTTTTGTAGCATTCAGGTATGTATAGATAACAATAATAAAATAAAAAAAATAAATAAAGAAATATTAAGTTATTTCAAACTTAGGATATTTTGTTGGCATTGATAAAGGATCGAAGATTTATTATTTAAGAGGGGGGGGAGGTTTTAACGGTGAAAAAAAGCATGTTTTTAAGAATTTTTTTTTGCGATATGCAAAAAGTTAATTTATTTTATCGCTTTGCATATAATATTGTAACATTTGAAGAATATTTCTCTAAATTTTAATTAAAAAATATTAAGAATTGTGTGAGACAATGAGATTTTTTTCAGGCGCCTTCAAAAATTTGCGGTGTACACTCTAACTCGCAACAGAATCATCCAAATCAAAAAAATCAAAGTGCATTTGTCAAAGGAGATGTTTTTTGAGGTAACGCTGGGAGCTTTTTTTTAAAAAAATTACCAATTTTATAATAACAAATTAATTGATTTTTTTATAGCGAAAATCGACTTTTTGGCTTTCAAGTGCTACAAAAAATCGAAAAATAAAAACAAAAATTCCTCCCAGCGTTACCTCAAAAAACATCTCCTTTAACAAATGCACTTTGATTTTTTTGTTTTAGATGATTCTATTGCGAGTTAGAGTGTACACCGCAAATCAATTTTTCTTGGAGGCGCCTGAGGAAAATCTTAAATTATCTCGCTCAATTCTTAATAATTTTAATTAAAATTTAGAGAAATATTGTTCAAATGTTGCAATATTATATGCAAAGCGATAAAATAAATTAACTTTCTGCGTATCGCCAAAACAAATTCTTAAAAACATGCTTTTTTCACCGTTTAGACCTCCCCCCCCCCCCCCCTTAAGGGCGACAAAATGAGTTGCGAAAGTGACTCTCATTATGAGCTGCAACAAAAATTATCCCCATCAACTCATTCTGAGTTCAAGATGAAATAACAATATTATTACAGTCAAATAACAACCACTTTGTTGTAGAAATATTAATTAGAATCATTGTTTTAAATTAAATTTGTTTCTTAATATAAACCTTAAACCCGATTCATTGTATTTATCGAGAATGAAAAAAAAATGCTCTGGTTAGAACGTGTGAATTTATAAGATGAATACCAACCATGCAACAGAAAACATAAAAATTTTAACGGCGCACCACCGTTGCCATCCAAGGATAATGGCAGATGCTGCTAACATAAAATCCTTAAAATTTTCAATTTCAACAAAAACGAACATAAACTGATATTTGATTTAGGTGAGACTCATTTTGAGTAACTTGAACCGAATTCAAAATGAGTTTAGTTTTTTTCTGTGGATTGAAACTCTATAAAAATTGTATCGACTTTAATTGTATATAGATTTTCTTCTAAATAGATTTCTATATTAATGATGAATGAAGTTTTTTCCATAATTGGTTCCGTGAAAATTAACATATAAAATAAAGAGAAATTCCTAGTAAATCGCGAAGGAGCACAAAGGAGACTTTCAGGTCAAGGATTTAAAAAAAAACTATTTTTCTTTTTTTGATTTAAAATGCTCCCAAGACCCAAGTATCATAAAATTACTGTCCAAAAACATTTTTGAAGGAATATGTAAAAGAAAAAAAGTTATAGCAATTTTTATGACCGTTTCTTAACTCACTGCAATACGTTACGAAAACTTTAAACGCATTTTTCTCGAAAACACATTTTTCAAAACGGGGAGACACTTTTCTCGAAATCTACCGAACAACCAATTTCAAAAAACCAAAAACCATTCTATTCTTTAGACAACAAACCTATTAAATTTCATATTATTTCTACCGAATGTTATTTTTTACGAGGGAAAAAAATGAGCTTATAAAAAATTGCAAAACATTTTAAAAAAATAGTTTTTGAGGATTGTTGTCTAGAAAATTGCTTTATAAAGAGCATCCCGTTTAAATTTCTAATTATTTATGTAAAATAGGTAATAGGTTGCCTGGAAACTGTTTCCCCGAATAAAAGGCACCTTTTGGAAGACGTCACCTATAGTTGCGAAAATGAACTGAAAATACTGAAAAAATTAAATAATTATTTATTTAAAGATTAAGTTTTACATGTTTTTAGATACCCAGGTGCGAAAAGTTGGTCGGGCCATGGTCGCGCCGACCAAGTGGATAGTCGTGCCGACCTTGGCAACCAAAGGTCGGCCGAACTAGCGAATTGTAACACCCGCCGTCCAGTGGCTGACATGGTCGGGCCGACTATGGCTGCCAAAGTCGGACCGACCAGGGGTGCCAAAGTTTTGCCAACCATGTGAAAGAATGTCGGCTTGACTTTGGCAACCATGGTCGTGCCGACCTTGGCAGCCAAAGGTCGGCCGAACTAGCGAATTGTAACACCCGCCGTCCAGTGGCTGACATGGTCGTGCCGACTATGGTTGCCAAAGTCGGGCCGACCAGGGGTGCCAAAGCTTTGCCGACCATGAGAAAGAAGGTCGGATTCACTTTGGCAACCTTGGTCGTGCCGACCTTGGCAGCCAAAAGTCGGCCGACCGATTGCAAAAAATTATTAATTATTTATTATTATTATTAATTATTATTATTCATTATTTATTTGTTTATTGTATACATCTTAACACTAAACGCAATCTTACACATAAATACAAATTAAAATTTCTAACGCTCGCAGGAATCGAACTCGCAACCTAACGCACCGAAGTCTAACACGCTAACCATTACGCTACGCTTACATGAAAGCCTAAGAACAAAAATGATTTTATAAGCTGCAACTTCAAACTGACCATCGGCCCGACTCTGGCCAAAGTCGGCCCGACCAAGTGAAATTAGGTTTTTTGCACTCTGGCTGCCATAGTTTTACCGACCGTCGGCCCGACTCAGGCCAGAGTCGGCCCGACCAATTGAAATTAGGTTTTTTAAACTCTGGCTGCCATAGTTTAACCCACCATCGGCCCGACTCAGGCCAGAGTCGGCCCGACCAACTAAAATTAGGTTCTCTAAACTCTGGCTGCCATAGTTTAACCGACCGTCGGCCCGACTCAGGCCAGAGTCGGCCCGACCAATTGAAATTAGGTTCTCTAAACTCTGGCTGCCATAGTTTCACCGACCGTCGGCCCGACTCAGGCCAGAGTCGGCCCGACCAATTGAAATTAGGTTTTTTAAACTCTGGCTGCCATAGTTTAACCCACCATCGGCCCGACTCAGGCCAAAGTCGGCCCGACCAACAGAAATTAACCTTTTTAAACTCTGGCTGCCATAGTTTAACCCACCATCGGCCCGACTCAGGCCAAAGTCGGCCCGACCAACAGAAATTAACCTTTTTAAACTCTGGCTGCCATAGTTTTACCGACCATCGGCCCGACTCAGGCCAGAGTCGGCCCGACCAACAGAAATTAGGTTTTTTAAACTCTGGCTGCCATAGTTTTACCGACCATCGGCCCGACTCAGGCCAGAGTCGGCCCGACCAATTGAAATTAGGTTTTTTAAACTCTGGCTGCCATAGTTTAACCCACCATCGGCCCGACTCAGGCCAGAGTCGGCCCGACCAACTAAAATTAGGTTCTCTAAACTCTGGCTGCCATAGTTTAACCGACCGTCGGCCCGACTCAGGCCAGAGTCGGCCCGACCAATTGAAATTAGGTTCTCTAAACTCTGGCTGCCATAGTTTTACCGACCGTCGGCCCGACTCAGGCCAAAGTCGGCCCGACCAACAGAAATTAACCTTTTTAAACTCTGGCTGCCATACTTTAGCCGACCATCGGCCCGACTCAGGCCAGAGTCGGCCCGACCAACTAAAATTAGGTTCTCTAAACTCTGGCTGCCATACTTTAGCCGACCATCGGCCCGACTCAGGCCAGAGTCGGCCCGACCAACTAAAATTAGGTTCTCTAAACTTTGGCACCCATAGTCGGCCCAAACTTGGGTGGAAACAGTAACCAAAGTCGGCCCGACTTTGGCTGCCGACCTATTGGCAGCCATAGATGGGCCGACCTGCGCCCGACCTTTCAACTCTGGCGGCCGACCAAAATTCGCACCTGGGTAAGATCGCAAGTCATCATAATTATGTGAGATTGAAACTTTTATGTATTAAGAAAAAACTTATTTCAAAAACAGCATTCTTGTCTTGTAGAAAATCTGGATCAGACATTACAAAGCTTTTATAGATCACCTACAAAGAGTAAAAGTAAATAAAATTTAAAAATGTATCTTTGATAGAAATTTTATCGATTTAATTCCTTTTTGAAAATAAAAACTAAAACTTTAACACAAAAAAAAAATGAAATTGTTGGTGAAAAATTGGATATATTTGACATGAATTTTGCAGACAAAAACAATGGCGACAACACAAATGCGAGCACGAAGCGTAAAAAAGCTTGAAAAGCCTCGGCCGCTGAAGCTGGCTCAGCGTCAATCGACCGTCGACGGGCGGATATCGACAAGTAGGTTTTATTCATTTAATAAATTATTTGTAAGTCACTTTCTCAGTTATTGTAAGTAATTCATGTTTCTCTGCTTTATATTAAATATTTTCTTGTTTATCATTTCTTTTTCATGACATTATTTCTTTATATACAAAGAACAGACGTTATTTGAAAGTTAATGCATTCACTTCGTGATATTATTCAGTAAACATTATGTGTGTATATGATTTACAGCTTCCTCGATATCTCGATACAAAAGACATTTCAATGTAAACACTGAAAATTAATTTTTTATTAAGGTCATTGAGTAATAAGGAATATTGAAATTAATTTTTCTTTTCAAGATTTCAGCCTAATTTTTTATTTATTTCTTCATAATTTCCTACCTTTTTCGCCTTATATTTTTAGAAGAAAAATTTGTAAAAATTGTCATTTTTTGTAAATTAGAAAAATTTTTAATTATGCTTATTTAAAAAAATGTTTAGTATTTTGAAACTTAAAAATCTTTTAATATTATTTCTCAGTCTTTAAATTTAGAAATTTTTTCATGTAATAGCAAAATTTACACTATTTTCAATGTCAATTTTTTTATAAAAATTATTAAAATTTAATTCCTCGAACTTTACAATTAGCTATTAAATATTCTTATTTTTAGAGTAAATTTAAACTATTTTTGAAATAAATTTTTATACGTTTTATTAAAAAAAATTGTCTTTGAAAATAGTTCAAGTAATTCTGGAAATAACAATTTTTAATATTAAATTTTACTATTTTTGAAGGAAATTTTTTTCTGAATTTTACTTCGTATATCGTAAAATTCATGTAATTTTAAAAAAAAAGTTACGGACTACGGAAAGAAATAAAAAAAATATCAATAATTAATAGAAAAAGTTGTCTAAAAAAATAATTTGATTTAAAAAAGCTGAATTTAAAAGAATAAGTAGAAAAAATTTTTGAACTAAATTTTAATTGCGCTATAATACAGAAATAGTAAACTCTTAAATTCGGCACTATGTCTGCTTCAATGTCAATAATAAATGTTGCACCTTAATTTAACAATGCATTAAAAAAAACTTTGTTTTAATATATATTTTAATCTTCTAAAAATACAAAACTTAAATTTTACATATTTTAGAAAATAAACAATTGTTTTTATAGTGTGGAAAAAAGTGTAATGATCGCATATATATAAATTATATAATAAATTTGCGTCGGTAGTGTTGTACATATTAAATGAACTATGAAGTTGGTTCATTCTATTTTCCCTCTTGAAGTTATAAAAAAAACTTATATATTTTTTTTAATTGTAAAAAACCTGAACCTTTCGATTGAAAAAAACAATGAATTGGTTGGTTTGTTTTGCTTATTAACCTTATGTGCTTCAAAGAGTCAAATATGTAACTTTCATTTTTATTTCTATTTCGACGTGAAACAGATCTTTTTTTTTTCTTTTTATTTCATTCTTACTTTATTTTATCTATAATTTTTTCTGAGAAAAAGTATTTCAATAATTATTATTTTTATTTATTTAACAAAATCTCTACTTTTATTGCCGACTTTTTTGCAATAATCATTTTTATTTAAACGAATTTATTATTCATTTTTTTTAATTAAAAATGAAATTTTGTAATTTTGTAGAAAATATTTATTGAATTTGCAAAAAAATTGCACATGGAAATATTTATTTTTAGATACTATTTTTTCGATTCATAAATTTTTCCATTCGAAAATTTTTTTGTGAATACAAAAACATGTTTTCTAGAAAATTACGCACGGATTTCAAAATCAACCAATTTTGAAGATAAATAAAAATTCATAAAGGATAAAAATATTTTCTGTCCGATTTTATTTTATGAGCGCATTGATTCTCGTAAAACAAAATTGTTGTCGTTTGATTGAAATTGCAAATTTCCGAAAATGTTTAAATTAAAAAGTGATTCAGTAAAAATGTGGACAACTATACATTTCGCATCATTGAAATTTTTGTCAGTAAAATAACATTCTTTAATTCTAAATTGCTTTTTCAATTAAAAATAGAAAAAGAAAAAGCTGAAAATCAGCTACTTTTAGTTTAGGTTATGTCACGGTATTGAAATTGTTGAAATAATTTGTAAAATTATTTTTGTAATTTTATTTTTGGGGCGGTATCAATTGCCCAAAATTCAACTGTATACAGGAAAACTGCACACATTCAAGTGCACATGGGAAAACTGTATACAAGCAAATTAAACAAATAAAATCATTAAATTAAATTTAAAAATTGTACAAATTTAAACTGCATAGGTACCGGTAAACTGACCACAGGAAAACTGCACAATATTAAAAATTGCAAATTTTAATAAAAAAATGAAATTAATTTAAACTGATGTATACAGTTAAACTGACCTCAGGAAAACTGCACAAAAGCTTATTTTTAATAAATTTAATAGAAAATAAGCTTTTGTGCAGTTTTCCTGAGGTCAGTTTAACTGTATACAGTTTAAATTTGTACAATTTTTAAATTTAATTTAATGATTTTATTTATTTTTAATAATAATATAACTTCTTCAAGAATTTTTTCTTTAATAAACATTAGAAATTCCAAAAAAATAAACTTAAAAATATAGATTTAAAACAAGGTGGCCGCAACTCAGGGAAAAACTGTAAATCAGGGAAAAGTCAGGGAATTTTGATCGAGAAAAACCACAAATTAAAAAACTTTGATACTTAAATGTCAATTCAGTTTTTTATTTAGACGTTTTTGTAATATAGCTCATTATAATGGTGCCGTCATATTCATCATATTTTTTATAAGTTTGGACCTTCTTACGGATATTTCAATGTAGAATATTAAATAATTCAAAAATTTGTTAGTCAGGGAAAAGTCAGGGAATTTTTTTCAACAATTTTACACCACTTTACACCACTTTAAACACGTGACAGCCTTTGTTTTGGATTCCATTTCCCTGAAAGTCAAAATAGATGGCTCTGTTTTTACTTCTTGATGAAGTCTTTTGTTTTTCTTTGCCATTTAATAAAATTTGTCAAGAAAAGTAACTTGAAACGAAAAATGTCAAACATTTTATGAGCATATTTATTGTAAAGAAAAATATGTAACAAGAAGTTTAAGTATTTTAATTGTTTTTTGGAAAGATAAATTTTAATAATATAAATTATGATACGCAGACCAAAAACAGGTAAATTTTTAATTTTTTAGAGAAAAGAAAACGAAATTGTTTGATGATAAATTTGAATAAGTGACAGTTGAACATGTAATTTTATTTTATTTGAAATAGAAACTTATTAACACGGTTTTTTTCTTTTTTTCCATTTTCAATAGTTGAGGACATTCTGTCCTTAATCGACAATGTGATAATGCAATTAAGCAATGGTTACCACGATCGAATGCTGCAAACAAAAGTGATTACAATGTGCAATCACCTGAAGCTGTATTCTTCGCAGCTGGAAACTATGTACAAAGGTTAGTGTCTAAATTCTACAAATTCCTAAAATATCAGATATTTTCAAAACACAATTTTTCTTTCTTTTCCCCCTGCTTTTAAATTTATCTTATCGTCATAATTATATTGTTTTCTAATATTAGTAAATTTTACAGTCTACGTCAATTTTCACCAGATTTCATTTATATAATAATTATTTCATTTTATTTTTTTTCACTACAATTTTTAATTATTATCAAATTTCGAAAATTCAAATATAAAAAAAAAACAATCTATACCTACATTAAAATTTTTTAGAATTATTATCAAGATTTTGAAAAAAACAATTATTTTCATATACTTTTTAATAAAAATTCTTACAAAAATTAATTATTTCCTTAAATTGTTCAAAAAGTCTTTTAAAACTCGATTACATATTTTCCAAAAATATTACATTGCAATATTTGTAAAAGCCTAATTTTTAGAATTTTTTAATAATATTTTTTTTTAGATTTAATTATTTTCAAAATAATAATTATTATTGTAAAAACGGCGTTTTAAATAATTTAATTTCGAAAGAGTTACAATTTCAATTTTTATTAATTAGTTAATTTTAAAAATATTTCAGTTCTAAATTTTAAAGATAATTGAAATTCTTAAAAATAATATTTATTACTTATATATAATACTATTTATTCTAATAATGTAATAATAAATTCTTAGTAAGGAACATTTTTTTATACCACGCATTGAAATTGGAAATTGATATAAAAATTACAAACTTAATGAAACAAAAATTTATGGACTGTGTACAAAAAATATTAATAATGTTGAGCAATTAACATTTACTTTTCCTAATGATTTAAAATACTCGAGATGAATCAAAAATTTACGTTCAGCTTCAAAAATATAGTATTTTTAAATTCTTGGGAAAATGATCCATGTCTAGAAGTGGTGTCAGCATCTGTGACAAACATAAAAAAAACTCTTCCGAAAACAAAAAATTATTTTTGACATTTCAAATTTTACTTTTTTTTTTATAAAATACAGTTTTACAGGTCAAAATTTGTTTATTTTATTTACATATCTTTATTTATTTATTTATTTATTTATTTTAATGTTTCCTATTTTTTCAATATTTGACTAAACAACTTACACTCTTGATTTAAATCAATAGTTAATGAAGTAATAAATTTAAAATAATTAATTTTTTTTCACCAAATCACCCAATAGAATTTTAACTGGCAATCAGTAAAATTTCACTGCTTGAAATCTGTAGTGACATTTTTTTTGAGAGACTTGAACTTTTTTTCAACTGTTGATAATATAAAATAAGATTTGTCGAAAAGATTTATATGAAATATTTTTCTTAGGGAAAAAATGTCTTTAAAAAAAAGAAATGGGAAATTCGGGTATTTCCCAGATTGCAAACGACCCTTTTCACGATCGTAAAACTCCCGCAGTGAAGGGTCTACTGGACAATTTTTTCCAAATTATTTTGAAAAGTATATTTATATATTTCTCTGTATAAAAAAATAGAGGATTTATTTTTTGGCTCAAGTAACGATTCGAATATCAGATGTTTCAAATTACTATTTTGTTGGTATAAGATTCAAAGTGGGCAACAAATCTTGAAACCTTTATAACTAGGAAGAGCGTCACAGAGAAAAAAATAATATTGTAGAGAATACGACTCGGCTTTTCTTCTCTCACCTTTATTTTCCGAAAAATTAAAAAAAAGTTTCTGAATTTTTCTTTTTTGATGTTAAACATTTTTTCACAAAAATGAATTAGTATTTTTGTACTATTCTTTCTTTTGAAAAATTATTATAAAAAAAGTATTTCTATCATTTTTTTTTTTGTTTCTAATAATCAAATTCCATTTTCAGTTTGTTTTACAGTCTAACCTATCGGAATGAAATTCTATTTTAAAAATTTTTTTGTATTCAAAAATGTCCAATAAAAATTATTTTCCCTTAGTTTCATTTTCCCTTTTTATTATATCATCAGTGACAATTAGATTAAAAAATAAAAATGTATTTTGTTTTACATTATTGAATAGCAATAGACTCAGGTGAATAATAGATTTTTTGTACATTTCTAGATCAGCTTGATAGAGCCTTTGTAGTAATTAGAAACGCCAGCCACGATGGAAGATTGGATGTCACAACAAGAGTTCACTTGCTGGAACTTATCGAATTGAGAGCCAAACAATGGCACCACTCCGACTCAATGGATGCTTATTATACGCAAAAACTTACGCATTTAGATAATGTAAGTCTTTTTTCACTCTTTTTCTTCCTTTCAAATCTTTTCAATTCCTATCGAAATAATTGAAAAATATCTGAAATTTAAATGGAGAGTAGTTTCAGAAGCACGAGAAATACTTTCAATATTTTCCAAAAACAAAATTGAGAATTTTCATTATAAACAAGAAATTTTGCCAATTTCTATTGGCATTTATTTAAAGAAAAAAAAATTTTGTTAAAAATTGTGATTAAAAAATTATTATGCAAATTTTCTTTACTTTTTTCTTAAAAAAAAATTGAAAATTTTGTTAATACATTGTCACAGATAAATATAAATGAGAAATTTATTTTCTTTTCTCAAAAGGAAACAACTGAGAATTTTGTACCAAAATTGAGATTATGAAATAGAAATTATGTCATTTTTTTTATTTATTTCACAAAGGGAACGTTCATAAACTACGTAGCACGTCTAGGGGGAGGGGGGGGGGGTGGGTCAAGCAATTGTCTACCATAAGAGGAAAAAATGGCGCTAATACATGTAATTGCGTCCACGTGAGGGGAGGGGGTGGGGGGTTAAAATTTTCAAAAAATTGGTCTACGTAGTTTATGAACGTTCCCAAAAACAAATTTATAATTTCGTTGAAAATCATGATTAATAAAAAAAATTGCGGCCTTGTTTTTTCATTTTTCTCCAAAAAAAAACTTGTCAAAAAAATGATATAATTTCTATTTTATAATCACAATTTTGTATAAATAAATTCTATTCATAAAAAATTTTTTCTTTTATTTTTAAATAGAACTTGTAACTTGTACTGGTTACTTTTTATGAATTGTGAATTAAATTAATTTTGATGACCTACATATTAATTGGAACTGTTCTAACAATAGTTTGGGACCAGTAAAAAATTTTTTGACTAACAATTGTTAGTAAACAGAAGATAAAGTTCGCTCAAAAAAAAAATTTTTATCTTCTGCTAAATATCGGCTGTGGTTACTTTTTATGAACTGTGAATTAAATTAATTTTGATGACCCAGATATTAATTGGAATTGTTCTACCAATAGTTTGGAATAGTAAATAATTTTTTTTTAATTTAGAATATTTCTGGAATTTTGCCTGTTAAAGATTTTTAAGAAAATTCAGGGTTCCTACAGAATCATGGAAATCATGGAAAAGGCCTGGAATTTTTAAAAGTTTCTAAATTTTTTCTGTTTTCCACTTTTTCTCTTAAATAGAAATTCAAATAATAATAAAGCTAAATGGCATAAAAGGGAAGAAAAAATGTTAAATTTTAAGAAATTCGGATTTTAGAATTTTTGATAATTTTCGATAATTTTAGATTGTTTACCAAAGAGTCGAGACTATTAAAAAAGTAAAGTACTTTCCAAGAGCACAAAAATAATGAAGCTAAATTCCATAAAAGAGAGGAAAAAATGTTGAATTTTAAGAAATTCGGATTTTTGAATTTTTGATAATTTTCGAAAATTTTAGATTTTTTACCAAAGAGTCGAGACAATTTAATAAGTAAAGTATTTTCCAAAAGCACAAAAATAATGAAGCTAAATCCCATAAAAGAGAGGAAAAAATGCTGAATTTTAAGAAAAACGGATTTTTGAATTTTTGATAATTTTCGATAATTTTAGAATTTTTACCAAAGGGCGGAGACTATTAAATAAGTAAAGTGTTTTTAAAGAGCCCAAAAATAATGAAATTAGATTTAAAATTCCACTGGAATTTCGTAAAAATTTGACCTGGAAATCATGGAAAAGGTATGGAATTTTAAATTTGGATTTCTGTAGGAATCCTGAAAATTTTAAGTTAAAATTAAAAAATGTTTTTATCTCATTGTCATATAAAAATCTCTAAGGAAGAAAAATTTTTGGTTTGTAATTCTTATTAAATTTTTGGTATTTGGAAGTTTAAAAAAATTTTTAGAGCTGAAAATGTGTTATTGGGCCAGAAATTTTTTTAATTTTTGACTGGAATTTCATAAGTATTGACCTAGAAAATCTTGGGAAAAGCCTGGAATTTTATATATTTATCATTATTGTGACAACCATGAATAAAGAATTGAATTTTTGTATTTAAATAATTGAATTCTCGAAACTCGAAGAACTTTCGGAAAATGATTAAAAATAATTGATTTAGAGATGAAGTTTAGCTAAAAATTGTAGAAAATAATTGAATTTTGGAAGTTGTAATTGTTAGAAGTTATTAAATTTCAGAAGTTTTTAAATTTTATTTCCCTTTAGAAAACAAATAAGTATTTTTAAATATTTATTTAACAAAATTATTGAAATTTTGAATAATTGAATTTAGAAATCATTGGAAGGTGAGAAAAATACAAAATAAAATTTTTGTGACAGCACTGAAGCCTGAGGATTATACATTTGTCCCACAAGGTTTTAAATAAACTTGTTTTTGTATATTTTAGCACCACCATAATGAAGCAAGATCTCCGGAGAATCCAACTCTGATGATGATGCCACTAGCGTCGCCCTCGACACCAGTTTTGAGACCAGGTGAGGTGATTAAGAACAGTGGGAAATTTGCGAAACCAACGCGGATTCCTGGCAAAAATTATTGCAAGGATGAAGTTATTATTCGCAACAGTGATTCAGGAAAAGGTAATTGAACATAAATGTGTAAACTTGTCTGTTTGTTTTCAAATGACGACAATTTCCTTATTTTTTTTATTCTTTGCTTCAACTATTAGTTGCATTCCTTCGAACAAAAGTCCCAATACTTTGTTCATTTTTATGCACCAGTTTTTAATTTTCATGTATATAGTCATATAGACAAGAAATATTTGTGTCAGAATTAAAAGAAAAATTGTTTGTGTGATAAAAAAAACAGTGATGGGAATAAAAGGGCGACGAGTTCACATGATCGAAGAACTCAGCGAGACCATCATCTCTTTCCAGCGAGGTAAAGCAAATGAGTGCCAAAGCAGCTTTGCAGCATTTAATCATGCATTCGGAGACATTAATTGAATGTTCTTTCATTCGTTTTTCCTTTTCACTTTTTACAAAATCTTCCTTTTTTTATTGATTTACTTTTATTTTAATTAATTTGTAATTTACAAGTATAATGAAAATTTGAAATACGATTTTGTACTCTCAATTTTTTGAATTCCATTTTTTTGTCTAATCTGTCTTTTTTCAGTCTAATCTGAATAACTTACTATTAAAAAAAGTTTGACCCTTGTTTTTTGAAAAATGAGAAATTAACAACTGATAAAAAATGTTTCTTGACATTAACAACTTGATGTGGTCGATTTACAGAAATCTTTCAGCTGTGGACTTGTAGCATTCGCTTTTTTCCTCTACAATGATTGAGATTAAAATTCTTAGCATGTAACACAATAAGCTGCACAGAAATGTTCCATTCTGAATTACTAATTGGCCGCAATTATCGTTTTTTTAAAATTAGTTTATTAACAGATTGACATTAATCTATAACAATTTTGTGAGATTGAGGTGCCTTACTTTGAATAATAATTTAATTTTTTTACAGTGAACCCCGGAGCGAAAGAGAGGCTTGTCCAAATCACGGGAACTTCAGAGGACAAGATACAGTAAGTGAATTTACGATTCCTAATTGAAATACATACATTGTAAAATGGCATTTTCAGTTACGCGAAGGATTTAATAAAGAACACGATACAACGAAATGCATCGCCCGTTCGACTTGATCAAGGTGGAGGAGAGAAAAGCGGGATAGGCGACTCAAGCTCGTCCCTGAACAGCAGCGCGTCTGACGAAAGCAACAGACTGCAAAGCTCGCGTTCTCGTCTTGCCCACAGCTTCTCCACCAACGACGCCAGTATTGGCGAATACAAACTTACGGTTATTGTCGGTAACCAATCTTTGAAGATCTCTGGCTGTGATTTGAACCTTGTCAAGGTAAATTATTCACACAACTGTTTGAGTAAAGTATCGAATAATAAAAAGTATTAACAATCTTATGCCATCTAATTGCAGACCGCGAAACAAATTCTGGAAGATCTTCTGTCTGGAGATGGAGAGCAGTCCAACAGCGGGGTTGAGTTCTTCAGTCTGGAAGAAGAGGCTGCCTTTTCTCCAGTCAATCAGTCCAGCCCGCAGATTTACTCCAACATTTACTCGAACAAGGCCCAAGTCCCAGGCAGAGAACTGAGTCTCGAAAGCAGTACAACTTCTGAAAACGAGGAAACTTACAAAGCTCGTGCAATTTCGGAACCCACGAAGACGAAGCCGAAGAAAAATGGTAATTTTTTTCAATTATTAGAGTCCATTTTGTGTCAAAGTCGATTCGATTTTTCCATTAACGTTCTGTGTAAAAATCGCATCTACAATAATTTAGGAGTAACTATTTTTGTGTTTTCGAATGTTAAATTAAGTTTGCAAATTAAATTATGATTCTTAATTCAAAATAATTAAAGTTATTATCTAAAAATTCTAAAAAATAAATAAATTTCGAAAAAATTACAGTTTTAATTTTTAGAAATAACTAAATTTCAAATTATTATTTCACATTTAATTAAATTTCAAAAGGTTTGAAATTGAAATTATAAAAAATATTAATTCTCGTGGGAAGTTAAATATTAAGTAAGTACTTAAATATTAATTTGCCAAAAATGATACAAGTTTTGAATAATTTAACTTAGAAACTCTGATAAAAATGAGGTTTTTGAAAAATTGTAATTACAATTTTTTACAGATAGTTCAATTTCCAAAAATAATTAAAAAATTTAGAACAGTTGAAAATTTTGTTAAATTTCATTAAAATACATTTTATATTTTTAATTTTACGAATATGTAATTTTCAAGTATAATCGTATTTTTGAAGAATTCTAACTGAAAATTTGGAAAATAATTTAGATTTGAATAGTTATTACCAGAAGAAAAAAGTTAAAAAAAATTTGTGAAATCATGGAAGAGTCGAGTAAATAGAAAGTCAAATTTTTGTAAAAATCGTTAATAAAATAATTACTTTTTTAATTACCCTTTTCGTAATTTGAATCGACTAAAACTACTTTTTTGGGGTTTTAAAGTCGAATTCATAATAAAATTCTCAATTTTAGTGTCTTTTTTGTTTGCCTCTTAAACTATGAAATTACCATCAATTATTCTAATGTAAAACCTTTAAATGTTTCTATTTCTAACAATAATTTCTTTTCAAATAACTTAATTCTTGACGAACTATCAAAATTATTACTCATAAATAATTTAATGAATAATTTTACTTCAATATTTCAACATTACAGTAGAGACTCCATTATCCGGATATTCGATTATCCGGACAAATTTAAAATAAAAATTTTTTTTTTAATATAAAGTTTATAAGGTCTCAAGCCGTTAATTAACTTCTATTTTAAATTTATTTACACGAAATGTTGCGTTTTAAAGTGTTTTAATTATTTTAAGAAAATGGTTATGTAAATATTTTGAAATATTTCTAACTAAATATTTATTAATGTTGACTTTAAAAGTTTAGTTTGTTTCTGTCTTATTTTAATACATATATGCAAATAAATACATAAAATTATGAATCAAAAATTTGTTTAATTCGTACTTTACTCGATTATCCGGATTTTTGATTATCCGGACAAGTGCCTGCATCCATTAGTCCGGATAATGGAGTCTCTACTGTACTTATGCATAAGGATTAAATTTTAAGAAACATTCAATTAATCAATAAATTATTTATTCTTTTATTTAAATAATTGAATTGTCATAGAATTTTTTAATAAAAATTGATTTAAAAATGAATTTTAGTTAAAACTTTATATTATAATTGAATACCTATTAAAAGCATTATAGCGGGAATTTTTTTAGAAATAATTGAATTTTGAAAAGGTTTTAAATTAAAATCTTAGAAAATCTGTATTTTTCATATTTTTAACTAATAATTCTGTAGAATTAATGTTTTTTCAAAATGTTTAATTAAATTTTTTGGAAATTATTTCAAGTTTTCATTTTTATATTTAATTGAAGAGTTTCCGAATAATGCAAATTTTTATAAAATTGAATTGTAAACTTTTTGAAAAATTATTAAAAATAATTGATTTAAAGAAGAATTGTAGTTAAGAATTGTAGAAAATAATAATTGAATTAAAATAATGGAAATAATTTTAAAGAAGTTACTGTAATAATATTTTTATAATACCTATAAAATAATGAATTTACCATTCAGTCATCTTTAATTATTATATTACAAAACATGAAGATTATTTTCTAATTGAAAAAAATGAATTTTTCAGCCTCGAGGGAATTGTCGTACGATTTTTTAATGATGTGCTCCGAAGGACCCTATGCAAAGAGGGCTCCCGCAGATTGGGCTCGAATCCAAAAGGAGTGCCCCAACATTGTGCGCAAGGTATTTGACAGGAATGATAATTACATTTCTCACAATATGTTTGCAATGAATAATAACAAAACCGTTGAGCCCAAGGCTAGTTACTTCATTGACGCCGAAAATAACAAACATCCACGCTACAATTTCGTCTACTTGCTCTAAAGAAGTTTATTAAATTTTGTTCCTTCGTTACTAAAGAGTTCTCTATCAAAAATCGGACAACTGCAATTGTCAAAACATTGCAAAACATTGCAAAACATTGCAAAATCTGTTCCGATTACAGGATAAAAAATTATTTTCTCAGACAGATACTTTGAAAACTTTTCCAAGATGAAGTTTTTAACGCTCTCTGAATATATTACACGAATAGAATGAATACATTAAGAAGAAACGAAACTGTTAAGGCTGATGAGGCTATGAACCGGAATTTCATAGTCAGACTCGTTTACACTTATTTCCTTCTGGAAAATTACTCAACGTTTAAGGCATTGATTCTCAGAGAAATTTATTAATCAGAGACTTTACATTATTATTGTTGATGAAAGTATGTAAAAGTTTTTATACTAGTGTTAAGATTTACAATATTCGACTGAAGCCAAACTATTATTAGTAAACTATCATTAGTATTCGAATCAATAGATTTAATTGTTTATATAAACCAAAAAGAAGGTTGTGAAGAACTTAGAGAAATAATTAACTACCCTATAGTATTATTATAAAAGAAAGTATATCTCACGTTAACAGTATTACACGATAGTTGAGCTATTTTGTACCATGTTTAAACTTCTATTACAGAAGTATTTACACTCACAACCAAAGAGATTAAACTAAATGCGCGTTTATCTAAAATCCATGACAAATACACTTAGTCTTCTTTTCGTTCTTAATCTCTTGCATTGTAAAATTCATCAAAGAGATTCTTCCGTTAAAAATCTTTCTTTAGACGTACTTTCTTAACAGACTCTTTATTTTCTTTTTTTTTTTTACTTTCTTAACAGTATCCATGATTAAGAAAATTGTTTTTTGTCATTTGATAAATTTGATAAATTTAATAAACGCATTAATTCACATGTTGCACGTTTTTGCTTGAAATCATAAACATTTAAAAAAAAATGCATTTACATTTTTTTTGTTTCTAAAAAGAACTAACAAGTTTGGGATTTTTTTCTATCATCTAAATTCCGTTTTGGAATAAATTATTTATATGTTTTGGGCAGTTACTTCACGCCCATGGGACATATTAGTCCAACTTATAAAAAATTATCTCTAAATAAAATCAATATTATTATAATTATATTATAAAGTATTATTTTCTAAAATATTAATAAAATTCTTTGAAACAATTCAATTATTTTGTTAAAATTTTTTAAAATTCTAATTAAGTTTATTTTGAAGAATTTCTTTGAATTTTTTTTTAAATAATGGAGTTTCTTTAATAATTTTAATTAAAATTTTTTAAAATAATTAAATTTTATAAACAATTTCTTTCAAGTTTTTAAAATAATCGTGTTTGTTAATAATTGAAATAAAACATTATTTTAATTATTGAATTTCATTAAAATTTTAGAAAATAATTGAATTCTTTTGAAAAATTTTATAACGAATTAAGAAAAAAAATTGAATTCTTTCGTGAAATTTTTTTGAAGATAATTGAATTTTTGCAAAGAATTTTATTATTTATAATTACAACTGAATTCATGCAAAAAATTATACATTTAGAAAAATAATTGAATTGGTTTGAAGAATTTATTTTTAGAAAATTGAATTCTTTCATGAAATATTATTAAAATTGTATTAAAAGGAACTGAATTCCTGCAAAGAATTTTAGATTTAGAAAAATAATTGAATTGGTTTAAAGAATTTATTGAAATTTTTTATGACGAATTAAGAAAAAAATTGAATTCTTTCGTGAAATTGTTTTGAATATAACTGAATTTTTGCAAAGAATTTTTTCTATTTATAAATAAAATTGAATTGTTTTGAAGAATTTATTAAAATTTTTAAAAATAATTATAAATACAATTCCTTGAAAGAATTCTATTCTATTAAAAAAAAAATTGTATAATTCGTCTAAAAAATTCAATTATTTCCTTAATTTTGATAAAATTCTTTATAAAAATTCAATTATTTTCAATGCAATTTTAACTAAATTCCTTGAAAGAATTTTAATTATCTTTGAAACAATTAAATTATTATCAAATTATTAATTATTATTATTATTATTCGCAAGAATTAAATTATTTTCAAAAGTTTTTATTAAAATTCTTCAAAACAATTTAATCATTTTCAAAAATTGCCAAGAATTCAATTATTTTCAAAAAAATTTCTTGATGAAATTAAATTATTTTTTAAATTTGAAGGAATTTAATTATTTTTCGAACAATTTTAATTAAATTCCTTGAATTAAAGAATTATTATTATTTTTCTTTTTATTGTGTTTCGTTTTATTATTTTCATAAGTAATGTAGTGCTTCGCTGGAATTGAATTACTTTCAAAATGTTTTAATAAAATTCTTTGAAACAAATTCATTTCCTTAAGAAAAATTTAAATAATATGCAAGAAATAAATTACATAGGTAATTATTTATATTTATTTCATATTTGAAATTATAAAAGTTAAAGAAATTAAATGTTTTTTCCTGTAAAATAAATACTACATATTCTATCTTTATTTTGCAGTGATAAAAATTAATTTAACCATATTTCATATGTAACTATTTTTATATTTTGTAATGTTAAATTAAATTATGATTTTTAATTTTAATTTAATTTTTTTTTTGTTTTATTAGTTTTTGTTATTTTTGAATCTTCAAAGCATTAAATTAGAAGTTCTTTAATTTTAAAATTGAGAATATTTAAAAATTTTCAAACAAGATGTTCATTTAAACGGTTCAAGGTACATTTAATAATAATTGAAATGAAACTTTTAGAGTTTAGACAGAGTCAAACTGACTTTATTTATAATACCTAAAATAAACCAAACTTGTTTTTATATTTAAATTATTTTTTCTTTGTGTAATAAAGAGACTAGTTTTAAGTTTTTTAAAATTATTAATACTTAAAAATTAAAAATTAATATTAACTTGTTAATAATAATATTAGTAATTAATATTGATTTTAATTTTAATAAAAATGAATACTTAAATATACTAGTAATCTACTAGTTTTTAAAATATGTATGTATGTTTGTATATGTTGTTTTGAAAGAGCTTTTAATAATCAGCACTGCCATTGACAATCTTCTTATTTGCCATTTAAAGCACACATCTAGGGCTATTTAAGAGGTAAGACTTTCATCATATTCCTTCCTTTACTAATACGTAATAACTTTAGACAATTTTTTAATGAGAATTACACTTTCATTTTACTATCTCTTTATCATTTCTTTAATTTTCTTTAATCTGTATTTTTCACAGTAATTTTTCTCTGCACTAAGTTTGAAAAATTAAATGAAAATTATTATTAAAATTTTCTGTATTTACATTTTTCTTTATGTGGGTCATTCCATTTTTTTCGACTAAATAGTTGTTGTGGGTGGGACAATTTTAAAAAAATTTGATTCTTTTATAAAGCGCAATAGGCGAATCCAAGCGATTTTTAAAAACGTTATTCGTCATATTGGATCTACCATTTTGAATTTCAAAAAACGGACATCAGATTCAAAATCAGCGACCCTAAAAACCCCCAAGCGACAAGTTTCAAGTAAATCCAATCAGTTTTTAAGAATTCGTCCTAATTTCATATTGAAATTTGAAAAACTAATAAAAATGCTATTCAAAAGAATAGAATTTTTGAAATGATTTTTATTCTTTCCTCTCTTACTGAAATAAAATGGATTGACCCAGCTGTATAAATTTTTGATAAAATTAGTTAACTTGAATTTAATTGGTAATTACACTTTTTTAGGCACCGATTCGCTGGTTCGAACCGGAAACTTATAAGGCAAAAGTAGCTGCTGCTGGCCTTGTCACGATATTACCTGCTGGTGAAGCAGACAACGATCCCGAATAGTAGCAACAAGAAATTAATAAAAGGAAGAGACTTAGAAATTTCATCAGATTGCAGCTGTTTTATGCGACGTTGATAAATACCTATTTTTCTTTGGACATACAAAGTTGTAGGTCCTTATATATTTTTCATTTATAAAACTATATTGAGATTAATTTTGTTCACCATTTTATATGGATGCGAACATACAGAAATGTGTTTAGAGAATATGCGACCGACGTGTAGGCCCAACAATAATCGAATTATTAGTCAAAATTTTTCTTTTTCTCTTATATTACCTATTTTATTTCACTTATTCTTTTTTCACCAAATTATTTTATTCTTTATTTACAAACTTACATATTTTACTCTTTTTTAAATATTTTTTTTTCTCTTGAATTTCTCATTATTTATTAAATTATTGTTCTTTATTTATTTTCATCAAATATTTTTATTTATTTATTTCGTTTTATCAAACATTTTCATTTATTTATTTTTATCAAATAGTTTTATTTATTTCTTTTTATCAAATATTTTTATTTATTTAATTTTATTAAATCTTTTTATTTATTTATTTTCTATTCTACATCATATTATTTAATCGTTATTTATTTTTTTGTCTATTATTTTTATATTTTCTTTTGCATTTTGAGTTTTCGTGGGTATAAACGGCTTACTCGTCCTAATTAATTTCTACTTTCTCTAAAATGCAAAAAAAAAGTTATTTTTGACTAGTCGAATGTTTTTATTTTTTAAATATTTTGTTATAATGTTGTGAAATTTATTCATTTGTGATTATAAAATTATTGTCGATTTATATTTTATTATCTGTAAGAGATTTTTTCTTATTAAAATTCTTTAATTAATTTGAGTGACATCAACAATTTATGTCAATTTATTAAAAAAAATTTGATGGTGCGATATTTATTATTATTATTTGTTATTCTTTAGGAATTGAGTTTATTTTTTGATAACGTCTGTAAAATTTTAAGGAAATTAATCCAGGAGATTAAAATAAAAAATTTATTTAAATTGTATAAGAAATAGAAAAAGTAGTCACTGAGAATAGAACTCACAAAAATGAATTTAATTCTTTTTAAAATAAAATAAATTGCTTTTTAATTTTCATTTTAGTGAGAAAATAATTGTATTTCGAAAATAATAATTTCGTATGTAAACAAATTGGCGAATGATAAAAGTATTTTTTTAAACAAATTCTTTACATTTATTACTGAAATTCAAAATTGTAACTATGAAAATTAAAAAGAAATCATAATGACATAGGTCGATGTGTAATTATTATACATATTTATAATAATAATCTTTAGAATAATAAATAATTTTTACGAGAAAAAAGACGTTATGAAAAAAAGAAAAAGTTTAAAATACTAATATCATGGAAATAAGTGCTTTTAACTTTAGAAACTTATTACATACTCTTATTATTAGTAGTAGTAAAAAATAATTCATGAAACACGAAAAAATTGAATTTAATTTTGCAGAAATTCTGTCGTCACAGTAAATATTAGGTATTTCGATTAGATATAATTATGATTTAAATTAAGTTTGGGTTTTTACCCAAATAGTTTAAAGTCGAGTCAAATTTGAATTTGACTTGATTACTCGACATGTTTTTTAATAATAAGAATCCACTATTTTTCTTTTTACAACACAATAAATTTTAACACCTCTAATTCGGAGAAAAGCACTGACCCGTGATTTAGTATTCACTATAGTCTAGTCTTACTATCCAATTTTACATAAAAGATAAAACATATAAAGAAACTAAACCAAATTAATTAAATTAAAATATGTACGATAATAATAAACTACATAAGTTACTTTATGTTTTATATGCGATAGACGAATTTAACAAGTTCGTCTTTTGAATGATTGTTTACAGATTTTGTATCATTAAATTCTCATAGTGTATAATGTTTAGGATTTTATTGTAATAACAATGGTCATCATGAGATTAAAAATCAAATCAGGTGTAGGTTATATTGTTTTTAAAGAAAAAAATTGTTACAACATTTTTTACTGTAATTCTGTTCAAAAATAAAAATCTTATTGAATCGGAAGTTCTTGATTCTTTTTCTAATAGTTTGTAAAAAAATTAACCAATTGAAGGTTTCTTTTATTAAAAATAGAAAAAAAAAGTCGAAAAAGTCGTTTTCACTGATTTCTAAATTCAATTAATCAAAACTCGAATAATTTTGCTAAATAAATCTTTAAATACTTTTTATTTCTTTTTTCACAGGAAAACAATTTGAAACTTACAAAAATTGTTTATTTAGTCATTTTGCATATGATCAAATTTTCTCAAAACTGAATAGATTTAAGTCAATGATGGCTTATTTTCTTTAGAAAGTGATTCTCTATAACTTGACCGCTCAGATTTGTAAACAAATACTGATAAACAAATACTGTATTTGTTTATAAATCTGAGCGGTCAAGTTATAGAGAATCATTTTCTAAAGAAAATAAGCCATCATTGACTTAAATCTATTCAGTTTTGAAAAAGTTTAACCTTTTGATATGAAGAAAACTTTGATCATATGCAAAGTGACTAAATAAACAATTTTTGTAAGTTTCAAATTTTTTCCTTGAAAATTGATATTTGTTCTTTTAGAAGATACGAATGACAATAATATTAAAAAATTCTTTAATGTCAATTAAATATTTTTCTGAAGGTCTGCATGCCTGTAAACAACCTCCTTAAAGATATTTAGGTAGAATATTTTCAAAAATTTTAATAAAGAAATTCTTTAAATATTTTAAAAATATTTTTAAATAATTTTTGAAAGACAATATTCTTACAATTATAGGATTCCTACAGAAATCTGAATTTAAAATTCCATACCTTTTCCATGATTTCCAGGTCAAATTTTTACGAAATTCCAGTGGAATTTTAAATCTAATTGCATTATTTTTAGGCTCTTTAAAAACACTTTACTTTTTAAATAGTCTCGACTCTTTTGTAAAAAATAAATCTAAAATTACCGAAAATGATCAAAAATTCATAAATCCGAATTTCTTAAAATTCAACATTTTTTCCTCTCTTTTATGGGATTTAGCTTCAGTATTTTTGTGCTCTTCAAAAATACTCTACTTATTTAATTGTCTCCACCCTTGGTACAAAATCAAAAATTATGAAAATTTCGAAAAACCGAATTTCTTAAAATTCAACATTTTTTCTTCTCTTTTAATGCCATTTAGCTTTATTATTATTTGAATTTCTATTCAAGAGAAAAAATGGAAAACAGAAAAAATTTAGAAACTTTTAAAAATTCCAGGCCTCTTCCATGATTTTCCTGATTTCCAGAAGCCTTTTAAAAATTCCATACCATTTCCATGATTTCCATGATTTCCAGATTCTGTAGGAACCCTGAATTACATACAATAAATTAAAAATTGTCCAAAAAATTGAAATTTAGTAAATTTTTTAAAAAAATAATTGAAATATGGTAAAATCTTTGAAAAGTAATTGAAATTTAATAAAATAATCAAATTTTTGAAGAATTTTAATTAAAAATGATTTCTTCGAAATGTTAATAAATCTAAAAAAGTGATTTTAAACATTCATGGAAGCTGCATTTTTTAATTTTGTCATTTATTATTTATTATTAATTTTCTTTTATCATTATTTTATTTATTAAGCTGAACAATAAAAATTCTCAAAATCCAATGAAATATCCAAGATAATTTTTACAGAAATAAAAATAGAATATTTATGCTTTATTTTGACATGAATTTTATCAAACTCGGATATAACGTCTTTTGAGATATTTAGAACCTTGAAATCAAATTTTCTATAGAATTACGTTATTTTTTTAAAAAAAAGCTTTTTACTATCATAAAGTTCAGAAAATGATCTTTCAAAATTGCTAGTAACAAAATTCAATTGGCTTATTTAAATAGGAGAAATATTTATTTAAAAATTGCCTTCAATTGGCAATTGTTTAGAAGGGGGGTCATTTTGAAATAGAATGCCTCATAAATAAATATATTTTTTAACAGTACAAAAATTAAAACTAACGTATAATAATGCAAATCATAATAATGTACATAGTTAAATTCTAAAATTTACATTTATATTTTATACTTTTATGGTCCTGTAATCAAACTAGGTATCCATTATTCTTTACTGATTAGACTTTTCTTTTTTTCGAATAATTTAGTCATATTTCATATTTAAATGAAAAATCTCACAAGATATAATTATATAAAATATTTAAAAAGTTAGTGAATCGTAAAGTCCAAAAAAATCTTCTTCAATAAACAATTATAAACAATTATAAATGTAAGTAATTTTACATATTTGTTGATAATACTAAAACGATACACAGAAAGTAGAACTTTTGAGCTAATACTGAAAAGATGAATTTCTATCTTATTTTTGGATTCGATTATGATAAAATTCAGAAATCAATATTTGCCACCAATAATTTTTGCCATTGGGATTTTCCTTTCAATTCAATATGTCGGGGAATTTTTCGTAAATTTTCTTTTTCTTTGCGTTCATTCATGCCGTCCGCGTCCGCGTCCGCTCTTCTTTTCCTCGTAGTCAATAGCTGTTTGTCTGGTTCTTCATAGAGTACATCTGTTAAATATAAAAGAAATTAGTTTTAATCGACGTACAGATATCGTAGATCAATTCAACTTATTGTCATTCATTCAGTTATTACATATAATAATAATTAATGGGATCATCCCGTGTAACCATTAAAACTTTAAAATAAACAAAAAGAATTTTAAAATCTCAGCTTTCGAATGAAAATGATAAAAAATTAAAAAAAGAGGTAGTTTTTGTAAAAATTGAAAAATAAGCTTTATTTTTTAAAAAAACGGGGTTATACCTAATTCTTTTTTTATATAGAGTTTTTGAATTGAAAAGTACACAAAAAATGCTTTAAAATTCACTATAAAAAATTAAAATCTGTCAAGTTTTGTCAAAATTAATAATTTCGCTGAAAGCGGCACAACTGCAAATCCCCATAATTTACAAAATTAATTTTTATAAAAATTAATATTTTAGGATTTTATTATTTTTATATACATAACAACATTTTACTCAAGTTTTAAGCCATTCACAGAAAATTAAAATTTTTACTTGATCGTTTCACGTGAAATTGTTCAATTTTTACATATTACATGAAGAGAATTAAAAAACATTTTAAAAATTAAATTTAAATTATTTTAAAATTATTTTTGCAGTTGTAGGTAAAAATAAAAATTTGTTCTAACCTTGAAAGTAAATTACTTCTCTTTTTATTTCTGTTACAATTTCTTCTTCTTTTTCTCGTTTGCCATTTTCGTAGAATTTCTCTTGCATTTCTCTAATTAATTCTTTATTACTTTTACTTTGAGAAATGTTATCAAAATCCATGTCTAAATCTTCGCCATTATGTTCCTCTCCATCATCTTGTTCTTCTTTTACTTCTATTTTTATGTCGACAATTTGCCCTTCATTATTCTCCTGTGCCACTGGTATTCTGCATTCTTCTCCTTCGCCCTTTATCGGCGAAACATTTGACTCTTGTCCCTTTTTCTTAAAGCATTTATTTTTATTGAGAAGCGATGATCTTTTATTGTTTATATATTTAAAGAATTTTGTTGACTCTTTTTCAAACTGTAGCTGGGTCCATTTTTGTTCTTGAGCCCATTTGACAAAGCCAACTAAAAATAAAAACGAAACTTTATTATGTTTTGGTCTGTGGAAATTTTAATTTTGTTAAAATATAATAATACATATCCTGGAATCATACCAAAAACTGCATTTAATTTGACTTCTTCTAGTCGTGGTTTTTTGGCTATTTTATATTTATTGTTGACCTTGCCATGAACCGAATGTGTTTTTAGTGTTTCTTGACCGAAAACCAATTCTGCAAGATTTCCAACAAACAACGATGCCTTTTTTGTTATTTTTAAGAGATTGTATTTATTCTTATCAACACCAACGGAGTCGTTCAAATAAATCTGGAAAAGTAAATTTTTATCACAAATTTAAAATCCATTTTGTGTAATTTTGTACATATTTGTTTTGTATTATTTCATTCTATTAAAAAGTTCTTTTTAATAGAAACTGAGATTTCAATACAATTTCTGGACAATCCTTTATTACACTTACAATTGAAGGTGAAGTAGGTATATCAGGTATATTACGCCTTACTAATGCATCTTCTAATTCTGAAACAAAAAGTAAAAATTATTAGAATATTTTAAAATAGGTATCAATTATTTCATGAAAATGAAAACCAAATTTTAATTAATTTACCTCCAATTTTCTCTTTTTGAAGAGAATTTTCTTCTTCTAGCTTCTTCATTTCCAACTTTATCACTTCAATTTCTAAAACAATTAGTTAAAAATAATTAGAGTACTATGCAACATTATTGCATTATAAATAGTATACTTACTCTTTATTTTTTCTTTCAAAATAGAATTTTCTTCTTGTAATTTTCTAATTTCATGTTTGGCTTTTTCATAAAAAGACATTTTGATTTCCTCATTCTTTATTTTTTCTTCTAATTGTTTAATTCTTTTTAAAAGTTCTAAAGAGGAACGTTTCTTTAAATCCCCCTGTGTTAGTAAAAATATTAGTCATCAGTTGATTATATTTGCTCGAAAAATTGATTATATATTATTTAGGTTGAAATTTCTTACCTGATGTGCAACGTGATATTTTTCTTCACGCTCCTCATTCATCATCTCGACAATTAATTTTTTATTTATTATCTCTTCCTCAGTGAAAGAGATCTTTTTGTTTTCTCTCTTTTATGCTTTTATGTAAGATTGTAAGGAGAAAAATGTATTTAGTATTTTTAAACTGTATATAATTATATATGTATATATTATTTACTGTTAATTCGTAAATTCTTACGAAAGGAAAAGTTAATAACTTAAATCCAACGAAGGGGCAAATATTAGTTTAGAAATAAAACCTTTTATAGGTTTTTCCAGGTTTTTCTATGCGCCGCACCGCTGCCTGCGACAGTAATTTAAGGTTAGGATATAGTAAACAGTTTCAATTTGCTTACAACTTTTCAAAACAAAAGTTAACTAATATTTATTTACACGGTTATTTATCAAGAAAATTCATTTTACTATTGTAAATCATTAAAAAACAATATTCATCTAATAAAAACTTGATTTTTCTTACTTAAAACAGTGTTAATTAATTTTAAATAAAATATAAATTTTAAAATTCCCGCTAGAAACAGTTTTTCCATTATCGGAAAAGCTGGGAAAAGCGAAGTGTGAACGCGATTTTGACTTTTTCGGTAAATTTTTTTTCTACCGACCGCGACCGTCGTATGCGGCAAGAGTAATTCCGCAATCAAAGTTTTTTGCAATTTATCTATTAATTTTTTTTTACAATGAGTAGTAAAAAAATATTTTCATTGGTGTTGGTAAGGAAAGAAACCGAAATTTTATTGGGTCTTAAATTAAGAGGATTTGCAGGGTTGCTACAATTTTTCTCGAATGAAATTCCCTGACTTTTCCAGGTTTTCCAGGTCTCAAACAATATTTTTCCATACACATTATAAGTGTGATTTATATAAAATGTAATTAATTAAAAAGCAAAATTTATGCAAACATAGCATATTTTATTGTTATATTAATCACTTCTAGAAAAATAACTCAGTTTTAAACATTTTTTCATTGGCGAAAATAAAATATTTCAAAATTTTATGGTTTTCAGGGTGTTTATTATTTAAATTATTTATTTAATAAGTAAATAAATAAAAATAATTAACTAGTAAATAAATAAATAAAAAGTCTTACTTTCAGCCTAATTTCGAGGTTGAATTTAAAGTGTAAACGGAGTCAGACTGATTTTATCCTGTGTAATAAAAATTTAATTTGCTCAAGAAATAAATAAATATCATTTACTTGATCATTCAGAAATTTAAAATTATAAAAATTTAAGAGTAGTTTAATAATCATAATTATTATATAATAACATAATAATATAATTTAAATAAAATGTTTTAAAAGAAATTAAATTATTTTCAATAAATAAAATTAAACGTAAAGAAATTTCAATTAATTTGAAAATTTTGAATTTTTTGTTTATAAAAATTCAAATATCTTGAAACAATAGAATTAAAAAATTTTAAAAATCTTATTTTTCAAAATTTTCAAAAAAACTTTGCAAAAATCCAATTTTATTAAAAAATTTTAAGCGTGTGTTTATTTAAAATTAACCAATAAAAATTTGAATTATTAATTTTAAAACTAAATAACATGAATACATTAGAATGTGACTCTTTATAAAATTCAATTATTTATCAATTATTAAATTCAAATACTTTGAAAATTCTATTTGTTAAAAAGTTTCTAATGAAATTCTTTAACAAATTTAATTATTTTCAGTTGAACTTCACAAAATTTCTATTAATTCCATAATTTTTTAAAATTTATTTACATACTTTATTTAAATCAGTGACTGATTTTTTATTATCAAATAAATTATTTTTAATTAATTCAAATTTAGAGAACAGTATAAATATCTATAAAAATTGAAATAAAAATCGATTTTTTAAAAACAAATTAAAATAATAAAAATTTTGTTTAATTTGGTGAAAAAATTCTCGGTTTGACATAAAATTCCTGTCATATTTCCGGTTTTTCCCGGTTAGTAGACCAGTTAACAGTCATTTTTCACTGATTGGCCAATTAAAAAGTTACTGGAAATTTTAGTCACGAATATTTAAAATTTCAGTTATTTTTAAAATTCGCCAAAAATTAACATAATTTTAACAGAAAATTATTTTCCAGGTGTTTTCTCATTTTTCCCTGACTATTCCCTGACTTTTCCATACAAAATAAAATTCCCTGACATTTCCAGGTTTTCCAGGTTTCCAGACATTGTAGCAACCCTGATTTGGTAGTGGAAAGTGGGATGGCTTTGGCGGAAAATTAGAACGGAATGAAACAATGTACCAATGTGCTCTTCGGTATATATAAACATTTTGTAAATTTTTCACTTCAGCATTTATATTAAGGTCATGTTATTCAGTGGTCACGTGTTCCCATAGTAAAGTATATGGAGCACGTGACCACTGAATAACATGACCTTAAATATCTTAAAAAGTAGAAATTTAAAAATAAAACATTTAATTTAAAATTTTAATAAATATAAATCTTTTTTACAGAGAATTAAAAGAGGAATGTGGTTTGACTTCCAAAAATTTACGACAAATTGGAATTGTTGAGGTGGAATTTGAAAATGATCCGGTTCTTTTAGAAGTTCATGTTTTTGATACTTTTGTATTTGAAGGAAACATTATTGATACAGATGGTACTTTAATTAATTATTAAATGAAAATTGTAATTTAATTTCATATACACGGAGAAAAATACTTTAGCAACAGTAGCAAATTTGCATTAGTTTAGTACATTTCGTAACAAGTGTGAACTGATAGATATTAGTTATTTTAGCTTTTTTTCTCCGTGTACAATTGCTAATTTCTTGAAATTGTTTTTCAGAAATGCGACCGAAATGGTTTAATTTATCCGATATACCTTATCAAAGCATGTGGCCAGATATGTTTCTGTGGTTCCCTTACATGTTGAAAGATATTCCATTTAAAGGTTATTTTCTTTATCGAGGAGAAAATTTAATACTCAAACATAAAATCGAAGAAGTGACAGAATTTCCATTGTGTATTGATTCTTGATTATGAGCATATGCAGTACATCTGGATTATAATAAATTTATGATATTTATTTACATTCAATGTAAACACAGTTAATTTTCTATTTTCTACATGTATGATGTATAAATCAGCCAGCTGGAAATTTAGTAAATTGCGATTGTAATTTGACCGAATAAAAATTTGATGAAAATTGTATATGGGTGATTCTCCCGAAATACTCCTTTTTGTGAGTTACAAACAGAAAAGAAAAAAAATTATTATTTATGGATTAATGCAGTCAATTATATTGAGCTTTCAAAAATCTACCACCTCTATAGCATGATCATGCTAACTTTTAGCTTTTAAACTATATATTTTAAATTAAAATTTTCAAAAAAATTAAGAGGTTAAAATTTGGCGCCGGCGTTTTTTATTATATATATTTTTCTATTTACAAAAAATTATTTAAAAATTATAATTTATTAATATTATCTATAAATTTTATAGATTTTGAAATACTTACAGTTATCAAAAATCTCTTTAAACAATTGTCAAAAATTATTTTTCATACATTTTAGGTTCACTTTTCACTGGCAGTTTGTAAACAACCGACAATCATATCAATTTTTAATTTTTATTCAAAAAAGTGAGAGGAATGACGGGTGAGAGGAATGACGATTTCAACATTTTTTAATTTTATTTAATTGACAAATAATTTTCCTCCAGCTTAGAATGCCCTATCATGTTTATAAAGGATAACTTTATGTGAAAAAAATTTGCGATCAATTTATACATATTAATATTGTTTTTATTAGGGGTGAGAGGAATAACGCTTTAGGTTGTGAATCTCTGCTTATGTCTCAATTTTAATTTTTTTAACGCAAAATAATGACATTTTTTAAAAAGTAACTTAAGAAATTAATATTAGAGATGTTAATTTAAATATTGATCACAATAATTAATCAATATCTCTACCCACAGCAAAAATATAGGATAATATTAAACGAGTGAGAGGAATGACGCGGTACTACATGACAAATTTCATTTTCTATATTTAAAAAAACTACACGACATATTTTATTTTTATTTTTGAAAATTATTCTTAAATATCATAACTTTTAGAAAAAATTAATAAAGTACCAATTTTCATGTTTTAAATAATTGTTTTACCTATTGAAAAAATGAAAAGCACTTAGATGACAGGTTAGAAAATCGATTTTGAGGTGGTAAAATATTTTAAAAATGTATTAAACAATAAAATTTTACAACTTTTTCTTGCAGAACATTTAGAAAAAGTGATAAAATAGGGAAATATGACTTGGTATTTTCCCAAATGATTATAATTATTTAGAAAATCTTGATTACATGCAAAATGAGGTTTTTTGGAGAATCACCCATATACGTACATACAAACTGGTACAAACACAAGTTGACGTTATTACCAGTGCTGGGTAGGTCTCGTAGTTATTAAGCCTTATCCACAAGACGATCTGCAAATGACGTCAGTATCATGGTGATTTTACAATTAAATTTAACAGTAAAATAGAGATCCATAGAGTATATGCTGTATATGAATATAAATCCCAAACTGTCACAAACTAGAGAAAAAAACAATACTTTTTGAATAAACACATTTATTATTTTTAATGTACAGAAGTGGCAATGTTCCAAACACATAGTCATGCAGTCTTACGTTTTGTGCAAGTTTTGCTACATTATTTATATAAAGTAATACACTGAAGTGTCGATACAATGGACCGTTTTTGTTGACGAGGTTATAAGGAGAATGAAGGACTACACAAAATTCTTTCGTGAATTCTCACGTGTGATTGCGTGTGATCTTGTACATACAAGTATTTTCAGCGAGGTTACGTCAAGGAGAACGGCACTCCAATAGCTAATAAATCTAACTAAACACAATGAAATCGCAAATCTTAGAATCGTAAGAATGAGTAGATCCTTCTCCTTCTTACAATTCTATGATTTTGCGATTTACGATTTCAGAGATGTTATAGCAAAACTTGATAGTCGCCTTATGGCCTTAGGCACCAAATTTTTGGCAATCTCTTCTTGGTGCTAAGTTGCCACCAAGCTACGTCCATTGTATGTTGGTGCTTCAGAGGAATTTCTTAATATTTGATAAAAATATAAAAACACCCTACATTCTTTTTTTTGTTTATACTTATTAATACTAATATCAGAAACTAGAGCTCTGTTTACAGACACATGCAGTCATTTTCTTGCTATTTAATGATATATTGTGTTCCGTGAGCTGCCCTCTTAATACATTCATTATTCATTATTCATTCAATTTCATTGGTTTACAACGTTTACAATTTTATCGACCTAGGTATATCTTATCTGAAATTTTATTTCTTTTTCACTTTTAATTTATTTCTTAAGTATATTAAAATATAGAGTACTTTTCCCAACATTTTTTTACATATTTAAAATCAATCGCACTGTTTGTAATGATGGGGTTGTAAAAATTATCATATTTATTTTATAGTTAATATAAATTAAGTTACAACCATTGTTTTTATTAATAGTAAATGATTAAACATTCATTCGTTAAATTAAATAAATTTCTCATTTATGATGCGATTCATGCTTATGAAGAATGAGATTGTTAAAAACAATTAATTTTAAAAATAACCAAAGATCATTGTATACAAGTAAAAGAAAAAAATTTGCTAAATATTTTTTATAAGAAATTCCTAATAAGTTATATAGTATCTTAAGTTCGCGTGTATCATTCATTCAAAATTTCATCAATAATATATTAGAATCACATTGCACACTTTTTAATTATGTAATGATGAAATTATCTTATTCATCTTCTATTGCCTCATTTTCAACAGTTCTGATTTGATTTTCTTTCATTATACTAATATGTTTAAGAATAAATTATACATTTGTATTTATTTCTTTTAGTAATCACTCTTCCCTACTTATTAAAGTTAATGTGATTTGAAATATGGAAAACGTTTCTTGATATGGAATAAAAATAAAATATGTTTTATTTTTTATCTAATTGCATTAGTAGATTAGCGCAATTGGAAATTAAGTTAGGGAGGTTAGGGTTGTTTGTTTATACCGTTTATACTAATGTGAAATCTTGTATTGCCAGAATCTATACAGATGCAATGGAAAGGGAAATAAAAGAAACTGGCCAATAAAGTAATTTATACTTACCAAAACCTAAAAACTTGGATGCCACTGCTTTAAATTGTGACAAAAATGTTACAAAATGCGAAGTTAAGTTTATCGTCTGTACACGTTGGCGGAATAACACAGTGATCAGGGATGGGCTCGCAAAGTCCGCCATATTGGATCATCCATTTTAACTTTGAAAAAACTGACTGTAGATCGTCAACAATAACCCCAATACCCATTGAATATTGATTATTCGAGTTTTTCTATTTTACTAACACTCACCATAAATTTATTGCACGACTGCAAATAATCTTTTTTCATCGACATTCGACAAAGACTTTTAAAACGCTGCGCGTTGAATAATTATCGGTTTGTGCGCATCTGAGAGTGCATTTTGTTCGCATCGATGAAAAAACAGTTGTAGAAGCAGCATAATATAGTCATCCACACAGCACCAAAACTTGCAGCAACATTGACAATATTTTCTCAATATTTCCAATATTCGAGACAACATGTCAAGACATACTCAAATGCTTAACATAACCCTGCCGGAAGAATAGACTGAAATTGTACTGGGGAATTAGTACTGAGAGCTCAGTCTATTTCAGTCAAAATTTGCTGCGTTTTAGCACTGAAATTGTACTGGGAAAAATTACCTGCAAAAGGGTCGCTATAGGTGGTGTTTATGGCCTAACCGTCATTAAGTTGAAGGACGAATATTTCTTTGTCAATGTTAAAAATAATTTTTATTTATACTTCAACATTATATTTGTTTTTCATGAACTCAGATTCTTCGCAAGTAATTATAATATATGCTAAATGTTCATGTGAATCTAAATTCAAAAATAATATCTGTTTTTACGTAACAATTAGAGTTCGCGAGATAGTTCATAACTTTTTTAAATAATAATTTTTTATAATGAATTTTAGATATTTGTAATCATAAAGCACCACAGATTTAAATTTTTTGGTTTTAAAAATTGTGTTATTTAAATTGTAAACTTTTTAAGTCATAAAATTATAATCCCATACAACAATAGGCTTTCGGGTCTATTGTTAAAGCAGGGGTTGCAATATAAGTTTAAAACTTAACGGGAATTTCATTGAAAATTTTGTTAACCTTTTTTATTTTCACTTCCAGACTGTTAACAATGGTTTGTTGACAAAACCTACATTTTAAACTATTGTTAAAGGACTTTAAAAATGTCTACCGAAACATTAAAAAAAAATCAGACTGAAATTGTACTGAGCCCAGTACAATTTCAGTCTATTTCAGTCTATTCTTCCGACAGGGAATATGCTGTCTTTCCGGTTTGACGGCATTTCAAAAGTAGTGTCACATCTATCAAAATGTTGTGGGTTCGTGACGTATAAGTTGGTTTATACGCCACGAACTAACAACATTTTGATAGATGTGTCACTACTTTTGAAAACGCCGTCAAACCGAAAGGACAGCATAATTATAAGCAAATGGCTAATGGCTGTAACAAAGATCTTGCCGCCTACATTACTTTTGTTGCTTTTGTATTTCCCATTTTGCAACCGCTTCATTGGTTCGGATTCAGATTTTGCAAAAAGTGCTTGTGTGCAGAGAAAAACTCGTTCGAAAATGATTGTTTACCAATTTCACGTCATTTAAACCAGGCAGTACCGTTTTTGTCGGGCGACAAGTGCAGGTCGCACATAACCTACAAATTTCAGAGACAGATTACACAGGCAAATATCTAGAAATTGTCTATTTATGCAGACGATATATACCAAAAACCGAACAACATTTTATAATTGAGTAACCGGTTATAATAATTTTACGAAATATCAATATAAGCGGGTATTCTAAAATAACCGATTATTCCAAAATAAATATTATTCTAAAATAACCGGTTATTTTAAAATTACCGGAAAACGGTTAACCGTTTGCTCAAAAATTTTATAACCGGTTATGACAATAACCGGTTTTATAACCAGTTAACCGGTTAACCGCACAGGCCTACATGTTAACATTTTGATGCATTGGAAGTTGTACCTCTTGTGGTTTGTCCAATATAGCGTGACGTAAATTTTTCCGTTTTTAGGTTGACTGTGACTCAAAGTCAAATGTTGCCAACTCAATTCATTATGATTAATTTAAATTTAATTAATTATTAATAGTTGATTAACTGTATTTGGCAACACTTGCCTTCAAGACAAAGACTCGGCTGTTCGTCGACCAAGTGTCGACGTGAAAATTGGTATTAGAGAATTAATATTTAATGTTTTAGGAAATGAGGACTTTTTTTGGTTATTGGCCTAAACCCGGGGTTGGCCGTCCTACGAAATCATTTCCAAAATCTGGTCACTCTACAGTCTACTTTACACGTTCGCGAAAGTATTGTGCTTTGCCTTTTTTACATTTTCGACTTCAGGCTGATTCCAGAATAGCTAAAAATCGTCTCGACTTTCAAGACGATTCGATGCGCGTACATACATTTTTGTTTACTGCGCATCGAAATCGAGTCGATTTATTTTATTGTGGACTAAATTAAGGAAGGACACTAAATTAAACAAAAAATATTTCTTTCAACTTTCGATTCAGCAGAACCTTTTGCTTAGGGAATGATGATTGAGATTTTCTAAAATTGCATTTTACATACTTTTTTTATTGACTTATTGCAGTTTTCTCAGAAACCGCGATGCCCCGAAAGGTTAAAAAATAATGTTAGGTTGAGTCCACAATAGACAGCGTTAAGGAGATTGAGCTACTTAACACCATTGATATCAATGGTCTTAAGTAGATTATCGATGGTCTTAAGTAGCTCAATCTCCTTAACGCTGTCTATTGTGGACTCAACCTTATGAACAAGATAGAATGCACAGACCCAAGTAAGTGGTCAACGGCGCCGATATATTAGGAGCGCTCATCTTTGACGTACATGTAACTTTTCAAGCGTTATTTTTTAAAGTATTGGCACTTAAATGTATAATATTACAAGAGTCGTAATTCATAAAAGTCGATATTAATTGCAATTAAATTAATAATTACTATACGTAAAATAGTACAAATTCCTTAATTTTTCCTATTCACACATTGAAAATATAAATTCTAGCATAGAATGTTAGATGAACTGTTCCATACTCCAATTTCTACTTGATTTCGTTTTCCTTACTATTTATAAAAAATTTAATTAACATTTTCAAACTGAGACAGTGAATATGGTGAATATTTTTATAAAATGTGAGGTTATGTATGCTACATATGTCGGTAATTTTCCTAACGATTTTCGAAATGTTTACGTACGTTACATGGTAACTACATACAGTTTGTTACGAGCCCATCCCTGCTGATCACTGTGTCATTCTGCCAACGTATACAAACGATATTACGGTAAATCTAAATTCGCATGCATTCACATTTTAAAACAGTGTATTCAAGTTTTTAGGTTTGGGAAGTATCAAATATTTCATTTACGAGGTTATGTTCCATTTCTTTTTAAACACAGAAAGTTTTAGATATTTTGGTGTGTCGAAAAATTCGTAGGTATAATATCGAAAATTAAAAAAGATGAGAGAAGAAAATTATCATATATGAATGTAAGATCCAGTCTTAAACATAGTTAATATAACCCAACAACATGGAAACGTCTTTGTATTCAATCTAACTGCTATTTTTGTTAAAGAAAATCCTGAACAAGATAAACATAATAATTGTTCTCCATATGGTTTGAAAAAATCTATTCAATGGCATATTTTGCCATTTCATTGAATTGTACCTTCAACTCAAAGAGCAAATGAGACTTTTAAAGATATGTTATAAAATTTACGAAGATGCCATGCCTTATTGAAGACAAGTTTGTGAATTTCATGGAAACAAAAGAAAGAAGGAAATTTTGAACAGAATTAAATTGATTGATTTTAAGTAACGTAAAGCTAAGTGTTAAGATGATGAAAGTAATACGAAGACAATTTCAGTATGAAGCTGAGGATGAAATGGATGAAAGTAAAAATCTGTCTGCAACTGATGAATTTCATATCACTTTTTCTACAATTAATAAACCTCATGATTTAGCATTTTGACTCCCTCACAAGTCTTAATACTAAATTTCTAACAGACAATATGCTTCAAAAGCATGCAATGGATTTAGCAATATAATAATTGCTAACTTAAAGAAGAATTTTTGAATTAAAGTAGTAAATGCAAAAGAAACTTCTTTCCTGCATTATGCGAAAATTTCGAGAAAAAGGACTAAAAATTTTGATTCAACACCAAATTATAAAAAAACGGAAATAATGTAAAGAAATTTGTTAAACCGTTACGTCAGCGTCAGCGTCAGCGTCAGCAGAACGATCGTTTAGTAACTTAAAGTTGACAAAAAATACTTGAATGGGACAGGAGAGACATACTATTCTCAGTTTGTTTCTATCAATAAAACATAATAAAACGGAAAAACTTCTTCTCGTTTTCGCTTCGTTGGAGGCTAGAAAAGTAAAATTTAATTTTTCTATAATATTTTGACTCAATTGTCATTTGAAGTTCTATTTGTTTCGTATTATTTGTAAAATTTTTAAATGAATTATCGTTTGTTTCGATTATAAGAGTTCTACATACGCTTCCTAAAGTACAAATTTTTAAAAATCTGTAATACATATTTTATATTAACAAATGTTGATGCATTTGTCTAAATAAAATAATTTTTTTCAAGTTTTCTTTTTTTTAAGAAGTTGAGTATATGTATACACTTAAACACAAAATTCTTCACAATCTTCTTCAAAAAAGGTTGGGACTAAAGCTTTGTCCCGGGTGAAAACTTTCCTAGTCACGGCTCTGTACAAGTTTCCGCGATTCAAGAAAAAATTTACTAAACCAAGACTCAGACTCATCTCAAGTGATTGAAAAGTAATTAAAAGACGAACTCAGCTCCTGCCATGTCTATAGCCCATCGGAACTTGTCTCTTTGTGTTTTATTGTAAATCTTCTCAATTGGGACGTCATATTTCTTACACCTGGAAAATAGAACATTTACGATTTAAAATAAAGTAGAAGCGAGAAATTGGACAAATAGAAATTATGTATATATATGGGCGGTTACACGTCAGATTTAAAGTCACTGTGAACGCATTTGTGTTATTGTAGGACGATTTTTAAAATTAAATTTAATTATAGTTTTTCAATTTGGCCTACAATTTTTTATGTAAATATTTCTTCTTAAAAAATGATGCCTTCGTGACCAACAAGTTCGCCTGAAACATCTATTTCGAACTAAGTTAATTGAAATTTTTCGTCGTTCTTTTCGAAAAAAGAATAAAACAAAGTGTCTTGTTTCCTGTTGAAAATTAATTATTGGTAAAAAAAATACACCAACTAAAACTAAAACTAAAACTAAACCTAAAACAGGTAAGTAAAAATAACGTTTTCGTGACAAAAATGTGTAAAAGAAAATTTTTCTGATGCAAGCGGTCACTTTATTTACATTTGCAGGCGCATTACTGCCCTAGGATAATAAACTGACCATTAATACCTTAGGGCAATAATGGACACTATATTGGGTTATATGGGGGAACTTAGCATGCACCGGCGCAGGTAGCTTAGAGTGATCTTAATTAATTGCATTGGAAAGCTTATTAAATTTTCAATAAAACGACACCTATTTCTATTATGATTACATAAATAGCAAGCCAAGTATCATGTTATGAACACAAAAATAATTTTTTTTTGTTATTTATTACCTTGTCTTTGTCTCCTGGCAAAATCAAGAAAAGTTTATAAGAATAATTGTCAAAAATAATATCTTTTGACCTATTAGCGAATATTTTGTTGTAATTCTATTCCGCGTAAAATAGTTTTGAGAATTAAAAGTTTTTTAAAAAGAACTTTTTATTATTTTTGGTTTTAAAATTAAATGTAAGTGTTTTTTGGAGTTGAGCTTTCAACGGTTTCATATTAATTTGAGAATTTATTATCGACGTTTTAATTTTATCCCTGCTATGAAGAATCACTGCGTTCATGAAAAGAACACAAAATGAACTTGAAGATAGTAATACTTGGAAGCGATTATTAATATTATTTCCACCAAGAATTGAGATAGAAATTTTGATATAAATGAAATATTTCACTTTTTTATAAAGTGAAAACTATTACAAAATATATTCAAATGTTTCTAGATCAATATTTAATTTAAATTATTGATAAATTATTTTCTGTTTTATTCCATGCATTTTAATTTAAAATCGGGTTGGTTTATAGCTGACGCCGTTAATGGACACTGTCAATCCTCAGTCTTCTTTTTGCTATGGGAAAAGGTATGAATGTTACCTTAGGGGTACGCATAGATTATTTATTAATTAGCGACGTACTCGAAATCGCATTCGTAAGAATGAGTAAGAGAAGGACGAACATATGTATCTGTGCTCTTTTTTTTAGTAAATTTAATTGTCTTTAAGGGGACTTTCTGGTCATGGATTTGAAAAAATTAATTTTTCTTTATTTTTGCTTCAAAGTATTCCTTAGTATCATAAAATTACTGTTCCAAAACATTTTTAAAGAAACATGCAAAAAAAAAGTTATAACAACTTTTATGGCCATTCCGTAAAACGTTACGGAAACTTTAAACGCGTTTTTCTCGAAATCTACTAAACCGATTTTAAAAATCAAAAACCATACGATTATTTATATAAAAAACTAGACAACAAACCTTTAAAATTTGACATTTTTATCCCCTCTTATTTTTTACGGAGGTAAATTGACCCAAAAACACAGCAAAATTCAAGAGGAATTTTTGCATCAACTATAATACATTTTTTACAATAAGAGTTTAAAAAAGTATTTTTTTAAATTTTGCAGCATAAAGTTCCCTTAATTTGGTAACTTTTAATTTCATAATTGGATTAATTTTCATTACAAAAGTAAAACCGAAAGTTTAAAGTTTGAAATTGAAAATGGCACCAAAACCCTTAAAAATTCGTTTTCACTTTTTTCAGTGAAAATGAATTCAATTTTAAAATTAAAATTCACCAAATTATATATAAAAAAGAGCCATAATATTTTCCATTTCATGCATTTTAAAAATAGTTTTTTTATTACAAGTTTTGGATCGTCCGCTTTGAGTAGAATGTTAATTAGAATGAAATAATTTACTAACCATGCTACCGAGATTCGAGGATCCAAGTAATTTAATTTACTTGTGCCCAGAGCAATTTCTTTGTTCTCTTCTTTATCAGTAGCTTGGACTTCCAATTTCGTCAGCTGCTCCTTCAATCGTTCCAACATCTTCTTTTTCTTGTCAAATGTCCTGAAAACAAAATCGTAACATCAATAACATCTTCAGAACATTTTTGAAATGGACTGCGTCTAGTTATTGCATCAAGAAATTCAATTGTGCGTTTTACGCGTGAATTTAAAAAATACTTACACTTTCTCCTTGACTGATCCATTCTTAGCGTCGCGTTTAGCTTCCTTAACTTGAATTTCAGCTTCAGTGATTGCCTCCTTCTTAGCGTCAATCTTTGCCTTAAGATTCTCCATCGACTTGGCGTGTGTTTTTGGAACGGAACGCTGATGGTTACACAATATTGCAACTGCTCGATTTGCTCTATTATAGGCGAGAATCTTCTCAGCCACCGAGTCATTGGGATCGGTCAATTTGTCCAGTTGCTGTTGCAGGGTCCAAGAGGCATTGTATGTCCTGAAACATTTCGCAGTGAGGCCCTCCATCAGTTCGTTTAAATGTTTATTCATCACTGTCGTCGTCAAACGATCAAATAAATCATCGCCCGGAGATTTATTTTCCATAAATAATTGAAGATTCTTGAAAACTCGCTTCTCAACTGGAACTTCGTTGTAGTATCTTATAGAATCTTTACCTGTTCAACAAAAAGATGAGGGGAAATTAAAACCGAATTCGATCAAGTTGAATCAAGTTGCCACAAATATATTTAATAAATAATTAATAATAAATTTCTTCACAAGAATTCAATTATTTAAAAATTTGTTGATAAAATTCTTTATGAGAATTGAATTTTAAATATTTAAAGTTTCTTTTTCTAATATAATAAATATTTAATTGAAGAATTTCCGAATAATCGAAATTTCGTAAAATTAAATTGAAAACAAGTGAATTTTAGAAATAAATTTTAAGTCAAGTTTTTTTTTATAAATACACTGAATGAATAATTAATTAATTGAATTCTTAAAGTACCTTCTCAAAATTAATAAAAATAATTAATTTAGTAAAGAATTTCAGTTAAAAAGTCGAGAAAATAATTGAATCTTAGAAGAGTTGTAATAGATATTTCTGGAAATCCAAAAATCCAAAAAGATTTCACATTGTATCTCATTTTTAAAAATTCTGAAGATTTAATTATTTAAAAAATTTTTTTTTTTTAATAATAAATGATTTGAAATCTAGAAAAATAATTTTGAAAAAGTTACAGTAAAGTAATTAAATTATCAAATTTTAAACGGTTTCAAAATTTGACATTTTTAAAAATCGTAATTCCTATGGAAAAATAATGTTAAAAAGATTTATCTAAACAAATTATTCATTTTTTCAAATCATTTAAAAAATTTTAAAGAAATTCACAAATAATTGTATTGCATAAATTATTGTTGTGTATCTATATAATTTTTAGAGTGAATCAGAATATTCTTTAGGGTCAGGGAAAAAGTGAAAATTTTGTCAGGCAAGAATAAAATAAAATTTTTGTGGCAACCCTGAAGTAGTATTTCTATTTCTCTAAATTTGGAGAAATAGGTACAAGCGGATTTTTTGAAATTGAAAATTTGAATGTAAGGATACAAACCTAAGAAATCGAACACGACAACATAGTCCTTTCCATCCTTGTGTTCCTCTAGATTAATGTGTTCGACTCTCAGCGAACAACAACCCACAGTGTCGGCTTGATCCTCGTCCTTTTCGTTACCAGCTCTGAGGGCGAGTTTATCGATAAAGTACAAAGCGACGGCCCTCTGCCTGATCCGCATCTCCTTGCTCTTCCAGTCTTCTCGATACTCGTCACGAATTTTGTCTATTGATTTTGCTAGCTTCCTCGCCGTCTCGTATTTCTGCCAATCCTTCTCGCCCTTCAACTTACTCGAGGGATTCAGCATGACGTATTTCACTTGGCCTTGAATATTCTCAGTCCACGAACACAACCAAGTGACATTCGGATCGTGTCTCACCTCCTTCCACCTGTGCCCCGACGGCGGCTTCGGAGCCACCGAATCTTTCGAACAATTGATGAGCACGTCCTCAGGTACGACTCTTCTCTTCAGTTTACCCATTTTAGGATGCTCACCGCGACCTCGAAACAAACTCGGTGGTTCTATTCGGAAATTGCCTATTTTCTCCTTGTGCCCATCGATAGTACAGAAACCGTATTCGTTTTGCACTTCTTCATTTTGCTCCTTGATTTTCTTCTTCTCCTCTTTCGACATTGCCTTGCGCTCCTCACTCTTCTGCACAAAGTGATCATGGATTTCACGGAAATTACACTTGGACAGATCGGTGATCTTGGCCCTCTCGTGTTCAGTCATGACGTCGCGCCAGTCCTTGAAGAAGTTGTCGTTGAATGCTTTCTTTGACGTATAGTCGTGTTCTATCATTCGAGCGTAGAATGTCGCCACTTCTTCAGTTTCCTCAGACAATTTCATTTCCTTTCCATTGTAGTAAAATTTAACGCTAGAAGGCAGTGGTTCGTAGGGTGGTGCGAAAAGTGGCCCTTTATGCTCCAAGAACTTCCATTTAGTTCCATCGTCTTTTTTCTCCTCCTCCCACCTTTAAATTTCATAAAACTAAATCAGTCGACAAATGCCACAAATAATACATAACTAACCTTAACTATGAATTTTAATTCCATAAAACATTTGTAGGCGAAATAGATGGAAACTAATGTTTTTTTAAATAAATGACTGTGAACCAAAATTAGTAGATAGATAAAATTAAAAAATAATCTAAATGATAAAGGGCTATTCACACATCAAAAAATAAAAAATTTAATAAAAAATTATCTTAAAAAAACTCCAAAAAGATAAAACTAAACAAAAGAAAAATAAAAGACGACTTTCGTTAATTCTGGTTAATTCGGATTTAAATCTCAATTTTATAAAGTTTTGTTTAATTAAATTCCGTTATGAGAAAATAAATGAACAATAGTTAAAAATAAATAATAATAAAATACACATCTAGTAAAAAAGAGATAAGTAGTAAACTAGTAAAATAAAATAAGATAAATAAGTGAACTCAACTCAATATGAAAACATAACCTCTTCGATGAGTCGAGTTTATATTCCTCCGGAGCATTTACTGCTACAAATTGTCGAATAAATTTGAATTGCAATATAGTTTTGGGAAAAATTCGAATGAATTTTGGTAAAATCGTAATCATAGTATGTAAAAGTGGTAAAAGTAAAAATAATATAGATTTATCGATTTCTAAACAATCGGAAAGATAACTTTTGTCACAGCTAGAATTCTAAAAAAATAAAGGCTATATCTTCATAGAAATTCATACACAAGACACAACTATTGAAAATTTAGCGGGAGAATTTAAATCTTACCACTTCCAGACATTTTGCTCCTCTTCTTCCTTCTTCTTCTTTCTCGGACTGGGAGTCGTGGTTTCACTTTTCACAGCCTTTACAGGTTTTTGAGCCTTTTGTTTCTTCTTTTTGGGTTTCTAAACAAAAAAGAATTACAAATTTAGACAAAACAAATTTTTACCGTAGGTATTTATTCATCGGGAAAATTATTGATCAATAAGTCGACAAAAAGTAAAAGTGTTTCTATTCTTATTTAAAGTCTAATAATTTAGTAAATTAAATATTCATATATTCGGTGGGAAATTTTTTCACTCGTTTTCTAAAAACAGTATTTAGGGTAAATGGTTGGATAATTTTTTAAAGATTTTTTTTAAATTTTTGCTTGTGAATTCACAAGCAAGATAGAAAAAAATTATTTACGGGAAAAAGAATAAAATACCTCATCTTCCTCGTAATCCGATTCTTCGTAGTCAGACTCCTTTTTCTTCTTCTTTTTGCTCTTGACAACTTCTTTCTTGGGCTTCTTGCGAGCAGATAATGGGATTTCTTCTTCTTCGTCAGAGGATTCTACTTTTCTTTTAACACTTGGGGACGGTTTCTTTCGCGACGACTGTAAATTATAAATTTTTACACATTAATTCAAGAATCAAACTCTAGTATATACTAACATATCAACAGTACTCAAATATTTTAAAACTATAAATGATGAAAACAATAATAAAAAAAAATTCTTAATTTATTATTAACAAACTACAAACCACAATTGGATGTTGATATGTGAAAAAGTGAGGTTCTTCATGTCTAGAGGATATGAACACTTTTCAATTCTTTTCACAATTTCAAAATGCAATTATTATTGAGAAACAAACAAAAAATAGAAAAACAAAATTAATTACCTTATTTCGATTTCCATTATAAAATTTGTATGATTAAATGTAAAATTTGATATTTAATACTTAAAAATTTAGTTACCCAACATGACCAAATATGTGAAAATACAAAAACTAGTTTTAGGTTGGTAAAAACAAATTCAAGTACATTGAAGAAGGAAAACAAAAAAAGTATCAGTTTTCGAAAAAGAATTGCTAATTTTCGTAATTGTTCGTAATAAATTAATATTTAATTTCTATTAAAAAAGAGACCAGGGCATTGTGTAAATCCTTTAAATTTTATCTGAAAATGTTTGTCGCTTTTAAAAACTTTAACGTTTATATCTTTTCAACATAAAATTAATAATTAAAAATTGTATAAGAATTGTGACATTATTTAAACCTTGTTTGAACAGTTCTAAAACCGTTTTTATTTTCTAACTCTTAAATATTTTTAATATTATTAAATTCTAACTCTTAAATAATTACCAACTGTAAAAAATATTTTATTGTTCATTTCAAAATGGTCTAATTATTGTAAAACTTACGAATTGTTAAACTAATAAGTTTAATAATTTGAAAGAATACGTTAAAACATATTTAATACGTAGACATTTTAATAAATTAGAGCTGTGCAAATTTAAAAAATTCAATTCCATCGGTTCTGTTCGAACCTTGAGTTTATCTAAATTTCGAAGCATTGACAAGAATTGAAAAAAATTGAAAAAAATATAATTCAGCAAACATTCAGAGGATAGAGTTGATTAAAAAATAAACCATTTCTGAATAGTTAAATTGTAATATTTTACCAATGGCATGTCTTCGTCTGAATCTTCAGTCTTTTCCACAGTGGTGTTATGAAGTTGAGAAAGTCTCGTGTCATTACCAGAATCATCATCATCCTCATCGTCATTTCCTTTAGGTTTCTCTTCCTTCTCGTCATCATCCTCTTCTTTAATGTAAAGAGGCCGTTCCTCTCCACTATCATCGTCATCCATATCTTGCTGCGATAAGTCCTCTTGTTGAGTAATTGGCTCCTAAAATAAATTTACAGAAAGTAAATAATAGTTTTCAAGAAAATAGTAAACAAGTACAAAATTGCAAAAAAAACTAAAACATAATTATGTAAATGTTTTAAATTTCATCATAGTGTATATACCTTTTTGACTTCTTCAAAGCTATTGTTCATCGGTTCATTTTTCACCTCAACCTTAGTTTCAACTTCCATTTCTTCCTTAATTTTAGGTTCTTCCTTAACTTTCTCCTTTTTATCCTTCTCATCTCGATGTTTAGCTAAAAGAAAGAGTAAAAGTATTAAATTTCAGACTAATTCAGAATTTTGATTTAAAAAATAATTGTTCGATTCTGCACTTTGAAATTATTGATTAATTATAAAAAATTATAAAAGAGGGTATGTATTCTATTTCTAACTCTAACATTGTATAGAAATAATTTATATTTTCTGCTACTTTTAGCGTCGCTCCTTATAAAATTTAATATCCCATAAAAAATTTTAAAATATTTGTTTGCGAGAATTTTTGTGAATTTAAAATCTTTATTTACTTTTACTTAAAAAAATTTCTAACATTTATCTTTTACTTAAAGAAGAAAAATTTTCGAATTGAAATTAAAGCAAATTTTTACGCAACGGAAATTTCACTTAGCAGAATAATAGGTCATCGAATTATTATTTAACAGAATGGCCCCGCGTCTCTTTTTGACCAAGGGAAAAAGTGAACGCTATTTTGGAACAAGTCATTCTCTTCGTTCGAGAAGTATGAAAATAGCGGCCATTTTCATACGGTCGAACAAGTGAATGGCTTTACTTCCTGTCGTCTGCAATTTAAAAGCGTCATTTTCGTGCCTATGGGATAAAAATATTTTTTTTTTACTATTTTTGTTACTTTAATAATTAATATCTCGAAAAAGAGCAATTCCACTTGGACTGGCCCAATCATCTCTTTTTTTTTTTTAAAAGATGCGTCTTATTTTCAGATGTTTTTAGTATCTTAGACAACACCACTTTTTGCAGTGAATATTTTCAAAAATTTTAATAAAGAAATTCGTAAAATTAACTTTTTAAAAATATTTTTAAATAATTTTTGTAAGACAATAGTTTTACAATTACATTCAATTAAAAAATGTCCAAAAAATTGAAATTTGATAAAATCTTTTAAAAATAATTGAGTTTTTTTGAAAATATAAAAAAATAATCAAATTTTTCAAGAATTTTAATGTATAATTGATTTTTCAAAAATTCTAATTAATAGTAAATTTAAAAAAATTTTAATTTACTTTGTTCAAAGGTAATTAAATCTTAAAAAATTGTAATAAAACATTTCTAAAAATCAGTTTTTTATAAATATTGTAATGTAATTTTTTGAAAATAATTGAAGAATTTTTGTATATGTAATTTAAAAAAAATAATTTTTTGAAGAATTTAAACAATTTCATGACTTGTAGAAAGCCTGAAATTATGAGAGTAAGAATCTATTCATAAGCCCCGTAAATGTTGAATATTTTGAAATTCACATTCACAAATGGATTGACTCTTGAAAGTATCAGTAAAACTCTTACATTTCTCTTTATCATGTCGATGACGATCCTTGTCATGTCGATGTTTGTCCTTGTCAGATCGATGCTTGTCCTTGTCGGAGGACGAATGAGAACTGGAGTGTTTCTTATCCTTGTCTTTGCTCTTGTCCTTGTCCCGTGAGGATGAGGACGAACTCTTGTGCCGGTCCTTGTCCTTGTCCTTGTCTTTGTCCTTACTGGAACTTGAACTCTTTTCCTTGTCCTTGTCTCTATCTTTACTGGAGCTACTTTTATCCTTGGAACTGGAACTGGAACTATGCTTGTCCTTGTCCTTTGAACTGGAACTGGACTTGTGATGATGGTCCTTGTCCTTCGATCTCTCCTTATCCTTGTCCTTGCTGGAGCTACCGCTGCTGCTACTCTTGTGTTCCTTATCCTTGCTGGAAGAGGAACTACTCTTTTTATCTTTGTCCTTGTCCCTGCTGCTGCTACTACTACTATGCTTGTCCTTGTCCCTAGAGGAACTTGAACTATGCTTATCCTTGTCCTTATGACGATCCTTATCTCTATGCTCACTTTTATGACTCCTCTCTTTATCCTTGCTCCTGTCTTTATCTTTATCTCGGTGCTCCGATTTATGCGATCGCTCTTTATCCCTGTCCTTGTGATCGGATTTGTGCTCCTTCTTCCTATCAAATCCATTCGACATCCCATTCAAGTGACCATCTGCAAAAATTACAATTATTAGAAATTTTCATAAAAAAAACATATTTCATTTAATTCCTATTCTCTCTTAAAGTAAATATTTAATAATTATAATTATTGAAATATTAAATAAAATTTTCACAAGAATTAAGAATTATTTATAAAATTTGCTAACGCAACTTTTCCAAAATTCAAGGGGGGTTTAACTATAAAATAATAAAAAAGATTTTAAAAGTAAAAATTTAATTTAAAAATATTTTCAATTGAATTCTGGCACTTAAATTATATTAAATATTCTCAATTACTTGTTTATAAAAATTCAACAATCTTTAAAAAATTCAACGAAAATATTTTTAAAAAATAAGTTTTAGAATTTTTCGAAAATTCAATTTTTAAACAATATTTAAAATTTAACATCGTTTAAAATTAACTAATTAAGAAAAATTGATATTATAAAATATTTTTAATATTAAATTACTTTATATGCAATTTGAACTCTTTAATAGGTATAACAAAATTAAATAAATTCAAAATTGAAAAAATATTAATAAATATTGATTTTTACAATAACAAACGTCAAACATATATATTTACATTTTATTGTAACTCAACTTTGTAAATTATGTGTTGAATAGAATCATTATTATATTTTATCAACTTTGTAAAGTTTAATTATAATCACTAAATTAAAATTCTTTGAAAATTCCATTTTTTTTAAATCTTCAACGAAATTTTTAACAAACTTAATTATTTCTATTTCAATTTTACAAGATTTCAGTTAATTCAATAATTCTTTAATAAAGTTTTTTAAGAATTTGACTATTTTTTAAAAAATTAAACTAAAATTTGTTAGAAACCCAATTTTTTCATAATTTTTATTATTTAAAACTTGAATCGTTTTTAAAATAAATATTTAATTGTTAATTTCTTCACAAGAATGGAAATTATCAAAAATTTTATTTTAAAAACTTTTGAAATTCAATTAATTCTGAAAATTGCAACATTTTTTATATAAAATCTTTTTTTTAAGAATTCTACTTCATTAACGTCTTTAAAAAAGTTTTTCTACGTTTTAATCATTTGAAATAAATTTATTTTAACATTCATTCTGATTACAAGAAAAAGCGAAAAAATGAGACGATATTTGATATTTTTTCAGTATTTTTGTTTATATTTTCTAATATTTCCCTGAATTTCATGATTTTTCTAAACTGTGGCAACCCTGTTAATCAAAAATTTCAAAAACTTTAAATTAACGAAATTTTCTTTCTGTTTGAATAATTTCAAAAATTACTGTGCTGAATTGAAAAAATAAGGTAAATTTAACATTTACTTGATTAATGATTAATTTTTCTTAACATATTAAATATTTTTTAAGAAAATAAAAATTAAAAGTAGTATATCGACGTTGGTTTGAACGTTCAAAACTTTAGTTACATATTTTTTACTCAATTTCGAATTTATATTAATAGTATAATAATCTCTAGTCTATATTATCGAATAAAGGAATAAAAGTTACAATACAAATTTTACTATCCTGGACAAAAAATTCGTTCATTAGGACAAAAGGAAACTTTTTTGGACGAATTAAAAAAATAGTTTTAGTTATTCAAGTAACAAAAAAAAAAGAAAAAAAAATTGTACATACAGAAATAATTTTAGTTTCTTTTTGACGCTAAAGAGGAAAATGTAACACTAATTTGATTTATAGTTTTTGAATCGCGTGGTAAATAAAATATTCAAAAGGAAAAATGTGTCAGAACATTTCTTGTTGTACTGGGAAAAAAATGCTGAATTTTTCCCCCAGTAAAAAATACAAAACACGAGTTTTTTTACATTTAAACTAAAAGATTGCATTCTAAAATAATTTTTTTTATCTTGTTGCAATAAAAGGAAAAAAAGCGATACGCGTTTAGAAAGTGTATAGAGAACGATAAAATTGAAAATAAATACGTACAGTGATGAATTTGAGCGTAAATATATTTTAAAATTTAATACATAATCATTGTGGCCAGAAGAAACGTGCTTCCACTTGCTAAAATATTGCAAAGATTCAACACTCACCTCCATGATTTTCTATTACGCTGCTGTTCTCCTTGCATGCTTTTTCCTGTAACAAAAATTAAGAAACCATTGATTCAGCATACTTTGGATGTTTGTTAAAAAAAAATTATTCCGCAATAAACAGCAATGCAAAGTTGATAATAGTTCGGCATCGTTATAACAGTTTGTAGGGACTTAGCCGCAGACGCCATTTTGGGACTTAGAAAATTTTCGCGTCTGTAAGTGAGTGAAATTACAAGAGAAAAGGGAGAAATTTGCTGAGTTTAAAGAAATTCTGAGCACCTACGCTAATTGAGAATGTGAAATTAAAATGAAATGAATACTTTACCGAATCGAGAGTTTGCTGTGATAATGGTTGAACGAGCTCCATTTCACATGAATGCTCGCGAGGGTGATAGACTCTGGCACGGCAAATGTAAAGAGTTTCAAACACTCACTTCAGTGGCTTGAAGACTGAAAAACGAACTTATAACCCAAACCGAGTGTTGGAGTCGCCAACAGTCAGTAGTTAAAGATGCTAAGTGCCGAAACTGCCCGACTGCGCAAGCGTCGACAAACTCCGCCCTTTACCCAGTGAAGTATCTACAAACCCCCGCACCCTTACCCAAACGAAAACTCCATTTATTTTCCTCTCTTTTCAAAATTTTACTTCAAAATTCATTTTTCCCATTTCCCACAGTCCAAGTTTTTCCATTCAACTTCCAATTTTTCTCTCTAAAAAAATCTAAACATCAATCTTTCTGTCTCCGTGAATAAGTAATAAGAATTCATACCGCGAAGCGAAGGTCACTGACGCTCACTTACAATTCAAATGCATTAAAAAAATGAGACCATCATCCCTTCCAAAGGCCATGATCGTAATAATCGTTTTGATACTCCAGAGCAATGGCACAAACAGGTTGCAATAATAAAGAAAAATTGATAATACAATTTATTTTTTAACGAAAAAAAGTGCCGAAATTTCAATAAAATCATTTACCGACCGATTTGTCTATAAATATAATTGGCATTAACAACATAACCTACATTTTTATGAATTGTTTTAAATTTGTAATGTTATTTACTATATTTATAGTCAAAAATATAACCTTTCTCAATCAATATAATACTTCCTCAATAACAATGTTTCGATTATTCGTTTTAAACCTAATTCTTATAATTGCATATCAGAATCGTTCATTTTTTCTTATTTAGAACAAAAACAAATGCTTTAAAAGACATTTTCTAGTTTTTATTATGAAATTTTAATAGTTTTTTAATCCAATAAGGAATTCTATATTTAATTTAAATGTTCATAACCTTAAATATATTATTTCATCATATCGAGTGACAATTTAAGTAAAATTTCCATTAAATAAATTTCACAATTAACGAATAAACAATTATTTATGTGAAATTTGAAAAATATTTAATTGATTAAATCAATTAATTAGTTGACAATTAAATTAATATTAATTAATTAATTAATTAATTAATATTATTTAAATAATATGCAGATTTGGAATAAATACCTATGTGATGCAGTTGCAACAAAAATTAAATTATCAATTTTTCCACAATTAATTTCAATTGCTTAAAGATTAAATTGAAAAAAAATTATTCGGTCGTTTGTCACTGAAAATGCTGAAAATCAATATAATATTTTCACTGATTTTAAGTGATATCTGAATTTGAGTGAATATTTTATCCTTAAAAATTTTATTATTTTCTAGAATTTATAATTTTAAAAAATTTATATATATATACAATAAATTATTAAAATAAATTTTGCTAATTTTTTGATTCTTACCGAATTTACTTCGAATATAGAGAAATTCATGGAATTTTATAATAAAAGTATCAAAAATTCTGATTTAAAATTTAGAAAAATTACCATTACAACAGAATTTTATTCCTTTAATAAATTATAGTGTATATGCGGAACAGCATGTCTCATAATAGGGGCCTTTTACCTTAATTTTGATAAAAGTATAGAAAATTGTTAAAAAAATTAAGATTATAGGAGGTAGAAATTTTTTGCATATTTTCTGCTTCTCAATTCACAAAATATGAGTTTCTTTTTGAAAAAGAATAAATAATGTTATAAAATTCCTATTTCTAATCACAAGTTTTTAACAAAATTCTGTTCTTCTTGAAAAAAAAAAAAATAATAATTTGCATCATTTTTATACCAAAATTTTTGAAAATTAATATATTTATAAAACATTTTTTTTAGAAAATTTTAAATATCTTTAGGAAAAAATCCCTATAATTTCTATTCGTTAATTACGATTTTTAACTAAATTATTTTAAAATTTTGTAAAAAAATTTACATAATTTCTATTTTTTTTACAATCTTTCAACGAAATTTCAAGTATTTTTTTTTTTTAAGAAACAAAAAATTTTCATAAATTTTATTTTTTAATCATATTTTTGTATAAATTAAATTCCTATATTAAAAACAATGACGTGTAATCTCTAGGGTTAAATTTTGTTTTCCCAATTCCCACCAAAAATTAATTACTTTAACTATTATTCATTTTACAGGTCTCGGTGAATCTATTTCATAAAAATTGTTGAAAATTGAAATTTAAAGAATTTTAATTGCAAATTCTAAAAATAATTGAATTCTCAAAAGTTCTAATGAAAAATTTATTGAAAATTATCTTCAAAAAATTAATTTATTACTAAAAACTATTATCGTCAAATTGACGTTAAAAAATGGTCAAAATGACAGACACTTTAATGTATAAAAGAAATGTTACATAGTAATATTACTAACATTACATGTAACATTAAAGAGATATTACTGTAATGTTACGTGCTACTTGTGAAATAAAAAAATCTTCAAATGAAGCTATAAAAATGAAAAGTTTATTGACGTCAAAAATGGTCAAAATGTGGGATATTATCAGATCTGCAGTAATAAATAAAACTGTACACTATAGTGCTATAAATTGTATACTATAGTACTATGTAAATGCAGACAACAAATATACTAATAAAAATAATCATGATGGGATGTGAAGAAGTAAAAGTTTATAAATTAAAAATTCTTTTTTAAAAATTTGTATACAATTCACCAAGGAAAAAAAATCGCTATCAAAAGAACAAATTATTCTACAATTAATTGACATGTTCATCTACATTAACAGAATAGTTAAAAAAACAATAGGCAGATTAACATCACACAATTCATATTAATTTTATCAATGCACAATTAACTTTTGTAAACGAAATTGATTGAATTACTTAATTTTTTTTATACAATTTTTTCGTAATACGATGAATTAAAAAAAAAATTCAATTTACGTATATTCCGGTTTTGCATCAGCAGTCCATGTTGTTTTTTTCTTCTTAAACGCGAACACTGCGTATAATGCTGAAAAAAATTTACCTTTTTACTTTTTAGCAATTATAATAATATACATTGTTTTTTTCTTGACATAATCTCAAAGTTTTAAAAAGAGGAGCGAATTAAATTCTAACTAATTGAAATTCTGTGATCATAATTTTTGACGCGCTCCGAAAAAAGGTACCTAAGAAGAGTTAATGAAGAGTATAAAAGGTTTTACACCTGGTTCAATGGCTTGAAATTATGTCAATAAGTGAATAAGCATTTTAAAATAAAATTGATAAAAATGACGTACATATCGCATCCCACTCTGACTGCGAGAGAGTTCCAATTTTTCGATGACCCACGGAATCTTGCATGTAATTATTAGCGTGCTGATAATCATCAGCCTGCTGACCAAGAAGCGGCGCTTCATGATATGGTGGATAAGTTTCTAAAGCCTGCATCTTTCCTAGTAACGATTTACCCTCGTTTTTCATTCTCTCGAAGAACTCTTCGAATCTGAAAATTCAATAAAGAGATAAGGTGAAAATCTAAAAATATCGTCAATTCAGAATCTTCCATTTACTTGTTTTGTTTTATTTTTATTAAAATTATTCAAAATTTCAATTTGCAACCATTTGATATTTAATAATTAATTTCTCAAAATTTCTACATAACTCTTTCGATGCCATAATTTTTAACCCGAATTATTTTCTACATCAATTATACAAAATTTGAATTATTTAAAAGTTTTTCAATTAATTTTATATTCAAATCTATCTATTTAAATGAAATTTGACATTTTTAATTATTTAAAAACTTTTTAAAAACTTTTTGCGAGAATTCAACTATTTTCCAAAAATTGTAATTACAATTGTACAAAAACCTAAATTAAAAATGTAGGTAATTAGTATAATTTAATCTAAATTAAATTACTCAAAACTTCAATAAACTCGTTGAATAAAGATTTCAATTTAAAAATCATTTGAAATTTAATTATTTCCAAAAAGTTTCAATTAAATTTTGTTTAAATATTCCAAAAAATTTCTATTAAATAACTAATTTCAAAAAAACTTGAATCAAAAATAGTTTAAAGAACTAAATTGTTTAGAATTTTTAATGAAAATTATTGAAAATTAAAATCTTCAAAAATTTGAAGTTAAAACCTTTTGAAATTTAATTATTTCTAGAAATTTAGGGGAGAGCGGGGCGTTTGCCCCACTATATACTAATATTGAGACCGTCTCAATATTTCCGAAATGGCGAAATTGTCAAAAGTGTTGTTTACAAATTTAAAACAACCATGTTTAGTATACCTTATTTTTTTTCAATTTGACAATTTTTACTTTTGTTTGTGCAACGCTGGGAGCAAAAGTTTTTTTTTTAGTTTTTTTTTTCTTAAGGAAATTCTGAGGAAATCGTGTAATGTTTCCAAATATTAGGTCTTGGGTTTTGAAGGTACACACCTCAGGAATATTTACCACCAAAAACTTTGATGAATTTGCAAAGCGTTTCTTTTTGACAAACATTTATTTTCAAAATGGGCCTGTGGGGCAAACCGGACCGTTTTCGGTGGGGCAAACCGGCCATAGGATATTTCCATTGAATTAAAAGTTTCATAAAAATTATTTTTAAATAAAATGTTTCATTACTACAACCTTTGTTTACATGATTCTTTATGTTTTTTATTATTGTAGATTATGTAAATGCAATATTATAAATAAAAAACCAAACGGTCCGGTTTACCCCAGGGGGTGGAGCAAACCGGACCGTTTGCAAAATTTTTTAAAGTTAACACAGCAACTAAACAATAAAAGATAAAGTATAGGTGCCTCTGGGAAAAAGTTGCGCAATTAAATGATCTTTAAAACGAGCCATCGAAAAATGAAATCGGTTGATTCGTTTAGTCACAAGAGTCAAAAAACCTTTATGGGGTCCGGTTTGCCACACTCTCCCCTATACTTAACTAGCTTTCAATATTTCATTTTTTTCTAGATATACATATTAACTTGAAGTTTTTTAATAATCGTTAATTTTATTAGAGTTTTTGTAAATAATTAATTAATTCTTTTGAAGAATTTTTTTGTGTTTTTTTCAAATTAATGTAGTTTTTGAATAATTTTAATTGGAAATTTTGAAAATAATTGAATTAAACAAAGAATTTTTTCAAATTTTAAAAATAGTCGTGTCTGTTAAAAATTATAATTAAATATTTCATTATTGAAGTTCATTAAAATTGTATTTGAAATGAATATAATTGGATTCCTGCATGTGAATAATTTTATTATTTATAGAAATAATTTAATTTAATTGTGAAAAATTTTACTATTTTTAAAAATAATTGAATTGTTTCCAAGAATTAATTAGAAGTTTAGAAAATAATGGAATAATTATTATTCCCCCTCATTTAAGGAATAAGGCATTTTAAAAAGTTGCATTTTATGCGGAACTGTCTTTTGGTTTTGAACTTCTATTGAACGAATAGAAAAAAGTTTACAAATACCTTTCATAAAGTACAAGTTCCAAGCCAAATTTTTCTCCTAATTTAATGAGGGTCGGTAAATGTACAAGAAATTCAGGACAATTTACTACACCCTCCAAGTGAAAATTGTATCTGGCGCCAAATAGTGGCGGTTTCTCTTTCTCCTCTGATTGAAATTCAACGCTAAAGACTTCATTTCCAAATTTATTTCCCTCACTCTTTTGCCATCGGGACCTGAAACAATGTTTTTGTTGCAATTCTATAAATAGTTTCGTGAAACGAAATGTCAAGTAGACAATATGACACTAACACTAATTCATAAGCATCGGGTATTGTTCCAATGAAAAAACCGCCTGGTCGCAGACTCTCGCTGGCATTTTTGATCATACACTCTGCCTGCGGTAGAGATTCAAAACTATAGTGCAGTGCAAATTGAACACTTGTCAAGTCCAACTCCATACTCGGGTCCTTGTATTTCTCTCTTAAACGAACCTGAAACCTTTATGTTTTAACCAACACTCAATTTTAACAGTAATGTTTGAATTTCAGCGAGAAATTACGACAGATAAATTAGGTACCTTTGTACAGTCGGCAGTGATAAATTCGGCTCTAAAAACAGGCGCGAAACCAGAGTCCCTAGATCTGTTGGATGTTAAATCGTTGTAACGACTTTGACATTGTTCTACGGAAACAGAGGCTATGTCAGCGGCTATCAGATGTGTTATGTTCGCCTTTTTCCATTTTAGAAGATCTCCCCCTTTCCCGCAGCACATGTCTAATACTTTTATAGGATCGCCAACACGTTTTTCTTGTATTATTTTTTGCATGAATTCATCTAGAATACAAAAATTATTTAGTATAATTATAGGGGAAAGGCTTGCAGGTTGTCCCACTTGTGCTATTTTTTTATTGGAGAAATGCCATAATTAAAAACCCGACTGAGCGACTGATATTGTTGTCAAATGATAAGTCATGACTTTTTATGATCTTTTCGAGCAAAAAGAAGCAACAAAAATGTTATTGTTAAACAAATTCTGAAATTGACTTTTGGAAAAATTAAAAATGTGACTTTTTTATGTGCTTACAAATGAAATATTTTTATGGATAATTTAAGTTACAATTTTCTTTCTTAGTTGCTTTTTAATCAATTTTGATAATCCAAAAGGAATTTTCAAATATCATGAATTAATATTTTTTTTCATCGATTTAAAGATAGAGTTCAAAATTGCAGGTTGAATCACTTTACGGTTTGCAGGTCTGAAATGCGAATCCGCAATGATAACTTGGAGTAAATTTACACGATTTCAGAAATTTTATTTTTTTTTCATATATCTTGCTTTTTGTTTGATTTTCAGTTAAAAAAAATTTTTTATTTTTCAAAAATTTTATTTATTAATAAATTGTTTAAAAAATTTAAATTCAAATTATTATGTTCAGAAACATTAAATGTAAGTGAAATTTAATAAATTTATTCGAGTTGTTCCATATTATTATCAATTTTTCAAGGTGGGCCAACCTGCAAGCCTAAATTTCGAAACGTTGATTTTACATGATTTTTAAAATTTGATGTAAAAATTTTATTTTTTGCCAATTTATATTATCTATAAAATGCGTTTTTGAAAAATTCTACCCTAATCAAATTAAAAACTGATTTTTATATAAAACTGCAGAAAATTAAAAAAAAATGAATTAATGCTTAAAAAATGTATATTAATGATCGTTAATTTCAGTAATCTGTTCGCATATTTTTTGTTTTATAACTATTTTAAAAAATTTTCAATTTTAAAATTACATAATGTATTAAAAATCATTGAATTCTTGCAAAGAAATTTTCTATTTATACAAATAATTGAATTGTTCCAAAGAATTTATAAACATTTTAGGAAATAAATGAACTTTATGTAAATATTTGAAAATAATTCAATTCTTTTGTTTCGAGAAATTCTGTAAAGAATTTTATTTAAATTAAGTATTAAGTACATTCAAAATAATAAATTGAATTCATCAAAAGAATTTTTTTATTGTTTGAAAATAATTCAATTCTTTAAAAAAAAAAAATATTTAAAAAATTGCATTGAAAGTAATTTAATTTTCATATAGAATTTTTATAAATATTTCGAGAATAATTGAAATAATTGAAAATAATTAAATTCTTCCATGTTATTTTATTTAAAGTGGATTAAAAATAATTTAATTCCTGCAAAGAATTTTATAAAAATAATTATTTTTAAAAATAGTTGAATTGTTTCGAAGAATTTATTAAAATTTGAGAAAATAATTGAAAAAACCGGGCAAGTGCGAGTGAAACTCACACTGAAATGGCGGGTTCCGTACACTAATATTTAGATCATTTGGTACCAAAAAAAGTTATTTCTAAAAAAAATTAAAAAATTTTTTTTTTAAAAATATGTTTCGAAATTAATTTTTTGTGATCAGATTGTAAAAATACACTAGTATACCAATTTTTAGCTTATTAGGTCAAATAATGTAGAATTTAGGAAAAGAAAAATTTTTTAGTTTTTCCTTGACAACGCTATGGCCATCATTATATATCAAGTTCTCTATATTTTTCCTGCAATATTCGCGTAAAAATACACCAGCATGAAAAATTTCAGCTCTCCATGTTGAACAGTTTAGAAGTTAAGGGGGGGGGGGGGGGGATAGTCACTTTTTATGCATTTTTGGACAAAAATCATGTTATTTCCTTGACAACGCTATGACCATTACGTCCAATCACATTCGCTATATTTTTCCTGTAATCTACGAGTGAAAATACATATCTGGACCAAATTTGAGCTCTTAAAGTCAAATAGTTTAGCCGCTAGGGGGGGGGGGGGACATGATTTGGCTACGGACGCAAGAGTCTCACCAATAGGGTTCCGCCGATACACCGTAGGTGTACAGAACCCTAAAAATTAAAATTTTTATAAAAATAATTCAATTCTTGCGAAGAATTTATTAAAATGTTAGGATTTTATGGAAATATTTAAAAATATTAAAATTCTTCCGAGGAATTCAATTAAAATTGTTTTGAAAACAAATAATTTCTTGCAAAGAATTTTAATATTTATAAAAATAATTGAATTCTTGAGAAGAATTAAAAAAATTAAAACTATTAATTAATTAATATTAATTAATAAAAAAAATTGAATTGTTTCTAAAGATTTATTAAGATTTTAGAAAATAATTAAATTAATTCGAAATGTATTAAAATTTTGTTTAAAAATAATTGAATTTTTGCAAAAAATTGTACTATTTATAAAAATAATTGAATTCTTCCGAAGAATGTTATTATTTGTATAAAAATAATTAAACTCTTGCGAAGAATTATATTAAACTTTTGAAAATATAATATTAGATAAAATAGATTTTAAAATTATAAATTAAACAAAATTATAAATGAAATTTGAAGTCAATAGTATTTAAAATGCTTTGGTTGTAAAGCAATAATTACTGATTAATAAGCAATTAATTACTGATATTATATTAAGAATTACTAATTCTTTTTTTCCAAAAAAATTTATAAAAAAAAACAATTTTAATTTTTGAAGCATTTAAATACAAATAACATTTTCGTAAATTTTGCTATTTTTAAAATATGTATAAAACACGTATTACTTCTAAACGTCATGAAACATAAATTTTGAGGTAAATTTAATTCTAAACAATATGATTACAAGTTTCGCAAAAAATGTAGATCTTTAAAAATATTGCTTCGAAAATTTTCTGACTAACAACAAAAGCAAAATTTGTAATTTAATTTTTTTAGTAAACAAAAAAAAAATTGTTATTTATGTAGAAATAGTTTTGCATTCAAGCGAGAAATCGTTCGAAAAAATCGAGAATCTCGTCAAAAATACATAATAAACAAAAATAATAGCTAAGTTTTGTCTTTTTTCTTTTATGAAAGGAGAGATTCTCGAATGCAACACTATCAGTAGAAAATTGTAAATGTATTTTTTTTAAGAAAAAGGCGGAAAAAGGATTAAAAAATATTGTTTACACTTACTTATTATCATACTTTTTATCCAATTATTAAAATTTCGCATATAAACGATTCGACTTTGATTTCTTTGTGATAAACCTTTTTCCTCAAGGGAATTGTAATGCTCTGCAACGACATTTGAATGCTCCGAGGATTTTTCGCTTTCGGCTACATCTTTTTCCTCTCTAGAACTTCCTATCGATAAATCTGACGGAACATTGACGTTCTGTATTTTCAATGGGAAATTAAGAATACATTAATAAACAAGACAAATAAAATATTTTGTAAACATAATAATTTTCAATTTTTTTTTTCTATTAAAAATTTGCCCGACTCACATGGGCAGTTTGTCCTTCATTCAATTTTACAACTTTACTCCCTTCCGAGTCCTCTGAATGTTTCCTTTTCCTACAATTAGGACTTTTGCTTAAGTCATCGTTGTCGTTTTCCGGAGCGTCTTTAGTCGATGACATTTGAGAGACTTCTTCCTCTTCTTCTTCTTCTTCTTTAATGACCTGTGCTATGGTGCCTGTGGTACGACTGTCAGAATAGTGAAATTAAGGTGTTTGGAATAAAGTAGTGTAAAGTTGTTAGATGCGAGGTTTGACAATTGACAATAAAACAGACAGCTGATGCGTCACCAGTTCAATTCTTAAAGCAAGTTAAAGTTGAGTCTCCAATGTTAAGGCCTAAGCACAATAGTTCGCGAACGCAAAGCATGAGTTAGAAAAGGACAGAGATATATTTGTGTCCTTGTCTATCTCATGTGTCTCGTTCGCGAACGACTTTCGCGAACCTATTGTGCGTTGGACTTGAGAGAAGGTGCGCATCGATGTTCATAGCTATAGATATACTAAAGCATGCTGTGGTATATCTATAGCTATGAACATCGATGCGCACCTTCTCTCATTGTAGACTCTGCTTAATATGAACATCGATGCGCACCTTGTCTTAAGGTGCTTCTATACCTCTGGTGGATTGGTCAAGCAATCGGCTCGATGAATTTTCAGGGTGGAGTCCCATGACAGCGTTTTGCGTTGCGTCGTAATGGGAGAAAAAAAGACGCAAATATACGTTTGCTGCATTCTCTCTCATTACAACGCAACGCAAAACGCTGCCATGGGACTGCGGCCTCACGGTCGGAAAATGTACTTTCATGGCGGGTATTTTTGAATAAGTAAATGTTGAAAAGGTTTTTACTTGAAAATTTATTTAAAAAAATGATTTTATCATAGAAATTTTTTTGAAATTTATGTTAAAAAACATGTTTTATTTTAAAAGTTATCAAATTTTAATTCAAAATGTTTTAATTTTCCAAAGAAGTGTAAAAAGCCTAATGTTTTTGAAATGCTAGTACAGACGGTACAGACGGTACAGACTGTTTGTTATGAATGTACAAAACCTAGCGTTGTGTTGTCTGTTCATTATTATTTAATATAATTAAATCATTAAATTTAGAATATAATAATATCACAAGCACCATGGAGTAGTATAAGGAGACCGAACGCCACTCACGCAAAGTGGCCGCACTTTTCATTACCGTGTTTCCTCTGGGCTCACTTACATCGATAGAAGCGCCCCCAACGGGGAAAAATGTCACTAATAATCGTCTGCTATTTGTTATTGTACAGTCATGTACAGTGCAGTTGGTATTTTTATAGGTTAGTGTTGTTTGGAAATAGTTGACAATTATCATTAATAATTATCTTATAATTATAATATATTATTATTTATTCAATATTAATTTTGAAAGTGCTCGGTTGGAAGTGAAAAGAGATAAATAAGTAAGTATATGTGAGAATTGTTGCGATTAATATTGTTTATATACATAACTTAATTGTTACTAAAATTCCCTCTATAATTAAGAGAGAAGAATTGCAATTTTCACTACACAGACAGCAGCAGGCATTTTCACTCACAATTTATTTTTTACATGCTTCATTGAACTAACAATCACTTTTATAAACAAAATTAGAGGTTATGTCGTGTCTTATTTTGTTTTTAAATATAATGATCTTCTCCTCCGCGAGAGGCTCTTCTATCGATGTAAGTGAGCCTAGGGAGCGTTCACAAATTACGTAACGCTAATTTTTAAAAATTTTGACCCCCCCCCCTCCCCCCATGTAATACACTGTTACATACATTAGCGCCATTTTTTCTGCTGTACATAACAAATAGCTAGACCCCCCCCTCCCCTTTATAATGTTACGTAATTTGTGAACGCTCCCCTAGAGGAATCACTGTTATGAAAAATGCGGCCACGTTTGACGCGGATTCATCACGGGCGCTTCGGTCTCCTTAAAGGCGAGAACAGAATGCCTATGAAAACGTGTACGTTAACGTAGATAAGATAGGCATGCAATATGCAAATGCATTTGTTTAGGGATGGGAAAATGCAAAAAATGCAGCCTACTGTGGACATGGCCTAAGGATGATTTGCTTTAAAAGGCTGTGTCCACAATAGGCTCTCTTTGTGTCCTATTGTGAACACAGCTTAAAATTTAGTTGCTGTGTCAGTGTGGAGGCGCTGAATGTTGCTGTTAACATCAGTTACATGCAAGAGTTGATTCTGTAGAAATCAGTAGAAATTGTTTTGAATCAGAGTACCTGATGTGATGTATAGGTAATTTTGTTTTGTTTTGACTGGTTTTGACAATTTGCGAAAACGGAAGATTTACATTTTATTTATAAGTTATTTAAGAAAAATATTCACATGTTTTATAATGGGATCTCAATGTGCTTGGAACAGATAAAAGTATGAAAAATCTAAAGTAATATAAAATCAAAGCTAAATTATATTCCCATAAAGTTGAAAAAGTTTTGACAGTTGATTGTTATTGAAATCATTTTAAAATTTGAAGAAATCTTATTGTCTTGGTAATAATTATGCCTTTTACCGCAGATGCAGCAGCACATCAAATACAGGTTGGTATATTTGTTGTTTATATTTATGTGATTTATGTTTATGGATATTATAGGTTATGTTTTAATTATTGTAATTATTAATAATTTATCAACTATCCAACATTTGGAAATCTAGATGCCGTTATCTGATATATCAAATATTTTATAAGAAATTATTTTCAGAGTCCTGTTAGAAATGATAAAATATTAGTCTCCCAAATTATGATACTTTTAAAGTTACTTCTACTTTTTTCCAAAATTTCTTATTCTCGAAAATTTTAGATTTTTAAAATTTTAATATCTCCGGCCAATATGGACGGAAAATGTTCAATAAGGGCTCAAAAGAAGCGTCTGAAAAAACTCTAAAAAACTAAGGAACGACATTTATAGGTGTTCTAATACTTTTTTAAGTTATGGCCAAAAAAAGTTTTTTTGAAAAATTAAAAATGCAAAAATTTTGTCCCCCGGGGAGACCTACAATTAAAAAAATTGAAGCCTACAGCTCTTTCTGGTTCTGAGATATTGAGCCCAGGGTGGCCACATGTCAGTAAAGTCAGGGAAATGTCAGGGAAAAAAATATTTTGTCAGTAAAGTCAGGGAAATGTCAGGAAAAAAATTTTTTGTCAGTAAAGTCAGGGAAATGTCAGGAAAAATTTTTTTGTCAGGACAATTAAAGAAATTAAGACGGTCATGCAATACATTTTTTGCTCTAAACAAAAAAATTTTTGTCAGGGAAATTCGTTGTTATGTCAGTAAAATGTCAGGGAAATTGATGAAGTCAATCTTGCGGCCACCCTGTGAGCTAAACACATTCGGACATTTTTTAAAAATACGTTTTTTGGACGTAAAATATTCTTCGCAGAAATTTAATTATGTTCAAAAATTTTTTTAAATTCTCGTCAATATTTCAATTATCTTTAGAAATACTTGTTTAATTCTTCTCAAAAATTCAATTATTCTCAAAAATTTTAAGAAAATTCAATGTTTTTTAATATCTACTATTTTTATAATAAAATTTTCCAAAAGAATTCAATTACTTAAAAAAAATTTAATAAAATTCTACGCGAACCTTTAACTATTTTCAAAAAATAATAAAAATTTCACAGGAATTCATTTATTTACAAATTTGTTATAAATTTCTTCGCAATCATTCAATTATTTATATACATAATAACATTTTTATAGGAATTCAATTATTTTCGTAAATAATAAAATTCTTTTTAGGAATTCAATTATTTTCATAAATAATAAAACTCTTCATAGGATTTCAATTATTTTTAATACAATTTTAAGTAAATTCTTCGAAAAACGTAATTATTTTTAAAAATTGATTTAAAAATGGATTTCAGTTAAAATTTTAGATTATAATTGAATATTAAAAGCATTATATTATAGTGTGGATTTTTATAAATAATTAAATTTTGAAAAGGTTTCAAATTAAAATTTTTGAAAATATGAATTTTTCATTTAAGTTTAAGGGCATCCGGGAAATAATACTGGTTTCGTGATAGACGTCCCATTTAAAAAGAAAAGAATATTTTGAGTCGGGATTTTTTGGTAAATATAGAGAAATGCTCTGGGACCAGCGGTCCTCTCGGAATTTAGCGAAATTTTGATAAATAATTATAGAAAAAAATTGTTTAAATATACGGAAAAAGGGGTTTTTTACGGTTCAGTATAGTGCTCGCCGCCATATTGTCTCTCACTTTCGCCAAAAATCCAACTTTTGTAATTTCGTTTTTCAATATTTATTTCAAAAATGACTTGCAAATTTCGAGAATATTCTTTATCATCATGAATTCCCCTAATTATCATGATAAATCCGAACTAAATATCTCTAATTATTTAGGAGTGAGACGACACGCGGGAAAACACTGTTTGGGCTTGATTTTTCCCGGATGCCCTGCGGATTTTTTTAAAAATTATTTCAAGTTTTTATTTTCTAATATATATTTTATCGAGATTTTATTGAAGAATTTACGAATAATTGAAATTTTGTAAAATTGAATAGTAATTGAATTTGGTAATTCTTAAGGGAGGAAACCACATTAGACGTCTAAAAAAATCTATTTTTTCTTTTTTGCATAAATTGTTAGTTAAGATATTCAAAAATAGGCTGAAAAAGTATTTTTAGAGCAAAATTCGACGTCCTCGCTGTATTAGTGATGAACAAACAGAAAGGCACGAAACGAGGAATTATTAGACTCACATGCTATACTTATGAAGCACATGAAGGGATATATATAGTGCTGGAATAGCCGATTAAAGTGTAATCATTAAAAAAATTTTTTTTTTGTATAAATATCAATTTTTTGATACTTTTTTCAAATGCGTTTTTCTCAAAACAGGATTTTTGAAATTGCCGTGCAGTGTAACTCAAAAAGTTATTACACAGAGAGAAAATTTATTACATATATTAACACATATGATATATATATATTGTAAAAGTTTTTACAGTTTAGGGAAAAAGTGCACCAAACCGAAATTTTGGTGTCAAAAATACTAAACAGTAAAAGAAATAATTCGAAATTTAGTAAAGTTATAGATTAAAATTCTTGATATTTGATATTATTATACTAAATTTCATATTATTCCTTTCACTGTTTAGTATTTTTGATACCAAAATTTCGGTTTGTTGCACTTTTTCCCTAAATTGAGAAGCACTTTTACAAAATTTAATATAATTTTCTTTCCGTTTAGGGGCCGTACACATAATACGTCACGCGATTTTTGACCATTTTAGACCCCCCCCCATGTCACACACTGACACTGTCCCATACATTAGCGCCATTTTTTCTATAGGTCGTCACAAATGTCTTGACCCCCCCTCTCCCCCTGTTCGCGTGACGTATTATGTGTACGGCCCCTTAACTGATTTTAAAATAAAAAATTGGAAGTTGTTCGTTATTAAATTTGTTATCTAGTGAACTAAACTTGAAAAGAAAAAAAATTGTTTTTGTTACAAATTATTGTAGAAATTTGATTATTTCCAAGAATAATAATATTCTTTGCAAAAATTAAATATTATTCAAAACCTTCAAAACTAATAAAATTCTTCTTAGGGAGTCAATTATTTTCACAAATAATAAAACTCGTTGCAGAATTTCAATTATTTTTAATACAATTTTATTTAAATTTCTCGAAAAATGTAATTATTCTTAAAAATTTTATTAAAATTCGTCGAAAAAATTCAATTATTCTTAAAAATTTGTTGATAAAGTTCTTTATGAGAATTGAATTTTAAGAAACATTCATTTATTCAATAAATTATTTATTTAATTTGTATTTAAATAATTGAATTCTCGTAGAATTTTCTAATAAAAATGTATTTAAAAATGAATTTTAATTAAAATTTTAGATAATAATTGAATATTAAAAGCATTATTGCGTGAATTTTTAGAAATAATTGAATTTTGAAATTAATTTTTTTGGAAAAGTTTAATTGCATTTTTTTTATATATTTTTTTTTTATTGTTCTTCATATATTCCCCATTTGGGTTTTTACATATATGACAACCCCTTATATTTTTTATATTTTTGTCAGTAATTCCATTGAGGAATTTTATCACTTAATGAATTTCTCATTTCATTTGAATCATTTCTTTTCAGGAACGACTAAAAAATATTTATAGTCTGATTCATGATTTGGAAAGAAAGCGCAATTATTCTGAACCTAATATAAATAATATCATCAAAACTCATGACAAACTAAGTCCGGATGATAAAGTAACTTCATATTACCAACAGAAATTAAAAAATATTTATAATACTGCTATATTAGATGCTCATCAGGAAGAAGATTTATTAAGGAAATCTCTTGAAAAAATTAATGAAATAAGACTTATTCGAAATGAACGACGAATTCAGGTAAATATACTTTAGTTGATTTAAGTAAATAAATTTTTAAAACTAATTTTTGCATATTATAATTGTAATATTTTCATGTTATTAACGTGGTAAGTTTTTCCAAGAATATGCAAGACGTTAAAATTGATCTAAGAAATGTGAAAAAATTAAAAATATTTTCATTAAGAAATATAATTGTAAAATTTTTTAAGTGGAGTTTCTGGTGTTTTAAAAGGTGTGCTTTTTTACAAATTTTGCATTAAAAACTCTCCTGAAATGAATATTTTATATCCTAACACGATTGCTACATAAAAGCATATTTAAGTAATTTAAAAAATATTTTACGCTATAAAATATTCATGTGAGTCTTAATATTATAGAGACTGTTAATTGCAGTTTATGTTGTGCCATAAGTAGTTGAATTATAATTATCTTATTTTTAATTTCGTAGGCGCGAAATGCTGGAAATAAAGAGACAATAAGAAGAGGTGCGTTGATGAAAATGTTACTAAGTTCAGCACAAACTCTTCCTTTGTACATTGGAAAATCTGTAAACTCTAAACCGCCACCATTGTGTGGATCAATTCCAGCAGAGTCAACATATATTGCTAAGGTAAATTGTCTTCCCTCTACTTAATCCGTTGAGTAGCCTATAAGCGTTCGTTAACCCTTGGAGAATCAAATGAAGAAAAATTTGACTTAAATTTTGTCAACATTTTTAAATAATACAAATAAAAGTGAATGACTTTAATTCCTGTCGTCAGCTATCTGAAAGCACCATTTTTGTGCATTGTAGGATAAAAATAATGTTTTTCTTTAAAGATGGGAGATATGGTGGCAGCTCTTGTGAAGGGTTCGGAAGAAGAAGAAAACTGGATTTTAGCAGAAGTTGTTAGTTTTAATCCAACGACAAATAAATATGAAGTTGATGATATAGATGAAGAACAAAAAGACAGACATACTTTATCACGACGAAGAGTGGTTCCGCTACCTTTGATGAGAGCAAATCCTGAGACTGATTCAAATGCTTTGTTTATGAAAGAAGCTATGGGTAAGAATCATTATTTTTATTATTATTTACAATCTCTAGAATCAAAGTATATTGGAAACCACGTTCATCACTTTCCTATATCTGAATCCATTTCAAATCATGCAGACCGGCCAACTTCAAGTCATAGATTTACCTGCTGATAAAATATGTAATTCTATGTGAAAAATAAAGAGACACGTATTTTTTTATTTTTCATAAAAACTATTTTTAGGGAAGTCATGCATATTTCAAGTTTGAGTGGTAAAACTCGAAAACACATTGGGAAAAAATTGTTTCGCTTGTAATTTTTTCTCCAATAAGTATAATCAAAATTTTTTTCTTGAAACTTGTAGGTGGACTAGTCCTCTTCAAAATCCAATTTGAAATTTGTAAAAATCTTTAAAATTAACGAAATAGGAGATAGTTTTCTAAAAATAAATAATGTCGATTTTCTCAAAAACCCCACTTTTTTTTCTTTATAATTTTTTACCATAAATTCTTATCAATATAAAGAACAAATCCTATAATTTTCAAGTGGGCTAAACCATCCTGTCAGGCAGGAGAATTTTTTTCAAAAAATTTCTTTTTACAAAATTTGAAATTGTTTACATGCCTTTTGAAGAACAAATGAAAAAATAGCGAACATGATGGGAGTTGATTTTCATAAATTTCCAGAAATATTCTGTTAAACGAGGATTTTTTAATCTTTCTGAATAGGTGAATTTCCAAAAAAAAAAAAAACCAATTCCTCGGTGAACAGCAAATTATCAAAAAAATTAATTCTTTATTACTCGTGTCAATGAGATGATAAAAAAGAATTGAGAGTTTCTATTTTTTTGAATGCGCAAAATTTTTTTGCTTCTCAACGTTAAAAAAATACAGAATCCTATCCTTTTAAATCGACAGAGTAAACTTGTGAAAGCGAATTAAAAAAAATAAGAAATAGCTATTCTCTTCAATGGACTTTAAGGGCATCCGGGAAATAATACTGGTTTCGTGATAGACATCTCATTTAAAAAGAAAAGAATATTTTGAGTCGGGATTTTTTGGTAAATATAGAGAAATGCTCTGGGACCAGCGGTCCTCTCGGAATTTAGAGAAATTTTGATAAATAATTATTGAAAAAAATTGTTGAAATATACGGAAAAAGGGGTTTTTTTACAGTTCAGTATAGACGTCTCATTTTGAGAGGATAAAATATTTCGGGTTCATATTTGGAGGGGTGATAGAGGAATTTCACTCTCCGAGGAGCGGCTTTCTCCGTTTTTGCAATAATTTTGCGAGGAAATGATTTTATTAACGATTGAAAGTGGAGTAATTTGAGGTTAATAAATTTCCCTCAGTTCAACCCGCGACCACTTCCGAGAATTGGCGCCACCTCCTTGACCACTGACACATAGATCCACTTGTCTGTGTGCTCGCCGCCATATTGTTTCTCACTTTCGCCAAAAATCCAACTTTTGTAATTTCGTTTTTCAATATTTATTTGAAAAATTACTTGCAAATTTCGAGAATATTCTTTATCATCATGAATTCCCCTAATTATCATGATAAATCCGAACTAAATATCTCTAATTATTTAGGAGTGAGACGACACGCGGGAAAACACTTTTTGGGCTCGATTTTTCCCGGATGCCCTTAAGCGATTCTACATAGATTACTGGAAAATTATAGCGAACTATATGGGCATATTTCTAGAACTTTTAAACTTTTAGGTATTGGAAAACTTAATTTTTCTTTTTAAGGCACATTCTTGAAATTAATTTTATTGTTTTGTGCATTGATCAAATAGTAGAAAAAACCTTGCGATACTCATTTCTACATATTGTTAACCCCTCTGTGTATGAGTTTAACCCCAAGAAAATGTTTCTAAATGCATAGATTTTTCATAAAGTTGGATTTTCACATCAATCGGTATCTCGGGGTTTCTAGGGTAGCTGATTACGAATATGATGTTAATTTTTCAAAATTCAAAATGGCGGATCCAATATGGCGGACAAAATTTTTAAAAAATCAATGGATTTCCACAGCATTGAATATTCATGGGTTTTTGGGGTCGCTGATTATGGTTCTGTAGTCGGATTTCAAAAACTCCAAATGGCGGATCCAATATGGCGGATGAAAATTTAAAAAATAATTCAATTTACACAGAAGTGGGTATGAAGGGGTTTTTGGGGTAGCTAATTATTATGTATCTGAATTTAGTTTTTTAAGAATTTTAAAAGTGGTTTCAAAATGTCATAAAAATTATTGATATTTTAAATAATGTTTTAAAAATATTTTGGGATTAATTATAATTAAAAAGCAATAGAAGTAAATAAATAAATATCCACGAGATATAATTATTTTAATATTCTAAAAAATTTTCTATTTTTATTTTATGTTAAAAGTACAAACAGTATGAAGAAAAAATTAATAACGTTTAATTGAAAGTTTTACTTCCCTTTTTTTATCCATAATTAATATTATTTAAATAAAATACATAATATCTACATTCGGCAATCAAAACATTTTGACACATTAAAAATAATATTACCATGGAAACTTAGAAAAAAAGAAGTTTACAATTCTAAAAACAGAATAAAATTTAAATAATAAATTAAATGAATAATTTAAAATTAAATTAAGCTTATAAAAATAAAATGAAATTTAAAATTGATTAATTCTTGTTATCTTTAAAATTCTTTAATACTGTTAAAATTTCCAAAATTTTAAGTCGTTTTATCTATAAAAGTCTAGTAAAATTTTTTTTAACAATTCTTGAATTACATTCAAATCATTATATGTGACTGTCCACGAGAAAACAGGGCTTAGCTTTCACAGGGCGAGTGATTGAAGTAGAAGCAGAACGAAGGAATGCATACAATATAACATCTTTAAAACGTTGTATTGTCAAAAGTAATTGACAATTTACAACTTTTAATTTTTACATTTGAAAAAGCAATATAATATCTATCGATTAGCATAAAAACTCAAAATTGATTTTTTAGAGCTAAGCCCTGTTTTCTCGTGGACAGTCACATATAACAACAAGAAATTAAAAAAAATCACGCAGAAAGATTTTATTTTTCAGAAATGTATCCACCATATTGGATTTTCTATTTAAAATTTTTTAAAAATTATTTCAAATTCGTAATCAGAAAAACAGAAAACTCTTAAATGTCAAACGATATTAAAATCTGATAATTTTTCTAAAATTTCGTCCGCCATTTTGGATTCGCCATTTAAAATTTTTTTTAACTACATAACTTCAGATTTGTAATCAGAGGACCTCAAAAACCTATAAATAATAAATTTTAGGCAAACTTGCGAGTTTATTGCTTTCTTTTTCCATGAAGCAAAGATTATGACAGTAGAAGCTCATATTCTTTCTTAGATAAATTCTTTTTAGGAATAGTGTAGAGGTTAACGATTTTTCTGTATACTTTTATAACGTACGAGAAGAGATTACAATGAGTTAAAAGTGATAAGAAGTCAAATTCAACATGTGCCCTTCAAAAATGTGGGTTTTTATTATGAGTTTCGTTTTTAAATTTAACTTTTGAAGTCACTGCATTCTTGATGTATAAGTGGCACATATTCCTGTAAGGGTTCAAATTACTTCTTATTATGTAGACAATGTAACCCCGTTATATGGTTACTTAAAAATTTCGTTAAAAAAGTTATATCAAGTTAATTGCTAAATTGTCAAAATTTAAGAAAAGTTGTCTCGCAAGCTTGAAGGTACACCATTTTTATCTTAATTGAGGCACATCATTGTCTCAATGATTTTTTGGTTCCTTATACTCCCCACTACATCTACTATAAGTCACAAAATATATAATGACTCGTTAAAAAAGTTATACCATATAAACTGAAAAAAACAGTCAATGTCACACACGAGAAACTGGCGATTTCGTCACTTTTACTTACTTTTGTCGTTCCCTACCTAATTAAAATGATTATTATACACAAGGTATATTTAAAGAGCACAATAATTTATCAGATTATGGTACTGCAAAATTATTTTTATAATTTTTAAAATATAATAATAAACGGAAACATAAAGTTTAAAAGTTCTAGAAATATGCCCATATATATTCTTCTTCTTCTTCTTCTTTATTGGCCTGTTGAAATTTTCAAGTGGTCATATACTCCCATATATATTCATAGTGTTTTTTCATCTAAAAACTAGAAATTTTTGGAAAAAACGCATGTTCCCCCCTCTTTCTGGCGCCCACAGTTTTTTTTACCTAGAGAGCTGAAAATTAGCATAATTGTGTATTTTCACGAGTAGATTACAAGAAAAATATAGCGGAAATGATTAGAATTGATGTTCGACTGACTTTTTGCTTCTGAATCAGTTAAAAATAACTGAAAAATTAGTTAAACTTGACTAATTGAATCGCGCCTTTTTAACCACATGTGATAGGGTGATAGTGCAAAAAAAAACTTTTTTTTGATTAAAAACTCGATTGAAATTACCTCTGTACTAAATATTAATGACGGATCACTAAAAATATTAATTCAAATCATTAGTTTTCTCCGTTTTTCACCTAGCAGAGGGAACGTTATTATATTTTTAATTCAATATAAGTTTATTTATATTTTCAGTTATGGCTCTTTATCCTCAAACGACGTGTTTTTATAAAGCAGTCATAAATCACTTACCATCTACAGCAACAGAAGAGTACGAAGTTCTGTTCGAAGATCCCAATTATGCAGATGGGTATTCACCTCCATTAAATGTAGCCCAGCGATATGTTATTTCAATTAAAGAAAGCAAAAAGAATAAATAAATTTCATTTTAAGAACGTTGAAATTTTATTTTCACGAATATTGCGCTATAAGTTTAGAGACACTGAGAATTGTGGTTTATGTAGCTACAAATACTATTAAATGCTTTATTGGCTGATTATAAATCTGAAGTTAGATTTTCAAAATTCGAACAGATTTTTTGAAAAATGTTAAATTATTATAAAATTGTTTTATAAGAATTGTTTCTTTAAAGAAAATGATTTTAGAAAATGTTTTAAACAAGACAAAATCAATTATAGCGGAAGATGATCTCTCTGATGTCACACTGAATGAAGTACATAATGGTAAATAATATAATTACAAACTTTGGAAAGGTGGGATGCTTGATAAGCTTGAAGCTGCATACATAATGATAAATGCAATAAAAATACTTTCAGTAATGCTTTTAAAAAGAATAATTTTTTATTTTTGATAGCATAAAAGTTGTATAGAGATATATTCTTATATATGTTGTGGACAAAGTCCTGAGTGCGGGCAAAGTCCGAAATACTGTTTTTATATCGAGCATTGCCCAAGTCTTAACGGTCAAACTGCGGACTGCCCAAGCTGCTTTGGGCAAAACCTTAAATTCTGATTTTATATTATATTTTGCCCAAGTGTTGGTGGGCAAACTGCGGAGTGCCCAAGTCGCTTTAGGCAATGTTAAAAGTCAGAAAAATAGTAAAATTTATTATTTTCAGTATTTAATATATTCGTTGAGGAAATTAAAATTTGTTATTTAGTGTAAACAATTAATTAAAATTAATTACAATTACTTATTGCAACAAGAATTTGTATTATGATATTTCGAATTAAGCGTAATAGGAATTGTGATGTAAGTATCTAAAGAGGGGTTTTATAAAATAGGTACTAGGCATGGTATAATTAGATCCTTATATTCGAGGAATTAACTTTCTTCATGTGAGGAAAAATTTTTAAAAATCGACGCAGTCCCAAATAAAACTGTTTCTTTGCGACACATTAATGGCGAAGAGTCTCTGTTTGGGTTAAATGTCATAATACAAATCCTTGTTGCAATAAGTAATTGTAATGAATTTTAATTAATTGTTTACACTAAATAACAAATTTTAATTTCCTCAACGAATATATTAAATACTGAAAATAATAAATTTTACTATTTTATACATTATAAAATAATTTAATTATTTCCTTTAAATTTCTGACTCTCAACATTGCCCAAAGCGACTTGGGCAAAATATAATATAAAATCAGAATTTAAGGTTTTGCCCAAAGCAGCTTGGGCACTCCGCAGTTTGACCGTTAAGACTTGGGGAATGCTCGATATAAAAACAGTATTTCGGACTTTGCCCAAAAGTGCTTGGGCAAACTGCGAAATGACCGGTCATTTCGCAGTTTGCCCGCACTCAGGACTTTGTCCACAACACAAATATATATTAACACAAAAATGTTTTTCACTTCAAACGGATTTTTATCATAATTTAGACAGTTAAATTAAAAAATCAGAGCCGTATAACTTTTTATTGGTAAAGGATATTTAGAATTTAGGTCAAATTTTTTAAATTCTTTATAAAAGGCACACTTTGCAATAAGATTTGATACTTTGTTGATATTAAAGAAATTTTTTTTTTATTTTTGATTTTTGAAAACATTCAATTTTTTTGGTTAATTTATTTTTTGGTGATAATATACTTATTTCGAGTTCTGGTAATTTTAAAATTGAATCTGCATAAGTTTCCGAGAAACAAATAAAAATATTTAAATGTAAATTTTAGTTAAAATTGTGCAAAGATTTAAATGTCCCAATTGAATAAATGTTTAGCGTGTAACTTTCCTCAACATTTAAATTGAATTTTCGCCTAATTCTGTTAAGGCGAAAATGTAATTTAAATGTTGAGGAAAGTTTGACGCTAAACATTTATTCAATTGGGACATTTAAATCTTTGCACACAGCATTATACATTTTTATTTATTTTTCGGAAAGTTATGCAGATTCCACTTTGAAACTTACAGAACACCTATCACTATAAAAATAAGTAACAAAAAATGGAATTTTTTCAAAAATCGAAAATGAAAGAGAAAACATATTCAAGATTCCAGCTGATTCTTTTCAAGTTACAATCAATGTTTAAATTGCGATAAACATTCGTTTTAAATAAAGTATAACATCTGACTGCCATTTTAAATACCTTTCTGGCTCCAGCACCCATAATTTTTATTTTATAAAATTCTTCGCTAATTTTTAATTTCAAGGTATAAAGATAATGTTCTTTTATATAATTAAATTTTTTGTCGTACATGAAAGAACTTTAATCTTCCTACTAAAACAAATGAATTAAAAAGTGGAAAATTTTTCAACTTTAATTCTTTGCCGTTACTAACATAAGTCATCATCAGGAATCGTAGTAGTGAATGTCTGACTAGGACTGTAGGGATGAAAGTCTGTAACGCTTGTTTCACTGTCAATGTTATTAATACTTGGATCACCATAGTATATTTCTTTCATTTCACTCTGATTAACTATATTCATTATAGTTCTATATATACCTTCCAGGGCTTTGAAAGTAATGTCGATAAGTGAGTTTTCATTCGGATTTTTTTCCTTTAACTCTCTTAATTCACGTACTAAACGTTTTATTTCCTCAGTGAATTTCTTTTTCTCACGGACTTCATCCTCTGCATACAGAGTTCTTGTTACATTTAGTAATTTTTCTTCAGAATGATTAATTAAGTTTCTAATTTGATAAATTGTACTCCAAATTATCGTTTTAAAAGTTATTGTGTATTCTTTAACTCTAACTGATTTTAATAAATAGTCAAGAAATTCTAGTAGTACAATTCTTTCGGTAAAATTTGTTTTTTTAATTTCATCTGCTAATTTACTACTATAACTTTGAGTGATGTTAATCATAGTGGTTAAATTACATTCAAATTGCATACATTCGTATAGCTCTTTTTGAAATATTTTAAATCTTTCTATGAAAGTTTTAATTTCTGTCTTATTGTTATTCAAGGCCAAATTATCTGCAACTGTTTTTTGGTAAGAAATGTCGTACTGTAGAATGACGCTTAAGTTAGTAACTTGCTCTAAAGACGTCAATCTTTGTAGTGAATTGCGCAAGCTAATTTCTGAAGTATCTGAAATGCTCGGATGTAAAGACTGAAGAGAACTTTTCGGTATACTTCCAGAAGCTCGAATAGCTGAAAAAATACCAACATCAAGTTCAGAAATATCAGTTCCTTCTTTAGTCGCCGCGTTGAAGAAGCCTACATGGTCTATGTTTTCAAATAAATATTTTACAAGGCTTCTTGAATCTGTACGCATAGCCAATTTCGGTTTACTTAAAATTTTCTCATGGAACAAGTGTTTTGCAAGAACTTTATGTTCTTCTAAGTTACTTATGTTATGTTCTGATGGATCATACTGGGTGAAAATTAAAGATATGCTTCCAAAAAGATTTACCATTTCATTTCCCAAAAGCGTGCAAAGATTTTCTAAAAGATCTGTAAAACTCCTGATATTAGTTTCTCTAATGTCTGAAAGTTTGGCTACAAGAATAATTTTTAGAGATTTAATATGTTTCAACAATTGAAAAAGATAAAAGGCATTGATAATGTCTTGTACTTCTCCTCTATTGTCATTAAATCCAGGTGTATCCCAGATGGCCAAATTTGATAATTTTGAAGAAACCCATCTTGAAGGTTTTGAAGTAGTTGATACTGAGCCATGACCAATTTTTGGCGATTTGTCAGTATCGTTTATTACTATTAGTCTTGGATGATCATGTTTAGTTAATATCTTAGCCGCCAATGGAACGCCAATTAAGTAATTAATAAGAGTACTTTTGCCAGCTCTTGCAATGCCTATGCAAATTGCTGCGTCTTCATCCCTTACTTCTTTACGAACATAATCTATAGCTTCGAAGAAAGATGTTTTGAGCAGCTGTAAAGAAGTTTCATTGAGCTCACATTTTCCACTTTTAAAGAGTGAAAGCACTAAGCAGATAATAGCTATTCTGAACATGATTGTTCAATAATAATGTTTTTTTAAAAGTTTGATGCACTAATGCGGTTGGAATATATTCCTGATGATGTTTTTTTTGCCCTGAAATATTAAAAAAGTAATGTAAATAAGAATCTTTTAATTATATTTTAGGTTTGGAAAATCAATCGTTATTCAGCTTTAACGGCCTCAGTGGAACGTACCCTGTTGAAAGTAGAAAGATAGAAGTAGATACCCTGGTTAAAAAACCGGACAGATTTCGGACTAATCCGAAATTTGTCCGAAACAATGCGGTTTATGGTCAGGTTTTTGTCACCCGCAATTAATCTGGAAAAATCCGAATTCTATAAGGTCTGTGAACAACTAGTGAAACCGGAGTTGGTCCGATGAAGTCCGAAATTAATCAGTTAATTTTAACTAGTGAATCCGGAATTAGTCCGAAACAGTCAAAAGTTAGTCCGGACAATTTAGTGAATGTTAATAAGAAAATAATTATACAAGTAACACGTATTAATTATTATTACTTTATGGTACATTCAACATATTTTTCGATATACCTATCGCAATTTTATTTACATTAACTTAAAATTTCTAACGCTTGGGGATTCGAACCTACACCTATCTAACATTATATCGCACCGAAATCGAATACACTAACCACTATACCACGATCGCATGAGAGTTCAAATTCATAATAGAATTTATGAAGTGCCACGAAAAGAAATGCCAAGAAACTAACACATCAGTGTTAATTTTAATATTGAAACAAGATAACTAATAATACCTACTAGTAAATTTGTAAAAACAAACTGACTGCAGAATTAAATATTTTATTTACCGTAAGTAAATACCCTGAATAAAAAGTGGGACCGATTTCAGACTAATCCGGAATTTGTCCGCAACAGTACGGTTTATTGTGGAGTTTTTTTTACTATGAATTAAGTTTGAAATCAATACCGTTTTTTATAACTATGGAATCCGTAATTAGTCCGGTTTAGTAGTCTGCACGCAGTTAATTAGATCATATGCAACTAGTAAACGCAGAATAATCCGGTTGGTTTAACCAGTGAATCTGCAGCTAATCCAAAACAGTCTGCTTATGGACAGGTTTTTGTCGCTCGAAATTTGTCCGGATAAATTCAAACTCAATGCGGTTTGTGTATAACCAGTGAATCCGGAATTAGTCCGATCTAGTCCGAAATTAGTCTGATAATACGCAACTTGGAAGTGTGAAATTATTAAATCCGGAATTAATCTTGTTTTGGTCAGGTTTTTGTCATACGAAATTATAATTATAGTTTGAATTTATCTGCATTTAATACAAATTGTTTTTAATATACAAATTCAATATTCTTTGAATTGGATTGAATATGGATTGTTTTGAACTGTCTGTGGATTGTACATATTTACAAATTCTTATAATAATAAGACTTATTTTCGGACTGGGGTCTTTTGATCGGATATTATTCGGATTGACGCTGAGTATTACCGGATTCTTTGCATACAGATTTCGGATTAAATCTTTTAACTGGATTAAATTCGGATTATTGCGGACTGATTTCGTATTCTTTAGGTACATATTGATTTCGGATTATACCTTTTAGTTGGATTAAATCCAGATTGTTGCAGACAATTTTCGGATTCTTAGCATACAGATTTCGGATTGTTTCGTACTTCTTTCGGAATAGGATTTTGCCACACTTAGTTTCAAATTGTTGCGGACTAATACCGGATTTCTTGCTTACAGAGTTCGGATTGCTCCGGACATTTTCGGATTAAGTTTTTTTAACTAGATTAAACTCGGGATTGTTGCGGACTGATTCCGTATTCTTTACATATTGATATCGGATAATTCCGTACTTATTTTAGAAGAATTCTTCACTGGTCATAAATTCGGATTGTTGCGGACTAATTACGGACTGAATTCGAAGACATTCAGGATTACTCCGGAGTGTTTTCGGATACAGGTTTTCCTTCGGATTGATATCAGACTAACGCGGATCATTTTCGGACTAATCCGTACTAATCTGTCCGTATTTGATCCGGAATTAGTCCGAAATTTTTACCAGAGTAAAAACTGATGGATAAAAGTTTTCTATCCTTACTAAGTATATACTTTGCATCCTTTAAAAATTATATTTTCTATCCAGAATTTTCTATCTATTTAAGGGCATCCGGGAAATAATACTGGTTTCGTGATAGACGTCTCATTTAAAAAGAAAAGAATATTTTGAGTCGGAATTTTTTGGTAAATTTAGAGAAATGCTCTGGGACTAGCGGTCTTCTCGGAATTTAGAGAAATTTTGATAAATAATTATTGAAAAAAATTGTTTAAATATACGGAAAAAAGGGGTTTAGACGTCTCAATTTGAGAGGATAAAATATTTCGGGTTCATATTTGGAGGGGTGATAGAGAAATTTCACTCTCCGAGGAGCGGCCCTCTCCGTTTTTGCAATAATTTTGCGAGGAAATTATTTTATTAGCGATTGAAAGTGGAGTAATTTGAGGTTAATAAATTTCCCTCAGTTCAACCCGCGACCACTTCCGAGAATTGGCGCCACCTCCTTGACCACTGACACATAGAACCACCTGTCTGTGTGCTGACCGCCATATTGTCTCCCACTTTCGCCCAAAATCCAACTTTTGTAATTTCGTTTTTCAATATTTATTTCAAAAATTACTTGCAAATTTCGAGAATATTCTTTATCATCATGAATTCCCCTAATTATCATGCTAAATCCGAACTAAATATCTCTAATTATTTAGGAGTGAGACGACACGCGGGAAAACACTTTTTAAGCTCGATTTTTCCCGGATGCCCTTAATCAGAGAGTATTAGGGAGAGTGGAAGGTGACCGTACACTGTGACGTATGTGTGTAATACCCTCCTCTCCCGATAGAGGCAGTACTGAATGCGCGGTTTAATTCAAACAAATTAAACCAAATTAATTTACAAACAAAATAATTAATATCATTGGCAAGCAACATGGGTATATCGACTAAAATATTTCTCATGATAAAATCTTAAGCGAAAAAGAATTGTAAAGATGAATACAATAAGTATGTAGTAGAGAAGACGAAACTTAATCCTTAGCAATAAATATTAAGGGATTTTATTTAGTACATAAGCCTAAAATAATATATTGGTTTCAGTTATTTGTCACGATTGGAAATTCCTATTTTTTATAGTTTTATTTGCTTGTTTAGGAAACTCGAGAAATTTGCTCATCTGGTTACCATAAAACCCTAAGATCCTTTTTGCCTGGGTAATAAAAAAGGGGACACTATTGTTTCGTCATCCCTACTACATAGAGAATTCAGTAAAATTAGAAACACCTTCTTTTTCCGCCTTTTTGGGTTTTTCCACTTTTTAACGAATCAAAAATGAAGAAGCGTACTTATGTTCTCCTCCTGGACACTCGGCGGTGGGGGCAGAGGCCCCCAGGATGGGACCATTGGTCTTGGAGAGAAAATGTAAGGCAGAAAGTTGCTAACTCGAAAGAGATAAAGACCTTTTCGGATAAAGTCGTCTTGTAATTTCTTATATTGATAGAAATAAATTAACTAAGTTTGTAAACGTTAAATATTTCGATTCATTTAAAGAAACACCTCTATTATTTTCCATTTCAATAATTAGTAAATAATTCACCGCGGGAGTTGAGCTTCTTAGCTCTTCATTGTGGAAACGGACCATCATCGTCGAGGATTCCGCTTCGAGATAAACAACAATTCTAAATTTAAAGACAATACTAAAATCCTAATAAAAGTTTAAATTTTTAGAACTTTACCGCGTAAAGTAACTCGGCGCGTCACAGGATAATTTTTGGTGTCAGAAGTGGGATCCCGCAAACTTGCCGCGAGTGATACGGAACATTATTGAGTGGAAATTGTGAAAGTTGTGCGGAAATTTTGCAAGACATTTTGTGAATAATCGAATAATTTCGACGAACCATTTGAAAATAAGTTTAAATTTGAATTTCCTCTTGAGTACGTGGTGAATGAAGTAGCTTCCGAAAGAGAGGTTTAAGTTCAAATTCAAACGAGAAGAAGACGGACCGGAACGAGCTACTGGATTGAAGGAGACTAGGGACCGGAAGGAGTTGCTGTTAGACGGAACTAAGGACATCGAGACGACGAAGGGCGCAGCCACGACTTCCTCAAAGGTTTTTGGCGGGTTTTTAAACCTAGAGGCAGGAGGTACGGTCCCCACGTACCTGGGTCGCAGAAAGTGATTCAAGGATCCCGCAGATATCCCCTTGAGTTACTATAGGCTGGCAGATCAACATCGAGGAGTAAGAATTGGTTTGAGCAGACGGTTACTGGAAGCTGAACGGAATACCCATATCCGAAGAGATTGATCCGCGAGTGTTGGTGAAAATTGTAGTGACTAAAATAAATTGTTTAAAACAAATTTATGTATAATTTTGTATGGATAGTGAACCGTTAAATCTACGATCAATCACTCTTCAAGAACTTCTAATGGTAAGTCGATTGCCCATTGTTAATGTTGCGAGCCAATGATTTATATTAATAAAATATTATTGCAAGGGTTTTGAAATATTGTGAATGAGCAAAAAGTATTCGTAAGTTGTAGAAAGTGTGGTTCTTATAAATAAGTAAATTCCAATTAAAGTTTGAGTCGGTTTCTTTTATTTATTGAAAGGGAGTATAAAACTCTTAAGTAAAATAGTACAAATAATAGTATCAATTTGGAAACGAATGAATGATCCTTTTGCTGAAAATTTTTCTGAACGAAATAATAATAATTGAATGGTAATATTTATAAAAGTTTGGAAATATTATTATTAGTTTAATTGTCTTAAGATTTTGTTTTGAATTTTGCAAGTTGAATATTCTCAAATACAATTTTCGAAAGCAAGCAATTATTCGCTAATAAACTATTAATAATATTTATAAAATAATTCATAATATTTATAGAAATATTTGAAAATTTTTGAGAATATAAATCGATTTTGTAAATCAGAGCAAAATGCTTACTCGCAATTCAATTAAGGCTGCAAGGGGTGGTAGAGGCGGTATTAAAGCTGGTAGAGTTTCAAAAAGTTCAGGGTTGCAAAAATCTTCGGCAACTACCACTTCGCGAGGAAATGCAAGGAGACCAAACGGGAGAAGTGTAACGGGATCGCGAGGTCGCAATGTTCGCAGTCGAGAAGTTTTGATAGAAAACACCAATAACATCGCGTCCGATTTCGACATGGAGGTCGATAACGTCGACGAAATAAACGAAAGTAATGTGTTTGCTGTAAGAGCGGGACCCGTCACTCATAATACTAGTAATTATCGTCCACCGGTGTTTTCCCCTATGCAGCGAGCCCCTGATAGTATGCTACGCGATCGCGCTCCGAGTATACCGAATAGTATCAACAGCTCTTTACGATTCGCGCCAACTGATAAGGAGCCCGACAACCCTCTTCCTTTTAAAGCGGCGATAGAATTTTTGCCTAAAAGCTTCGATGGAGAAAACATGCCGGTCAGCAGATTTATTGCTGATTGTGTCGCTGCAAGGGATTCTATTCCCATTAAAGATCGATCGCACCTATTTTTTATGGTCAAATCGCGAGTAGTAGGAGGCGCATTTGATTCCTTGCGAAACCGGCACGTTGGCTCCCTCGAAGAATTATTATCCCATTTAAAGGAGATATATGGTGAACAACACAATATGAGTCAATTACATAAGGCTCTCGCGACCGCCGCGCAATTCCAAAAGGAAAAGGTGACTCTGTACGGTGCTCGCGTGAATAAAATACTTGCCAACATGATTGAAGTAATCGAAGATAAATATGATCCGTTTGATAGTTATTCCCATTTAAATGCTGCTCGAGAGGCAGCACGCGATTGTTTTATAACAGGATTAAATAGAGATTTGAGATTACGCGTGAAAATAGGTAACCCCGGGACACTGCAAGAAGCTATAAATCTTGCAAGACATAATGAGTCAGAAATCGAAAATGAAAACGCGCTCGACAGGAAAAGCGAAAACGACGCCGAAAAGAACAGCGAAACTCCTTCGGAGAAAAATGCCCAGAAAAATAATCAAAACCGTTTTCGCTCTCATAATAATATGAGGGGCCGGGCCCGAAAATTTGCCGCGAAAACATCCGACAAGCCGAATAATACAAACAATAAGTCACAACAATCGGAAGAAGGAAATGGTGAAAAACGTTGCTATAACTGCGATAGAACGGGACATTTAGCTCGACAATGTAAACGGACCGTAGAGAAACGCGAATGCTATAACTGCCACAAGATTGGCCACCTCGCGAAAAACTGTCGTAAAAAATTAGAAGAAGCAGATAAAAATACCACGACTTGTAATTTCTGTAAAGTTAAGGGACACGGGTACGAAGAATGTTATAAGCGGTTAAATAAAATACAAAATTCAAAGAACGAAAAAGCGGAACATTTAAACAGTAAGTAAGTTCGTCCGAATGGTGCGACGACGAGCTTGGGCAGGGAGCTGCACCGATTAAACGCGTAATAATGTCCTCTGGAACGGATAAAAGAAAATTCTCCCCTAGTGTTAGCATTGACAGCAATGACCTTAACTTGAAAAGCGGTAGTTTCCTGGTTGATACCGGTGCCGAATTAAATCTGATAAAGCAAGGTTGTTTGAGAAGTAACCTTTTTATAAACAATGAAATAAAATACGATTTATTTGGCATAGTCGAACAGGGCGTATCGACTCTCGGTGAAGTTTCTTTAAATTTTAACGAGATTCCTTGTCCCTTTCAAGTTGTCCCAGATAATTTCCCGCTTGAAAGCGACGGCATGCTTGGGATGCCCTTTTTGTCAGATTCGGTAATAGACCTGAAAACAAAAACGATAAAACACGAATTAGGCGAATTTCCTTTTATTAACCCCCCGAGAAAAATAGCGAAAATATTAGTAAAAGCGAGAACGAAACAAATTGTAACTTTACCTGTAGCGACGACTAATTTGTCTGAGGGTTATTTACCTTTATTACCAACGGGACCTGGCGTTTTCTTGGGCGAAGCCCTGGTCAAGGTTACATCCGGGAACATACGACTTCCTTGCTTCAATTGTACTACTCGGGATATAGAACTCTCAATTTCCCCCGTTACACTAGAAGAATTCGATATTTTCAGCACCATAGACGAACCTAAAAAAGGTACAAAATTTAATAAAAATGCTACAAGGAAAGAAAAAAGGGAAATAAAAAGGGTTACGCGTAATAATCGAATCGAGAATTTAATAAAAGAGCTTCACTTGGAAAATCTGAGTGAAGAAGAAAAAGAGAGTTTAATAAATTGCGTAAAAAATTTTCCGTTTCAGTTCTTTTTAAAAGGGGATAAATTAGGGTGTACAAATGTCGTTAAACATAAAATAAACACTACCGACGACATTCCAGTTAACAAGGGCAACTATCGTTATCCAATAGTTCACAAAAATTTTATACGGGAAGAATCATCGAAATTAAAAGAAAACAATACAATTTCTGCGTCGAACTCCCCGTATAATTCCCCCGTGTGGGTGGTACCAAAGAAACCTGATTCTCAAGGAAATTTGCAATACCGAATGGTTATCGATTATCGCGAGCTGAACGAAAAGACTGTGGGAGACGCGTACCCCTTACCAAACATAACCGCAATCTTGGATCAATTAGGGGGAGCTCGGTATTTTTCGACTCTCGATTTAGCTTCCGGGTTTCATCAAATCGAAATCGATCCTTCCGATAAACACAAAACCGCTTTTTCTACACTTTTCGGTCATTTCGAGTTCAATCGTATGCCCTTTGGCCTAAAGACAGCACCAGCTACATTTCAACGTATGATGGACCTCGTGTTGTCCGGATTACAAGGTGTAGAAATGTTTGTTTATATGGACGACATTGTGATTTATGCGAATTCCTTGCAGGAACACAATGAGAAACTTGAGAAATTACTAGGTCGATTGAAAACTGCAGGATTAGTTCTGCAGCCTGATAAATGCCACTTTTTACGGAAAGAAATCGGATACTTAGGTCACATAATTTCTGAGGAGGGGGTAAAACCTGACCCAAAGAAGGTAGAATCTGTTAGGAATTTTCCTAGACCGAAATGTAGAAAAAATGTAAAACAATTTTTGGGTCTAGCCGGGTATTACCGTCGTTTCATACCCGACTTTGCATCTCACGCGAAACCCTTAACTAGAGGTGTGCAAAATTCGAATCGAAAGAAAATTCGAATCGAAATACCAATTCGAAGTTTCGAGTTTCGAATTTCGAATTGGCCGATTCGAATCGAAAGAAAATTCGAATCGAACTACCAATTCGAAATTCGAAGTTTCGAATTTCGAATTGGCCGATTCGAATCGAAAGAAAATTCGAATCGAACTACCAATTCGAAATTCGAAGTTTCGAATTTCGAATTGGCCGATTCGAATCGAAAGTAAATTCGAATCGAACTAGCCAATTCGAAAATTGGAGTTTCGAATTGTACAACTCAACTCGGTTACTTTATTCGCACAATTAATTATTCTATAATTTTAATATATAAATAACATACAAATACCAATAACGTGTTGAAAGTGAAGAAAATATTTCGCTTATTGTTTGTAGTACATAAGGAAAAAAAATTATTTTGCAAATTTTTTGCTCAATTTTTAAAATAAATTTTCATTTATTTTAACAATTTAATAGCTAATATATAATTAAAAACCGCTGCTAAGTTGTATATTTTTTATAATTTTGGTACTCATTTCATGAACACTGCATTTCCTCATAGAGATAAAAATAATAGAAATATATTAATTACTTTTTATAAATATGGTAAAAGTGATTGGATTTTGGATCAATCAATGTATTTTTAAATACCCTACAAGATATTTACAATAATTTAATAGTTAAACAAAAATTTTTAAACACAAAAGTTGAGAAAATGTCATTTTCCAAAATTTTTGGTTTTTAAAATACCAATGATTTCGAAATTTATTATCGAATTAGGTTTAAAAATAGGTTAGGTCAATCGAATCGATTCTTAATGCTCTACAATTTGGTAACGATAATTTTAAAGTTACTTCTACGTTTTTCAACAAAATTTTCAAAAAGTCTCCGGTTAATATGGACGAAAAATGATGAACAAAAAGTTTTGAACGTTCAAATGAACGAAATATTTTTTGTTAAAAATATTTTAATAGATTATTGATTACAATTCAAATTAAAAACTCAAATTTTACATTTAGAAACATTATAATTAATTTGCTTAATAGTGACGCAAAATTATAGTAATAAAAATTTGATTTGAAGAAGAAATAAATAAATTTCGTTCATTTGAACGTTCAAAACTTTAACCTCCTGAAAAATGTTCAATTAGGGACCAAAAGATGCATCTAAAAAAACTCTACAAAACTAAAGAAAAACATTTATAGGTGTCCTAACATTTTTTTAAAGTTATGGGCAAAAAACGTTTTTTTGCAAAATTAAAAATTCAAAAAAAAAATTAGTTAAACTTTATTAATCTATCATAAAGTACTTTCATATGTGGACGTCCACATGAAAAGAGCCCATATTGTCGGTTCTAGTTTTCGAGATAATCGCAATTTAGTAATTTTGGAGCAAAATCTTAATTTTTTTTTATTTTTTATTATCTATCTACATGCTTTGGCAAGTCGAATCAAGCGGTTTTCATTAATTTATCGATAATTTAACTGTTTGATTTCATTGGTTCTTTAGAAAAATGAAAAGGGCCCATTTTGTCAGTCATTTGCAAAGGTAATCCGTATTTTAAAAATGGAGGTGCGGAAAAATTTAAAACCTCTTGATTTTTCATCTCTAAGGTGTCCTGAACTGAAAACAATTCTTATCTGAATAACTTCCCAAAAGAACCAGAGATATTGATGTTAGAGTCTTTTTTCTCGTAATTGTCGAAATGAAAATTTGGATATTGCGTCAATTTTTTTCATAATAGAGACTGTAAAAAATTTTTTAATAAGTTTAATATATATTTTTTTTCTTTAAATGACACAATAAAATTGTACCTAATCATTAATCTTGTAAAAAAATGGTTTTTTAATAGAAAAACTGTCCTTTTTAAAAAAGGGCCCATATTGTCGGTTTTTAAATTAATTAGTTAATTAAGGGGGGGGGGTGGTTCTAAAAATTTAAAACCTGTTGGTTTTCTATCTTCAAGGTGCCCTGAACTGGAAACAATGCTTATCTGAATAACTTCCAAGAAGAACCAGAGATAAAACAATTGGTTGGTATCGCAATCTTTAATTTCGTTTTTCTCGAAATGAGGTTTATTTGGCGTTCTAAACTTTAAAATTCCGTAACTCAGCGAATTTTTAACCAAAAAAGTTCTGAGACCACTCAAAATTTAATTTCATTTAATTTCATTTAGTAACAAATAGTTACTGTTAATAAATACAATTTCCAATTCTAAGAATTATTTTTTTATATAAAAATTGTAATTTAATGTTTCAAGAAAAATTGAAGAATTTTTGTATAATTTGAAAAAATTATTTTTTGTGGAATTTTAATTTATAAATAGGTATGATTATAATTCTTAAAAATTTTAATTGTTTTAATTTAAAATTTTTAATTAGTTTGTGTATATATTTGAATTTTCGGAAATATTGAAAATATTGAAAATAATTCAATTCTTTGCAAGAATTCAATTATTTTCATAAATAATAACGATTTTCGTAAAAATTAAATTATTTTTAAACAAAATTTTAATAAAATTTTACGAATAAATACAATTATTTTCTAAAATTTTAATAAATACTTCAAAACAATTTAATTATTTTCTTAAATAGAAATAGATTTTAATGTTTGCAAAAATTCAATTATTTTCAAAAAAATTTCAAGAATGATTTCAATTTTTTTCTCATTTCGTTATAAAATCTTTGCAAAAATTCAATTATTTTTAATACAATTTTAATAAAATTTCAAAAATTTTCAATTAAAATTCTTTAAGAATTCTTTGAGATTTCTGTCAAAATAATTGTGCGAATAAAATAACCGAGTTGAGTTGTACAATTCGAAACTCCGATTTTCGAATCGGCCAATTGGTAGTTCGATTCGAATTTACTTTCGATTCGAATCGGCCAATTCGAAATTCGAAACTTCGAATTTCGAATTGGTATTTCGATTCGAATTTTCTTTCGATTCGAATTGGCTAATTCGAAATTCGAAGTTCGAAACTTCGAATTGGTATTTCGATTCGAATTTTCTTTCGATTCGAATTTTCTGTTGTCGAGTCGAATAATTTTCGATTCGACTCGATTAAATGCACACCTCTACCCTTAACGCAATTATTAAAAAAGGATTCTCCTTTCGTTTGGTCACAAACGGCCGAAGAGTCATTTGAAAAATTAAAAACCATTTTGTGCACCGAGCCACTTTTACAGTATCCCGATTTCTCGCGACCGTTCGTAATTACAACCGATGCTTCCGATTATGCAATCGGAGCCATTTTGAGCCAAGGTGAAATCGGTAAGGATCTGCCCATTGCCTATGCGTCTCGAACCTTGGGTAAATCAGAATTAAATTATACGACAACGGAAAAGGAATTGTTAGCAATCATATTTGCCGTGAAACACTTTCGACCATATGTCTAGTTTGGTTGGATCAATTGAAGGATCCAACGCTTGGTTCCCGACTTGCACGTTGGAAAATTCAACTGCAAGAATACGATTATAAAATCGTATTTAAGCCCGGTAGAGTAAACGCTAACGCGGACGCACTCTCGAGAAATCCTATTGACGAGAATTTGAATTTCGATAAAAGGAAGCTAGATAATAGCATTTTAGAAATTATTGAGACAAATGACAAACATGTAGATAAAAGTTACTACCATGAGTATCCCGTAGAAAGAGTTTTTCTGAGCTATGGCAACGAGCGTGTCGTTGACATTGCTACAGAGAACCAAGATAGGGATGCTCCTGATAGTGAATGTGTTATCGAAAAAATAGACGAAATAATAACGATTGAGAACTGTCATGAGTTGCGTGGAAGAGATACGGTGGAGAAGGGCGGCTCCGGGTCGCACCATTACGCTCCATTTGTCACAGAATTTTCCAAAGGCCACGGAAAATTGACTGACAAATGTAGCCTGGTGTCAGATCCGCTGGTCCACATCCCCTATCTTTCTCCAAATGGTATGTGTAAGACGAGCCATGCGGGGTCGCATCAAAGAAAGGAAATTTTTGAGAACTTTCCTGAGTGCTGTAAGACCAGTGCTCCTGAAAGTATTGGCAAGCGAATGCATAAGACCGTTGCTAGTGAAAGCTCCGGCAATGGTATGTGTAAGACGAGCCATGCGGGGTCGCATCAAGGTAAGAAAATTTGTAAAAATTTTCAGACTGCCGACAATGCTCCAGACAAGTGCTGCGAGCCGCTGATTGTCGATGACAGTGATGACGAATTGAACGACATTGACAGTTATTCCTTAAAGGGTATTTGGGGCGATGTTTTGAGCGTCCGAAATGAAACAGATGACAGTGATAATGACAATGACGAACGACCTAAAAAACGAATGAGATTGAGCGAGAGTGTCCCGGTTAACAATGCTCAAGTTTTTCCTACCGTTTCGAAGCAGGGGAATGTTGTTTTAACACCCTTATTTCAACTCAGTAGAGATAAGGTGTGGATGAGAGCCGATAACATAATCAATTTCGTTTCATGCGATGGTGTTTTAACAACACCACTGGGTAGGGAATTATTCGATAATTCGATCATTAAACCCTCTTGTTTAAAGGATCCTCAAGCAGTTGTAGGTTATGTCACTTCCAATCCTCACGATGGTCGCCTCGTGTATAACCTATATATTAAAGATAATTTTGACTCGAAGGTGTTTGCCAAAAATATAGAAACCGCCGTTACTACTCTAAAAGAAGCCCTCGAATTATCAAAACTTAAATCATTCAGCATCTCTCGCGTCGGTAACGGATTCGACAAAATGTCATGGTCGACTATAGAAAGCATTTTTAGAACTCACTTCGGAAAGGGCAATTACCAAATTACCGTGTGTACCGGCGAAGTCGAAATTCCTGAAGTCGATAAGCGTCGTGACATTATCCGTGAATGTCATGACTCCACTGTAGGCGGTCATAAAGGAGAATCTAAAACCCTGGACAGAATTAGAGAGCGCTTTTTCTGGAAAGGAATGAGAGACGAAGTGCGTCAGTACGTAAAAACTTGTGAAATTTGTCAAAAGAAAAAACTTACCAGAATAAAAACAAAAATGCCAATGCGAATAACGGACACACCAAGCCGGGTTTTCGAGAAAGTACAAATTGATCTGGTCGGTCCCTTGCCAGTCACAGAATCGGGAAATCAATATATGCTTACTTGGCAAGATAATTTAAGTAAGTACTCTGGTGCATTTCCTCTCTCAAAAATCGATTCTCCTCACGTAGCAATAGCTCTCGTTGAAAGTTTAATTTGTATATTCGGTTGCCCTGAAATAATACAAACAGATCAGGGATCTCAATTCATGAGCGACATTATGGAAAATATTGCAAAATTATTTCAAATTCGCAAAATACGGTCAAGCGCTTACCATCCACAATCACTTGGATCGTTAGAGAGAAGTCACCATACATTCGTTGAATATTTACGTAATTATGCGGAACGTACAAATTGGGACCAATGGTTGCCGTACGCCTTGTTCTCCTTTAATACATCGGTTCACGAGTCCACAGGGTTGACTCCTCACGAGATCGTATTTGGTAGAAAAGTTCGCTTTCCTTCCGAGTTTTCAAACGAGGAAATTCCCATGACGTATATACAGTTGGTCGATGAACTTCTGAAAAAAATAACTGAAAGCGAATCACTCGCTACGGCGCGACTTGAGGCAGCAAAAAGACGCTGTAAAAAATATTATGACCGAAAGCTTAACGAACGAAATTTCGAACAGGATCAATACGTTTACGTGTTAGTTGATATACGCGATGACAAATTCGATGATCACTATGCAGGTCCATTTAAAATCACAAGAATCATCGATGATCTAAATGTCGAAATAAGAATTACGCAAAAACAAACAAAGATTGTTCATGTGAACCGACTCAAACATGCTTTTCTAAGATATATTTAGACTTCGGAAATCAAAATTGTAACAAAATAGAATCATATTTTAATTTAATAGTGTAATTTTAATAACTTAATAAAAATAAATAAATAAATTAAAATTAATTTCGAAAGAAAATTGTACGTATTGAAAACATTTAGATAAGTTTTGTATGATTATATATATACGAGTAGAAATATAATGAAAACAAGTATTTAAATTTAAATAACTTGACATTTAAAGACAAATTTAAATCCCACTTATCCTTTTTGCTCGAAGAGTCAGAGCAGGTAAGAATAGTCGAGTCTCTCTGTAGATCCTTTTAAAACGTACATTGAAGAATCTGAAATGAGAAAGAGAGAGCAATCAAAATTTTATTTTATTTCGTTAAACTAAAATCATACTCTATAAACTCGAGAATTTGTTAAAATTACTGTATGTAATAAAAGTTATAACTTCAGAAATAAATAGACTCTATTTGATAAAAATATACGTGTGAGTAATATTGTGTATAATTAATAAATAAATGTTGTAAACTTATAACCCAACGTTGAATAGGGAATTATAAAGTTTTAATAATTAATGTTATATCCTTAAACTAAATTAATTTGACACTTTTATTTAAAAGGGTAACAAACGAACGGATTATAACAATCATGAATTTAAAGGTCTCATTTTTATTACAAGGAAATTTCGTGTCTTCTCAAAATCTTAACAAATTAGAAATTAATATTACTTTCATTTATAATAATTAATTAGTACTATTAATTAAATAACGTTATTATTATAAATTAATATACATCATATACATATAGTATAATAATAGAGTATAACAACAAAGTAAAGCTAACCTCAAAATGGATGACAGAACTTACATTTATGATTGTTATATCTGATCATGTCTTAAGAGAAATATAATAACAAATCTAAATAATGAATGCATACTTAATGATAATAAATTAATTTATAAGAAAACAAAATTTTTATTCTATTCTTTGATTGTATTAAATTGTCACAAACAAAAACAAACAATGTGAATTACTCACCATAATTATATGTCGACGCTGGATATCTATAGACACTCATAAACTTCTAACAAACTCACAAATCTCACAACACGAAGAATGTTTATATAAACAATTTAATTTTTACACAAAAATTTATAACCATTGTAACTATACTTCTTGATAATACACTTGTCAATTATGTCGACCATAAAAAGACATTTCATGAGAGAATGCCTTTTTTCTAAGGGGAGAAGTGTGACGTATGTGTGTAATACCCTCCTCTCCCGATAGAGGCAGTACTGAATGCGCGGTTTAATTCAAACAAATTAAACCAAATTAATTTACAAACAAAATAATTAATATCATTGGCAAGCAACATGGGTATATCGACTAAAATATTTCTCATGATAAAATCTTAAGCGAAAAAGAATTGTAAAGATGAATACAATAAGTATGTAGTAGAGAAGACGAAACTTAATCCTTAGCAATAAATATTAAGGGATTTTATTTAGTACATAAGCCTAAAATAATATATTGGTTTCAGTTATTTGTCACGATTGGAAATTCCTATTTTTTATAGTTTTATTTGCTTGTTTAGGAAACTCGAGAAATTTGCTCATCTGGTTACCATAAAACCCTAAGATCCTTTTTGCCTGGGTAATAAAAAAGGGGACACTATTGTTTCGTCATCCCTACTACATAGAGAATTCAGTAAAATTAGAAACACCTTCTTTTTCCGCCTTTTTGGGTTTTTCCACTTTTTAACGAATCAAAAATGAAGAAGCGTACTTATGTTCTCCTCCTGGACACTCGGCGGTGGGGCAGAGGCCCCCAGGATGGGACCATTGGTCTTGGAGAGAAAATGTAAGGCAGAAAGTTGCTAACTCGAAAGAGATAAAGACCTTTTCGGATAAAGTCGTCTTGTAATTTCTTATATTGATAGAAATAAATTAACTAAGTTTGTAAACGTTAAATATTTCGATTCATTTAAAGAAACACCTCTATTATTTTCCATTTCAATAATTAGTAAATAATTCACCGCGGGAGTTGAGCTTCTTAGCTCTTCATTGTGGAAACGGACCATCATCGTCGAGGATTCCGCTTCGAGATAAACAACAATTCTAAATTTAAAGACAATACTAAAATCCTAATAAAAGTTTAAATTTTTAGAACTTTACCGCGTAAAGTAACTCGGCGCGTCACAACACGCTACTAGTAGCGCACTCTGGTGGGTCGTTCCCTTTTTAAAATATATATGTATAATGTTTTGAATGTACTGTATGTATTTGTGCTCAACTGTTTGTGCTTGTTTGCAAACAGTTGGAGAAGCGTGATATGAGCGTGATTTACAAATTTTATGCAAAAATGTTATATTGTAGTGTAGAAAATTGCAAAAATGGGACATATACGAAAATGTGCCAAGGATTTTCATCGTTTAGGTTACCAAAATCTAATTCAACGTAAGTATATATTTGATTTTTAGTAAACGTAACCTCACTTTTTTTACACGATGAAATATAAACTTTTGAAATTTTGTCATATTATTACTTAAGTATACACAGAATTCTAAATTTTTATATTAAAAAGTTGTTGGAAATATTTATTATTATATTATTTATATTATTATTATATTATTTTTGTCAAGAAAATATAATTTTTTATTCTTAAATTAAAAATTATAACATTTCGCAGTCGAAGAAAATGGCTCAAATTCGCTGGGGTTAAAGAAACTACAAAGTTTCGAATCTGTGCGGAACATTTCGACAAAAAATGTTTTAAAACATTTCAACCCAGGCCCTTATTGAAGCCAGATGCAATTCCAACTTTGCACAAGGAAAAGAAGTGCACCGCAGGGCGAAGTAAGTATTTTTTACTTAATAATAAATAATGATATGTACATAATTTATATTTTTAAAATCACATTAATATAAATTTAAACAATTGATATTACAGGTAGCAAGGTAAGCAGCGAGAAAGAAATTGTCAATATTGCTACTACTATTGGCACGTTTTTTTATATACACATGTATTTTTTGAATGACGACAAATAAAAATATTTTTTAAATTAATTTTGCATCACACTTATTATTTATAAAAAAATTTTTGAACAAAAATTTATTTAATTTAATAAAAATATGTAATTAAATATAATTCGGAAATTTGAATTTTCCCGCTAATGCTCCTGGTGGGGGAAATTCGTGTCGGAACGAACCTGTTGAGGGCGCTGAAAATCGTGTACGATTATTTACATTGCTCTCTTATGGGACCTTCCACTCTCCTTAATACTCTCTGCCCTTAATAAAAAATAAAAATTGTATGTGACCTTCAAGGATAAATGTGTGTGTGTGCGGACGTGTCAAGGAGGGGAAGTGGGAGGGGGGGGAAGCAGAATCCATTTTTTCTTGCATTCGCCAAACTTTTCGATTTTCTTGAACAGTTCCCGACTTTTTCAAGAACAGTTTGCCGAGAAGTGGTGAAATAGTTATAATTTGTAGGGAAATAGTAAATGACATATTTAAACGAGGCAACCTTTAGTTATCTGTGTACTACCCACCGTATCCAAGAGTTAAGAACGAAGTTCCCGAATAATCCTCGAACTTTTTTTCCGTGTATATATATTTAAGGGGCCGTCCATAACTTACGTCACGCCTTAGAGGGGGGGGGGGTGGAATTCATTTTTTGTGACGTTCTGTAGAAAAAATGGCGCTAAAGCATGTAAAATTTGTGACGTGGGTAGGGGGGGGGGTGGAAAAATTATGCAAAATTGTGTGACGTAGTTTATGAATGGCCCCTTAATATATTTTTTATATTTTATTTTTTTTTTTTTTTAACCTAGTGGGCTGCAGTTCGGTACAAATATTTATACCGAATTGCAGCTCACTAGGTCATGATTTGTAAAAGTTAAGGGGGGGGGGCAGGATAATTTTTTGCAATTTTTTCCAAAAAATTCAATTTCTTTTTCTCGAAGTTCACAAATATGTCCGCCAATCAGGTTCGCTATATTTTTCCTGTAATCTGCACTTAAAAATAAATATTTGTACCGAATTGCAGCTCTCTAGGTCAAGATATGTAAAAGTTAAAGGGCCCATTATAGGCAGCCCATTTTGCGTGGCAGGGACGGACACACGAGTGATTTTACGGTGTACGAAACCCTAAAAATGGTAAAATATAATTATATTTCTTTACAAAATATATTTGTCGCATAATTAACGGAATATAACCTTAAATTGAAGGGAATATTGCATTTCATATTCGGAATATTTCAGTGGAATGTTCCAGAGATCTTAAAGTAATATTAAAATGTCCGCCGCACAGGAATATTCCAAGATAACATTTAGGGAATGTTCCACGGTAATATCGAAGTAATATTCCAGGATGATGTTGAAGGAATGTTCCTCCGTAATATTTATTTATCATCTTACACGGGAATTTCCCTTTCGTACAAAAGTAGATACTTATAATAATGTTCTAATAACAAAAATAAAATAAGTGGAAATGCTGACATATAGTTCATACAAGATTGAAGATTCTGTTTCTTAATTGATTAATGAAAGTAGTTAAAAGTACACCGTAGAAGTCAATAGTATTATGAAAGTCATTAGCCTCTCTGGAGCAAGACCCATATAATCTAAACAATTAATGGAATATTTCAGGGTGATGTTGACGGAATGTTTCCAGATAATATTAAATATGTTGAAAATACCATTGAATTCGTTTTTACTAAAGAAATAAGATAAAGAGAAAAAAAGTCAAATTTTTTCAAAGTATGGAATTTTGGAATATTTCCAGAGAATATTCTGGGAATATTCCCTTAATATTCATTCAACATTACTTTGGAATATTCCATTAATATTACGGTGGAACATTGCCTCAACATCATCCTGGAATATTACTTCGAAATTACCGTGGAACATTCCCTCAAGGGGACACCTAAGTGGAAAAATGACAAAAAAATCGATTTTTTAAAATTTGATTTTCTAAAAGTAGACTCAATTAGGAATAGAACAAGACTTTTTAAAACCTTTTCTGAGGAGTAGAAAAAATCTGATTACATGATTCTGAATACCATGAGTTTTTAGTATTTTTTCTTTTTTCGTGTCTCCTGTAAAAATGGTTTTTTTCCAATTTTTTAACTTTCGGTACACTTTTCTCCGAATCTACTAAACCGATTTGTAATTTTTTTTTTTACTTTGTTCAGTAAGGTTCCAAGAATACGAATAAGAAGTTTAACATCATTTTGAGTTGTACAAACGGATATATGAGTCAATAAATCAGAGAAAATTTTATTTTTATTTTTCTTTGGGTATAAATATTCATAAAAAAGTTTCTATTGAAGATAACGTCGTATTACTTCTTATTCATATAATTGATTATATTTGTAATCAAATGAAAAAAGGGCGAACGCAATTGGAATAATAGTTTTCGAGAAAAGTGTACCGAAAGTTGACTCTTTTTGCATTGTTTTTAGGTGACTTGGGTGTCCCCTCAATGTTATTTTGGAATATTCCTGTGGGTCGGACATTTTAATATTACTTTAAGATCCCTGGAACATTCCACTAGAATATTCTGAATATGAAATGTAATATTCTCTTCATTTTAAGGTTATATTCCGTGCTGCTTGGGCACTGAACTGAAAGAATTTTGGGCAGGCTGCAGGCTTTTCATGCCCGAAATTAGATCTCCTGTCACAGGGCTCGCAGCTCACCTCAAAAAGGCGAGAATCTACTCCCGAAAGGTGAGCAGCTGCCCCTGAGGAGTTGCTGTTTACCTTTCGGGAGCAGGGGGAGTAGATTCTCGCCTTTTTGAGGTGAACTGCGAGTCTTGAGGCAGCGAGCTTTAGCGGCACTCATGTAAAAAATTAAGAAAATGTTAAGAAAACTTAAAAGTTCTCCACCTTCTCATATTTTAAGAAAAGTAATACATATATTAACATAATTCTTTATATTTCGTTCTTCAGAGGGGCCGTTCATGAACTACGTCACGCTTTAAAGGTTGGGGGGAGGGGTGGAAAAATAATGAAAAATAGTGTGACGTAGTTTATGAACAGCCCCTTTCCTACACGGTGAGAAATCTGTTAGGATTACACTGCAAAAAGAAGTATCTTATTTAAGATGTTTCGGTAGTCATTTCTTATTAATTAAGATACTTTAAAAAACTTACAGAAGTATCTTACTTTTTTAAGATAGAAGAAATATCTAAGACGTATAAAACATCTTAAATATCAGTAAGATGCTTTAGAAAACATCTTATTTTAAGATGTAAGATACCATTTTTCCATCTTACATCTTATTTTAAGATATCAAATAAGACAATTATTTTTGCAGTGTAATGCTCAAAACTTTTCATATACTTTTTCCATAGATTTTTTGATGTTAAAATCCTAACAGAGAGCCCTATATTTATTGCTCGAGTCCGCCTGAATATTAGGCGGATTCGACTGATATTCAGGCGGACCTCTTATACTTTTCGCTAGTAAGTGTTTATGCTATATTCATCACCTCTCCCTACCAAAGAAATAATGACAAAACATCAGAAAATAATCAGAATTATTGTGAGCAAGCTCACATTATGCTAATGTTCATTTGAAAATAATTCAAAATTGGGTAAATAAACATTATTTTTAACGTTTGTAAGTAAAAGAGGGACTCAAAATCAATAGAGTGATATCAATTACTCGAAATTAATGTTTCACGTTTTCTCGTGGACTGTCACATATAATTATACCCGTTGTACGTTGGCATATTTTGTAAAAAGTGTCTGTGTTTAGATAAAAAGTTGTTGAAAAATGTTTGCTTACCTATTTAACGGCATTTAAACCAACGAGTGCCGTTTTTGTTGGGCGATAATCAGAGGTCTCACGAAACCTAGAAATTTCGCAGACACGCTACTCTATGCATTATTCGCAACAGATTTCTCTCCGTGTATTGTTTTATAATATATTAAAAGTGTAATTTTTAAAAAGTTTTTACACTTAATGCTTATATTAGAAATGTAACTTAACATATTGTATAGTGAAAATTTACGATATTTTACTAAATGATTATAATTATACTTACGGTGTTGAATGTTGTGTATTTACTATTCAGGACAGCTGCAGATAGTTAAATGTGTCAAAATGCTAATATTTTCCAATTTTATAAATTTTACTTTTATTATCTTAAACTGTATATTTTGAAATATCAAGAAATTTAATGTTCTGCTAGCAAATAGACAAGCTACAGGTGTATCGAGTATAAATAAACAGGAAAAATATAACTGTGCGCTACAAAGAATTTGAAATTATTTTTAGTGCATGGTCACGAATGAAGTATTAGATAAAATTTTTATCTATAATATAAATATGTTATAAATTTATATAATTTAAAAAATGAAATTGAAAACATCAATTTTAATGTTTAAAATCAAAAGATATCCCTACTGAAAATCCTTATAAGATCCTGCCCTTTTGAAAATAATGACTTGTAATTACATGTGTATAGATTTGGACATGTGTCATGCACGTGTAAATACAAATAAAATCCTAGATTGATTGCCCGGTAAGAAGCGAGGAATAGAAAAAGATTAAATTTCCAGAAATATTCTGTTAAACGAGGATTTTTTAATCTTTCTGAATAGTCGAATTTCCAAAAAAACCCTATTCCTCTGTGAACAGCAAAATATCAGAAAAATTAATTCTTCTCTATTGCTCGTGTTAATGAGATGATAAAAAAAATTAAGAGTTTCTATTTTTTTGAATGCGCAAAATTTTTTTGCTTCTCAACGTTCCAAAAAAAATACAGAATCCTATTCTTTTGAATCGACAAAGTAAATCTTGTGAAAGCGAATTGAAAAAAATAAGAAATGGCTATTCTTTTCAATCGATTTTAAGCGATTCTACGTAATCAATTCAAACGAATAGAAATTGTTTATTCTTTTCAATTGACTGCTTCGAATTTTAGAAACGCATTACAGTAGAACCCCGGTTATCCGAGCTCGCTTTATCCGAGGTCTCGATTATCCGAGGTGGCCTCAAAAGAGGATATACCGCTTTATCCGAGTATTGCGACTGGCCTAGTCCGAGTTATCCGAGTTGCGACATTAAAAAAAGTTTAATAATGTTTGAAAATTTTTTGTTATTTTAATAAATTACATAAGTTATTATGAAATATGAATATAAAAATCCCTTTCTCGTTTATATTAGAGACTTTTTTATAAATAAAATGTTAAATTACGTATATATTATAATAAAAGTCCGTTTTATCCGAGTTTTCGCTTTATCCGAGGTAGGTCCGGTCCACATTAGCTCGGATAATCGGGGTTCTACTGTATAATGATAAATCGTCCAAGCGCCCGTCTTGCCGGAAGGACGTTCCGAAAAAAAGGCTTTTAAAAAAAGGGAGTTTAACTTTTCTTTTCTGGCACTCCTTGGGATTAAAGTAGACGAAAAGACGAAAAAATCCATATTTTTGACTTTTTAAAATAACAATTTAAACCATTTTTCAAAGCCTTCAAACTTGCTATGTTTCTAAACAGTGAAAAAAACATTTTTTCGTAAATTTAATGTAAAATCCCCAAAAATCAATATTTTTTGACCGGACGAGTCTCTTTCTCTTCAGAAACGTTCGAAGAATGAAACCTAATTGTTCAATTAAAAAAAAATCATTTTTAATATTGTTCACACTGAGAAAAATGGATATTAAGGCTTACTATCTAGATATTACCATTCAATATCTATGAAAGTGAACTATAAGACAAGTATCTTGGATATTTAATTTCACTATCTAAATATATTGGACAGAATATATTAACCTATAATATCCAGGATGTTAAAATTCAATATCTATGAAAGTGAACTGTGAGACAAGTATCTTGGATATTTAATTTTACTATCTAAGATTATACGCAAACGTCATTTCAAATTGTAGGTTAAATGTACCTTATTTTTAAATCTTGCGGTAAAATAACAACATTTGGTTTCTGAAAACCCTGAAAACCATGAAGTAGAGCTCAAAACTTGACAGAAATTCTTAAACATATAATCAAATTCCTAAAATTTCAAAATTCGACAAACAGCGCATATAATTTACTATTCATTATTACCAAATAATTACATTATTAGTGCATTAATAATTATTAATTTATTCTATAATATAATTACAGATATAATACATAATTGGTTAATTAATATTTATAAATGATAATAATAATAATAAAATTATAGCAATTTTTTAATTTTTATAAATAATCAGGGTCCTAATTTAAAACAAAAATCCTGATCTTTTTCTGGTTATTTTTCTTGATGAGACTGCGGGAAAAATTATTATTTTCCCCAGTCATTGCAATAAAAATTCTAAAAAAACACATGAAATAATTGTAGTAAATGTTTATTTATTTTGGGCATGTGGGAAAAACCACATACAAGTTGGGTCTATGTGTCAGTGGTTGTTACGAGCGACTACCATCTCGCTCGTTAACTTTCGATATATCGATTTACGAGTTATCGAAGCGCGAATTATAACATTTCGTTAATAAACTTAATTATTTTTAGTATTTTCTCACGACTTTAGACAATTATTGACGAGATTAAACAAGAAAGTTTGACTATTGTAAAATATAATACTTCACGGTTTAATAGTTTCCAAATTCTGAATATGTATTTGAAAATCAACATTTCTTAGAATTGCCATAAATCAAGTAGAATAGCGAAAGAAAATGTAATCTCTAGTTTCTTTAGAGTCATAAAACCGAGAAACCCTCGAAAGAATATAAAAAATATCTCAAGTGTCCTTTTCCATAGGACAATGCAACATGTGTTTACCATACTTGTGACCACAGAAATGGCTTCGAAAAGTCACGTACACATAGACTTTCATTATGCGACGAACTTTAATTATCAATTGTATAATATGAACATTATGAACAATTGACAACAATATTATATTGTTGCTAATTATGCAATATGAATGTATTATTTGAAAATGATATTATTAGTAAACTTCATCTAATTGAGTGTTGTAATATTATGGTATTGAATATAAATATATATTTGTAACGTATTAATATGATAATAATATTATATTATGATATATTATCAAATTGGTTATCGTTATAATTGTTATTTATATTTAAATATGATGAGTGCAGTATAAGAGATTTATTGTTACTAGATATGATGTAAATAATTAATAATTGTGTAATTAGTGTGAATGAAAAAGGGTTATGTTCACTTGTTGTGATACATGTTTTCAATACGTAGAGTATGTTTATACGTGTATTAGTGCAGTGCAGTGTTGGTGTTGTGATTCTGAACACTCCATAGACTTTACAAACTCTATAACAGGGCATGCGCAAAGATTTTGCCATGGACCAAGGGCTAAATGCTCCCTCACGAATTCAGTTCTACTTTGGAGTTCTTTCGTAATGTACTTCAGAGTAGTCCCAAAATAGCTTTTAGAATAACTTCGACTTGTGTAATGTTTTGACTTTAATAAATGTATTGGGTTTACTCGCGAATTTAGTTGGATTAATGATTAATTAATATTATTAATTATTAATTGATCCTTCTTATTCGTGAGGTTTTTCCCTCCGTTTTAACGGAAATTAACTTGTTTTATTTGAATATTTCCGCCTTCCTTTTCAAAGGATTAAACCAAGATTGAACATCGAATCAAATCGCGGATTTTACGCCTGCGCGTAAATAACGTAACTCCGCAACGTAACATGGTCCAGGAGGTGGCGTCAATTCTGGTGGCCGCGGTGAACTAATGAAACTCAAATTACTCCACTTTAAAACTTTAATAAAATAATTTCCTTGCAAAATTATTGTAATTTTGTTTAATTTCTTGCTTAATTTTGTTAATGAACTTAAAAAATATTAATTTTCGCTGGCAGTTACGACGTAAGTTTTTCCATTTTGATGCTCGCACATCAAAACAGGCTGATAATATAACCTCACTTTTTCTTTATTGTAGACTGTGGCCCTGTGGCCATAAGGTAGTTCAAGTTGGGTGGGGGAAATCCAATATGGCTGACATCAGCTGATTTACCGGAGGACAAACAATACATTGAATTCAATGGGACAAATCAGTTTTTTAACCATAACTTTTTAAATATTTATTTTTGAACCATAGTGTAATGGAAAATTATTCTTTATTTATCGAAATCTATTTTTTAAAACAATAAAATTAAATTTTTTGGTTTTATTGTTTTAAAAAATAGATTTCGATAAATAAAGAATAATTTTCCATTACACTATGGTTCAAAAATGAATATTTAAAAAGTTATGGTTAAAAAACTGATTTGTCCCATTGAATTCAATGCATTGTTTGTCCTCCGGTAAATCAGCTGATGTCAGCCATATTGCATTTCCCCCACCCAACTTGGACTACCTTATGAAGTGCTGTGGCTGCTGTAGGCGCCTTAAGACGCTCTCACAGCTCTGCATGCATGCCAATGCATGCATAGTTGTTATGGTAACACATGAGAGTAAGTAAGTCAGAAAATTCAAATTTCATGTTTTTTCTCTCTTACTCTCATGCTGGCAGTAGAGCTGTGCGAGCGCCTTTAGACGTTGCGCTTGCGCAACGCCCAGATATTCAATTTGAATATATTAGATTGTCAAGTTCAATATCTAAACGTTATATTCTGCAATACACTACATATTAAATCTAAATATCTGATATACTATGCGTTAAAATCTAGATAATATATTTAAGTATCTCATTTTTAATATCTAATATATTTAAGAGTTTTAATATCCATTTTTCTCAGTGCAGTATATCTGAGTAATACTCAGGCGCGAGTCCCTTCGAAATTGCTCTATAAAATTAATATGGAAGCAGATAAATATAAAACTAAATATATCGTTGGAAAGGTAATGAAACAAGCTTTCAAATGATGTAAATATCGAGTCTTTAAATTTATAAACCTAGGCTAGGCAGTCTCTTAAATAAAGCGAAAAGCGTCCTGCCGGCAGGACCGGGCTTCGTCATTCTGTGACTAAAAATTATGTGAATTTTTGGAACATGTAACTTCTTCAAACTACCCAGCCCTTAGTTTTGAACTTACAAGCTCGATATTTATATGCGCTGAAAGTTTGTTTCGTTACCTTTCCAATGATATAAATCATTTTTTATTTATCTGAATCCATGTTAGTTTTCTTTAGTGATTTCGGAGGGACTCACCTGAGTCTTTTTCGTCCTGCCGGAAGGACGTTGGACGATTTATCA